TCAAAAGCTTTGATGGTTAAAGAGGTTTTGCTTCAGGTGGCCGGTCTGAAGCTTTTTCTAGAATTGAAGAATCACCAGAGGGATCCAGTTTTAATGTTCTCATGTTATGATTTGTGTAGCCAATCAGAGGCTGACAAGTTGTGGAACGTTACCAAGACAACTTTGAAACACGCCTTCTTTGATCCACATGCTCTGATCTGGGGTAAAGGGTTATCTATGTGTCACACGTTTAACTTAACTTTACTTTGTCCTTGTGTGGGTGTAGATGGTGATGACCTTGTCATATCAACATGCTGAAACATATATAAATCAATGTAATCATAACATAACATTCATTTCAAACTTCAATCACTGAAGCACAGATTAATGAAAGCATTTCATTATATTATAATTATTATAAATAGCACTAAACAATGTTTATTTAATGATTATTTAACTGATAAGTTTTAAAAGTTCATATTTAATTTAGGAAATCATTCTTTGATTCAGCAGCTAATCCGAGCTGCGAGTGTTCCTTAATCAGAGGCATGAAGAATCCTGTAGGACGATAAGGGAAGCTTGGGCATTGAGGAGAGAACATTATTGTTGACAATTCGTTATCATGTGTTCAGAGCTGCAGAGAGGCTCTGAGCTTCAGCTGGTGAGATGAAGGCAGGCTGATTAAAGCGAACACATGCGGTCTCATGTCTCCATTTTGACCAGGTGTTGAACGGTCAAACTGTTCTTAAAAACTGACCATTGCTGGATGTTACACAGGAAAGCTACGGAAATTAAAAATTCCACCATAAACAAAGAAAAGCATCAAAGATATATAATTTCCACTTCACTTGCTTCCTAGAGGAAACAGTGAACTGTTTGTATCCTTAGCAACATCCCTCCCAAAAACATGTGAAAGGTGACAGAAATGCTAATTATTTGTATAGTCAGACCGGACGATTTGGGAACTTCTTTTTCTAAAATGTGACGTGTTAAAAATAAATCACAAATCAGGAACAAACCAGCCTGCTTCTCTGTCTACGGCTTTCACAAAAGTCATGACGGTCAGAAAAAGTCTGACATCACACAAGTGCAGTCTGCTCAACCACCGTAATCTAGTTCATAAGAACTTCCACTGCAGTAAGATGGTCCGAAAACACACTGACTCAGTCCTCACACACAGGCCGGAGCCTCAAATACGTTCCCGGCAATTTCCCAGATTTCATCACTGCAGATTCATCTGGATCCCTTTAGACTAAATAAACACTCATCCAAACTTGGAGGGTATCTAAGACAGCACGTACAATTCATCATTGAACTTTATGCCACGGATCATTTGTGGGTGAAAAACATCAGGGTGAATTTCAATTCATTGCTTTGCATGCAAAAAAACAAGTTTATAAACCTTTTTCTCAGTTGGAACAAGAGTCCTCTTTCTTATATAAAATGATGACATCTGAGGACTGCTTTTCAAAACATTTTTCACATAGAAAATTTAGATAATTCCTTCATTAGAAAATATGTTTGAAAAAATATATTTTTAGGACTTTTGCACAGGAGTCGCATATAGGCGTTGCTTTCAGAAAGTGAAACTGTTTTAAACTGATTTATGAAACAAAAGAGTTAAATATTTTAAGCTTTAATTTATTTTCTTTTTATGGCTTTTAGATAGAAAAATACTAAAATTCATTGTCTCAGAAAATTAGAATGATGTGAAAAAGTTAGATATTGGAATTTTCTCAGAATTGAATTTTGTGTCTGTAAGCCACGGTTATAACTGATCTCCATCCAGTCAATGTCAACCACGATGGGGCAGCCTAGGGTAGGAAGGAAGGAAGTGAGTATGGAGAAGACGGCTTGAGTGAGAAGTTAACATGGACGCCTAACTGCTACAGGTTGAATAAACCTTGGAAAATGAATTCCGCATCTTTGTGCTACTTCCTGTTCGACCGACCATAACACCAACCGTCGTCGTCTTCCTCCGCTTATCTGGGTCTGGGTCGCGGGGGCAGCATCCCAACTAGGGAGCATCCCCGGCCACCTCCACCAGCTCCTCCAGCAGGACCCCAAGGCGTTCCCGGACCAGATTGGAGATGTAACCTCTCCAGCGTGTCCTGGGTCAACCCGGGGGCCTTCTGCCGGCAGGACATGCCCAAAGCACCTCCCCAGGGAGGTGTCCAGAAGGCATCCTGACAAGATGCTCAAACCACCTCAACTGACTCCTTTTGATCCGGAGGAGCAGCGGTTCTACTCCGAGTCCCTCCCGAATGTCCGAGCTCCTCACCCTATCTCTAAGGCTGAGCCCGGTCACCCTACGGAGGAAACTCGTTTCGGCCGCTTGTATCCGCGATCTCGTTTTTTCGGTCATTACCCAAAGCTCATGACCATAGGTGAGGATTAGGACGACCCGCAAATCGAGAGCCTGGCTTTCTGGCTCAGCTCCCTCTTCCCAATTAACCAACCAAATAATTAAATATGCAGATGACACCACCTTGGTTGGACTGAGAGGAGAATGAGACGACGTTCAGGGCAGAAGTGGAGAAACTGTGGCTCTGGTATTCAGAGACCTACCTCACCCTGAACACCCATAAGACGAATGATATCGAACAACGTCCCGTCAAAAAAACGTTGGGTTCTCTCATCACTGTGTTCTAAACAATAGGTGTGTGTGTACATTTTTGATTTCTTTAGTTCCCTGCTCATCTTAAAGCATTTCAGATCTGTTCCTTGTGATGTTCATCTTCAACTTTTGAAACCGTGCTGTTAATGTGGTTTTGGTTCGCTAGCATTTTGCACGGTTTGCAGAGTCGAATTGTGCCTCCTAAATGTTTAATTAATAGTTCAGTTTAAAAAACATTTAATTTTATTTAAATTTCAGTTTTTTCAGAGATAACCGCAATCTAAATGTATTCAAAAATACTCGAGGCTAAATGAAAATTTTGACACTATTATCACAGGCAGTGAAAACAGTTGTGTTAATCTGGGCAGCGTGCAGTTTACAAGAAGTTCAGTGTGTTTGCAGCTCTACAGAACAACCAGCATGCACATCTGCAGAAGTAGGAGAAACCTGGGCCTGCCCTAAAAATGGACTTATTGCTCTACTGGATTTGGGTTAGCGACAGTTTCGGTGTCAGTGAGTATCAAATCCTCTCAGGAAAGACAGAAGACAAAACGAAGAGATTAAAACAAACAAACACAACCTTTCTGCTACATGATGCAAATGGTTTTCTAAGTCACTTCCTAAACCCTTGCTGCTGTTTTCATAATGACAAGGCTTTGTCATTGATGCAACAAGGTTAAATAAAACAGAGCACCTGAAAGGATTTCCTTAGTGATGCACTTTTTATGTATCTAAGCGTCATTTGACACTAACATCGGTTTCCTTTTTTAATGTTATTTGCAGGATGTAAAGAAATTAAAGCTTACAGCCTAAATAAATGTTAAATGGCTTGTATTTTATTCAGCACCTGCTAGGGTTCTACAACCCCCAAGGCGCTTTACAACACAATCAGTCATTCACCCTCACACATTCACATTCTGGTGAGCTACACTGTAGCCACAGCTGCCCTGGGGAGAACTGACAGAAGCAAAGCTGCTGAACACAGGCACCACCGGTCCCTTAGACCACCACCAGCAGGCAATGTGGGTTCAGGGTCTTGCCAAAAGACACAACGACAGCGACAGATGGGGCTCGAACCTGCAAGTTGAGGAGTTAAGTTTTCAATCTGTCTACAGTCTGTGTTCAATCTGCATCTCAAAATGACATTTATACATGTATGTATAGTTATTAGGGATGTAAGAAAATATTGATATGTCAATATATTGTGATTTTTTTCCTATGATATTACATTGATGTTCAAAAGCCGTGTATCTCATTTATGGAAGAATTTACATGCAACCATTTGTGTATTTTCTTTTCTTTTGGTGCAATTCAAACGCCGACCTCTAGTTGGCAGCAGCGTCAAATGGGTTTTGGTTCCACCATTGAAATCAAATGTAAATCCATCTATAATGGTTCAGATACCTCATATTAAGCATGTTTAGTATCAGTTTGGACTGCTTATTGAAAATTCCTACAATGAATTCAGTCTAAAAACATCACTGACAGGTCTGACTGAATGTGTTGCAATATATTGTTATATATCGTATCGTCTCCCTGTATCGTGATACATATCGTATTGCCAAAATTTCATCAGTACACATCCCTAATAGTTATCAAGCTTAATATTTAATTTGAAGCTAAATATCTTTTTCCTAAAATATTTAGCTCCAAACTAAAGACTTAAATCCAAACAAGATTCCAATCAAATTTTTTATTTTGCAAATAAAATATTTAGTTGGGAAATGAAATATTTAGGTCTCACCTATATTTATGAACTAAATGTTTAGTTTGTAAATGAAACCTTTTTTTGTAAAATACATTTTTTGGCTTGATAACTAAATATTTAGTTTGTAACTGTGACTTTTATAAGCGTACGAATGACATGGTGAAAATCTGACGTAAAAAATCTTGCCCCATTTTTATTGTATGACTAAAATGAAGAACACAATTAATGCTGTAAATTATGTTCCCCCTGTGTTGGGAGGTGGGAATGTATTTTAGACACAACAATAACAATAATTTACAATCTACTGCTCCAAAAATGTCATGGTAAAACATGTTTTACACAAATAACCTATAAGCCAACATTTTTAGTTTTTAGGAAGCCAAATTTTCAACACCAACTGATTGAGATTAACTATCAAAAACGATAAACAGCACGAGGTCTGAAGTGTTGGGGGGGGGGGGGGGGGGGGGGGGGTCAGATTATTTCAGGGGAACACATTTCTCACAAGAACAGAACCCATTTCTCCCACAACCCAAAACTCATCAAGATTTACAAGAGAAGCTTCTTCTCTTTACTTCCTGTTGTCGTTTCTTGTGTGTGACTGCCCTCTAGCGCTCAAAGTCTAAACCTGCACCCTATTGCCTGTAGTTCCAGGTTCTGTCCGCTTGGGGGAGGCGCTGAGTAAACGGAAGCTGCCACACAGCAGGAAGCCAGGAAGCCGCTTGTCTTCCTGTCTGTGACAGCCGCGTTAAAGGAAAAAAGGAAGGGTTTTTGCTGTACATTTGGTCTCTTTTGGTCCAGAAGAAGACCTTCAAACCGCCGCAGACATGTCGAAAAACACCGTGTCGGCCCGTTTCAGGCGAGTGGACGTGGATGAGTACGACGAGAACAAATTTGTAGACGAGGAAGACGGAGGAGAAAATCAGCTGGGTCCTGACGAGGCAGAGGTGGACTCTCTCATCAGACAATATCCTTTACATGATAAGTTAGCCTGACTTTAGGCCTCCCTCGATTTCTGGAGAATTCACTGGTTGTCCAGAATGCGCTGTGTGTTTAGTTCCGCGATGTGTCCGCGTATATTTCACCCTCTTTAACCGGAATACTGGGCGTTTTCATAGTAGGCCAGTCACTGTCCAGACTTGCCTGACAGTCACATACCAGGGATTGCTGCTCCAGGCTGAACAGGCCTCCTGCATCTCATCACTAGGAACAACCACAGGTTCGTTATGTAGACATACATATGTGACATCTACAGTGACGTTTCTAGCATTCCTCATCTAAATAATGTAAGTTCTCTGATTAGCTGCGTTCACAGACTGTGGGAGTGTTGCGGTTTAGGCTCGCGGGCTTTATAAGGCATGAAAGTGTTGCACTTCCTTGTTGAGTGGGAACATCCTCATATGCAGCGTCACAGCGACGCAGAATAAACCCGTCTCGTCTTCCTTCGCTTCGCAGAATAAACCCTCAAACCAAATTCACATGTCAGCACGCACAGTCATGTTTTACACAGCCCACGGCTGCAGGAAAACCGTAAACAGAGCAGATTGCAGGCATCCTAAAAGAGGTTTCCAGTTTATTTCATAGGAATATGCACATTCTTATCTCAAACCTCCATCAAAAAGTAGAAAACTAAAGGCTCGTGCAACATCTTCTCTGTGAAATCCTGGTGACTGTGGTTACAGCTGGTGTAACTCCTGTGTAATGTGTCCTAGCTGTGTGCATCCTTAACCCTCACTGTACAGGAAACCTCATGGAGGCGTTGCATGCAGTCCTGAAGAACCCCCCGATCAACACAAAGAACCAGAACGTCAAGGTGGGCCTGGTTTCCTTCTGCAGTAGCATTTACAGCAGGAATTTATTTAATTCTAACACTGTTAAAAATCTGGAAGGACATCCCTCTGTTTGTGCTTCACTGTCATCCTCATCTTGATCTACTCGTAAATGAGCATTTTTACCCATTGAGGGGCCAGTAAAATGTTCCTCTTGTGTAACTTTCCAGATTCAATCTTTTTATGAATTAAATTGGGTAAATGATGAGATTGAAATGCCCACTTTTGTCATTGTTGGCCACCAAAAAAAAGTAAAAAAGGTCTGACATTACTCTTTTGATTAGGATCGTGCTGAGGGTCTTGTGCTGAAGGTGCTCAGTGCCTTTAAGAGCAGTGACATCGAGAAAGGGGTTCAGTCACTGGACAAGAACGGCGTGGATCTGCTAATGAAATACATCTACAAAGGCTTTGAGAGGCCATCAGAAAACAGCAGCGCCGTCCTGCTGCAGTGGCACGAAAAGGTACCTTTGTGTTTTCAGAAAGGATTTCCTTTTAGCTTTGCCTGGTGACGATTTGCTTCACCATCTATAGAGGACAAACTGCAACAACTTAAAACATGTCCTCTGTCTGTTTTCAGGCTCTCGCAGCGGGAGGAGTGGGGAGCATCGTCAGGGTCCTGACGGCGAGGAAAACGGTCTAAAAGCAGAGCAGGGAAGCGCATAACATCACCTTCACACATCACTGTTCTTGTACCAGACAGCACTGAATTTAAAATGGAAAAAACTCAGTTATAACCCACTGATTTACAGAGTCGCTTGAGGCGGGACTAAAGCAGGACATAGAATCTGGGTCATATTGGGTTAAGAGCTGATTTTCTCCCCCCCCCCCCCCCCCCCCCCCCCCCCCCCCCCTCGTGATCACAGCTTATATCACATTTCTCACCAGGTGCTAAAATACTTTTACACCCATTCCTCGATCCGACGACTCTGCTGTTCATGTGGGTTAAACTCGGACACAAATGATTACGAAAGATGCAGATCCACTGCTCACACCCTTTTTTTGGGGACTTAAATTCTGACATAACTTCTCCAAAACAGCGACACGTTTTTACGTTTCCCTACATGGTTGGTGGTTTATTCCATTTCCAGATGAAAACAAAGCACCAAATCCTCTCAGAGCATCACTCCAGCAGGGGGGGGGGGTCTTGTGAAAAGTACAGTCACAGATGGAGGCTGACGAATTTACCCACCGGGGCTTTTATTCACCTCAGGGAGGGGCGGGAGAAGGATTATTACCCACGATGCATCACCCGCCACCACTTTTATCAATCCCACTTTGTTGCTCACATCCTCTGTTGCTGATCAGGGCGTTGTGGAACTCTGCTGCACTGGTTAACTCCACGTCACGAGACTAAATCAGATCAAACCCTTTCCTCTTCTGGCTCGTGGGCCAAATTCCCAATCAGTTAAGATGAAACATCAAAGGTTTACTTCTCAGATGTTTTTGCTTTAAATGGAGTGAAATTGAGTATTAAGAAAAGAAATATATAATTAGCGTGACTTAAAATCAAGCGCTCCATGCCTGCCTTTTGTACTTGTTTTCTGTCAGAAAAATCCTGGTTTGAATCACTTTTGAGTTAAATTAAAAATAATCCTTACCTCCACATAAATGAGCAGTTAGTAGATTTTACATGAAAATAAGGAAAAGTGGAAATGTGAGAGCCGTTTCTGCTCCATCGGGTGGGTTACATGTTGCCAAATGGTTTATTTTTTTCTTCATTTGATTTCTGTAGCTTCTGTTTAGTTGATTCATCTCTAAATAACGTAGAAATGAGAGTTTAAGAGAAGTGTGTTTGGGATGCTTGGGTGCAGAAACAAAGCTACGTTTGCTTTGTCTCGCTCTCTGTTATTATTCATGAAAAAAATGAAAATTTCACTTCCAACTTCATGTTTTGCTCCTTTTCAAACTCTAACTTTTAAAGTTTTGTTGGTTTGATCACAAGTTGATGTTTCACTGTCGCGTTTGACTTGTCATCAGTGATGGTGCATCCAGACATCAGATCCGTTTTCTAATGCAGTATCGACATGATGAACACAAGCAAAGACAAGTCTGAGGATTTTCTTTCTCTGTTTCATGTAAATGTTGGTGCAAGCAGGACGAGCAGACCAAACTGATGTACAAACTGCCTTACTCAAATATTCCTTTTTTGTTTGTGCTTTTTTGAAGAAAATAAAAGGTATGAATGCTAAAATACAGTGTCGGTCTTCTTTTTATCAATCCATCAATCAAAGCTTTATTTATAAAGCGCCTTCCCTGTCGGGAGGCCCAAGGCGCTGAACATGGTACATGAGAAAAGTTAAATATGATGAATAAATCGAAAATAAAAGCAATTCAAATATTACAAAAAAAGGTAAAACATTCTAGTGGAAGACAAATGGGTAAAACAAGGGATAGAGAGACCAATGAAAACGGGGAAATAAAAATGTAAAAGAGGGCCAGATTCAAACACGTTAAAGGAACGCCAAGCGGAGGAGGTGGGTTTAAAGACTGGCAGAGATGGGGACAGCCTAACTGAGGGTGGCAACTGGTTCCAGATTGACGGTGCTAGGACAGAGAAAGCCCGGTCCCCGCGAGTACGGCACTTAGAACGAGGGACCGCGAGCAGGCCTTGGTTAGAGGAGCGCGTGATGGGGAATGTCTGTTCAGGAGTGTGGCTAGATAGGGGGGAGCACCAGTGGTGCCAGTATTTATGCTGGTTTGTTTTAAAATAGCAGCAAAGTCATTTTCTTAAAGGGGACATATATTGATGTTTTTACTTAACTTATTACAGTGCTATATTTGATAAAAACAAGTTCATGATGCTCTTTGCTCAAAATCTCTTTCCCAAAGCAATTTCAGCAGTTTGATTTTTGACATTTTCAGTACCTTCCAGAACGAGCCGTTTCAGGATCCCGTCACTTTAAAGCTGCCATAACGAATCTGCATACAAGCTAGGTTTTGAATGCAAACACGGTCACGGAAACACTCAGCCCCCTGGTATCTTCCCTGGATCCATGTCCACCAGAACCGGAAGCCCACATTGCCAGAGAAAACGAGATAGTGCTAAACACCTGTCGCCATTTTCTAGGTGAAAATGTGTTGTACGTGACTGAAAATGGTGTTTTTCTTTTTAGGGCTCTGGTAGTTTGTTCTAAAGTTGAAGTGGTAGCAACTGGCTGTTTCTCCCTCTATGATATTATTGAGCTGCAAACCTCTCACACCAGTGGTGTTCTGTTGCTAAATACGTGAGTATGAAATTGGGGTGGACTGGGACGACACTTCGGCCCTGGCATTTTTATGAACGGTCAGCCCGTCAGCGAGTGCTCACAGACTCGTCTCTATGCTGCCAAATGTGAGAGCAGGGGGTGGTTGTGTCGGCCAAAGCTGGGCAAGCGGCCCACTTGGAGTACCAGAAAGGCCAGTCCACCCCTGTATGTAAGGAATGGAGGACGCAGGGAAGTGTGGTGGTTTGGTGAGACCAACAACCGGATTGTCCAGTAGTTGCTTTTTGTCCAAAACAAGTTGACGGATGTTTTTAGACAAATGTGAGAGAACCACTTTAAGGTTTTTCTTTTTATTTCCACAATATATTTATTGTCATTATGTTGGAACATTGTTAAGAGGCATGAAAAAATGTTTTAAGCTAATTTGTTTTCCAAATTTGCTATAGCAGCTTTAAGAAAACAAGCTGGAGATGACCACGCCCACCCATCCCCACTCAGCTGAGAAGTTCTGATATCAAGGAGGGGCTCAGAGCAAAGCCGCTGCTCCAGCAGTTCTCTAGCATGTGAGAGGTGCTTCTATTCTGAGTTCTCTGTTTGTGATGTCACAAACGGGGACTTTTTGAAATTTTTAAAGTACACATTCTCTAAACCCAAAAACAAATCAAACGAATGTTATTTTTTTCATGTTTGGAGTGTGAATGCAGAATGTGAGTTTTGCATTTATCCCCTTTAAGTTGAATATGTGGTTATAATGCATATTTAATATATTATTAACACAAAATGACTACATTTTCACAGCAAAATCCCTTAAAGAGAACGATTTGGGTTCAGTCAAGTAAATGTGCAGTTTTAATGAAAGAAGAATGAAAACATTAATTTTCTAACAATTTCCTGATATTTCTCAATTAATTAATTAAATATAATGTTTTAAGCATATTCCTGTTTTTTTTAACATTTCAGCCAAGCCAACATTCCTACATCTAAGGTCTTCTCCGTGCTGTCTTGTTCGTCTGCAACAATTTGTGAAAACTGACGAGATGTCATTCAAAACCCGACCACTAGATGCCACCATTTCCAAAGAGTAGAGTTTGACTCAAAAGTCTCATGACTTAGTGTGATTTCTTTGTGGTTTTATTACATTTTTATTACAAAATGAATACAGTAATTAATTACAAGTAATGTAAGAAACCACTTATATACAAGTCATAAAAATAAAATACATCTTGGTATAAAACTATTGCTGGATAACTGATGATGTCATCAGGGCCTGATAGGTCCCAGCCAGAGGATGCAGAGAACATTTCAGATCTTAATCTCCAAAATGAGCACCATATTTGTAAGTCTCCACTTTGGTGGCCGACAACAGGTCAGCAGCCTGTTTTTCATTTTTCATTCAAGCACTTCCCAATAAGTTAATAGCAGGTGAATGTAAATGCACAGTGAAAACTGAGCAGGATTGGAATCTACCTGTTAAGGAATTGGGAGAAATTAGAGTTTTGTGGAATTAAATCTTAATAATTTCCCAAATAAATATGAAGGAAGATGAAACAAGAAACAAGGAAATATAAAACAGAATAACCTGACAGAGGTTTCCAGAGATTTATCCGCATTTCTTTTCATTTTCCCTTTTCGTTGATACTTCCGTAAGTCCTCCAGAGTGTGTGCATCCACTGGCCTCTCACACGCTCATCCTTTCTGTCTTCATACTGACGGGGCCACTTGTCCAAAAACCACTCGTTCACACTGAGGCTAATCCAAGCCGAACCTTGGTCTCTCACCGATTAAAGTGCTCTCAGTAAGGGTAGGCAGAGACTGCGATGTAAACAGTGAAGGTTGTCTGGTATTCAATACCTCTGTTCTCGCTGTAGGAGAGAGCTCGGACCTTCATGCGGTATGTCAGGGGCTCTCGTAGAGGCCGAGTAGTAAACAAAACCCCCTTCATGTTCTCATCTCGAAGAGCAAAAGGTAACTTGACGTCCTCGTCCACCAGCAGGAAGGTGGTCCTGGGGTGCACCACACCATCTTGCATGTAGGCTACCAGCCGGATGAGATCCTGGTTGGCTGCAATGCCGTAGGGAAGAGACAGCAGCTTGTACTCCAGGGCGTAAGGACTCAGCGCACACTCAAGGTCATTTGGAGGGCAGCTCTTCAAGCAGAACCTTCAAAAGCAAAAGTGTTGGTTATTGGGTTGTTGTGGACCAGGTTTAGTTTTCATTTCTGTCGGTAGCTGGGAGCTCCCGCCCTGAGGGAAAAGAGCCGTGTTTGTGTGTGCTCTCCATGCAGCGAACATCTCTGCACCAAACTCTCACTACAGCTGCTCAGTGGGAGGAGAGAGCAGCGAGCGTATGCGTGGCCTGCAGAACACTGGACAGACTATTGTGAGGACAATGAGAGAACAGGAAGCAAATTAATAAAATTATGTGGTGAGTCTCCAAAAGCAACACAGCTCACACCTGCCTTTTTTAATGTTATTAAAGAGGACACCACAGACTTTCCCGAGCATCTTAAACGCCGTCCACGTGCCTGGAGATTTTTGCATTCCTGTGAACTCCTTCTGAACTGTATGTGAACAAAAACTGCCTGTGCGAGACTGAACTGACGTGACCCTCCCCTGATGTGTAAGTGGCTCAATAGTAATAAAAAGCACTACTATATATATATATATATATATATATATATATATATATATATATATATATATATATATATATATATATATATATATGCTTTTAATCTTCAGCAGCTGTCTCTTATTAAACAGTAAATTCCCTCCAACAGACTCACTAGAATAATTATGTGGGTGCTGGGAAAAGCACCCTGGACTGCAGATAAACAACCAATCATGTTTGGTTTCTAAGGAGAACTGGGGACTATTTGGCCAATCAACATCACTGGATTTATTGCCTCTGAGCACTGGCTGACCTCGCCCGTTACAGGAAACAGCTAGCTAGCATGCTAGAAAGAGCTGGTTCCCCCTTTTTTCTCTCTCTTTGTCGCTTCCTCATTCACAAACACACTCCCTGTTGGTTTAATGTAGAAATAAACACATACCTGTAGCTGTTGATTTCAGATATGTTTATTCTCATTTTATATGTTTATAATATATAAAACAGGATATCTGCTTCATTTTCCATGTCTTGTTTCTGCTCCATACTGGTGTAGCTGATGCTTTGTGCGCTGAGGTGTGCATGCTTTGAGCAGATTATTGAAGTTTGGTTTATGCTTGAAGCATAGGGAACTTTCTAAGTACCGGGACGGTGCTGCACAGAAAAACATGGTGGACAAGTAAGAGCTCGTTGTGGCGGAGGTTTTTAAGTACAGACATCTTTATGATTCGGCCCATGAAGATCACCGTGATCAAAATATTGTTAAGAATTGCCGTCACAGTCGGAAAAGTTAAGGAAACAGTGAAAAAATGTTGTAAACTACAGTTATTGCTACTTCTACTATGGTGTAGTGTTGGATGCATGCTGTAGAGCCCCATGCTGCCCCCTACAGTCTGGGAGAATACTGGCTCACAGCGGAGACAAGCCGCAGAGGGTAGGAAGGAACCATAAACGCTGCAAGTTCCGTTGCGCGTTCCGTCCACGCAGAATGAACATGCGTCATGCATAAACCAAGCTTAAGACACACAGGCTGCTGGAGACTGAAAGCTCAAGCTGGAAAAATAAACAAGGACACAATAAAATGTGAATAAAAAAATATAAATTATAAACTGCAGTTGCTCTCAGAGACTTACATGGTAGGCTTGAGTGTTTAATAGAGAATTATTATTATTATTATTAGTACAGTCTGACTTATCTGTAAATTTGATTATTGACTATCTGTAAAAGTGCTTCGGCAGGAAAATTAATGATTGCTTTGGAACTGCTGTCATTTTCCAACTGTTAAACTGTAAATGGCCTGTATGTGATATAGTGATTTCTGGAGTCCTAGAACCCCCCCAAGGCACTTTACAACAAAATCAGTCATCAACCCATGCACACACAGATTCACACACTGATGGTGAAAAGGTACGATGTAGCCACAGCTGCCCTGGGGCTCACGGACAGGGGTGAGGCTGCCACAGTTCCCTTCGTCCACCTCCAGCAGGCAAGGCGGGTTGAGCGTCTTGCCCAAGGACACAACAGCAGGGTTCTCTGCCGGGATCGATCCTACAGCCCTCCGATTGCTGGACAGCCCGCTCTACCTCCTGAGCTACTGCTGCCCCAAAATGGACTAAGAAGGGAAATATTTCACTCATAGCCTCACCTAGAAGTTTTCACCAGCCGCCACTGCATGCATCAATATGAATCATAAATGTGTGAGCAAAATGTGCTTCTAGGATTATGTGTGAACATTTACAAGCAGACCTAATAATAATTTTATTCAGAGAAAAAAAGAGTAGCATCAAATCCTGGTCTTGGTCTAAAATGGTGTTGAACCATGGGTGTGATTAGAAGCAGGCGATAGTGGTTATTTCTGAGTATTTACCCCGTGGCTGGGTCTCTCTGGTAGTTTGGTGGACAGGGAGTGTCGATACACTGGTAACTTCCTCTGGTGTTGAAGCACATCCGGTTTGCTCCACACTGGATGTTCTGCTCCACACACTCGTCTATATCTGAAGATACAACAAACAGCCCATCGTGTCCCATTCTGAAGAGCTGTGCTGACTGCTCACTAAATAATGTAGAAGTCTTCCTCACCCTGGCACATCTTGCCATTGGTCATCAGGCGGTAACCGGCAGGACAAAGACACCTGTGGCTTCCTGGTGTGTTCATGCACTCATGCTGACAGGCGTCCCTCACCTCACATTCATCGATGTCTGTTGGAATTATACAAACACAGAAAGGAAAACCTAAATGGGCAAATAAGGTAAAACTTCCAATAAGTTATCAACCAATCATCCTCTCTCTCGTCTCAGCATTGCCTGTCCTCCATAGTTACCTACGCAGTGAGCACCCTTGGGCTCAAAGCCCTCCTGACAAGTGAGGACTTCCTGCTTTGAGGAGTGTTTGTGAGCCTCCTTGCGACTCCGGCTCCTGTAGCGGCCGCCTGAGGTGGGTGTGTACGAGTGGTAGCTGTGAGAAGCCAGGCTGTGGTACAGCCGCTGGGCGGGGCTGCGTTCAGGAGACGACTGAGTTGTGCGATAGCCATACGAATAGCTCTCATAGCTGGGCAGCCGCTCGAGCCCAGCGCAAGACTTGCCATCTCCTAGCAGGTGGCGCCCTGGTGGGCAGATGCACTTGAAGCTGCCAGGTGTGTTGATGCACTGGTGGGCGCAGGGCTGTGGAAGCCGCTCGCACTCATTTATGTCTATCCTCAAAACAAAGAAAGACCAGCACCAGGAAAAGACAACGAGACAGGAAGAAATATTAGAGAGGGAAAAATAAAGTGGAAAATAAATAATTGGATAAGAATGAAAGGATGAAAATGGAATAAGTCAGTCATCCCACTGAACAACAACCCATTTCCTCATGCCCATAAAAGAAATGTATCGAAACTATGAGTGAGAGAATTGCTGCTTCTCTTAAAACGACAAGAATTCTGAGAAATTATGAATCTAAAAACATTTTCTTACCAGAAGAATATCAGGCATTACTTTTATTTAATGGGGGGGAAAAATCCATTTGCTTTGAGATAAAAACTTAGAGGGTTATAGGAAACTGATGCTGTTGAAAAGCAGCACCAAAAAAGCCAAATCCAAAAGCAACAGCTGAGGAAAAGGTTTTAAAAGAATTGAAAGGTGGTGAAAAGAAACAAAGATGTGAGGCATTGGTGCTGGTCTGTCTTCTAACGAGGTGCCGGTGTTGTCAGATCGCACAAGATAAATAAATAACTGGGTTCATGTGAAATAAGCCACCTAAACCTATTTTTTACAATAAAAATATCTCCTTAAACAGACAGTGGAATAAAGATGCAGATTTAGTATCTTTGCTGAAGGTAGAGCAGCAAAGTGCATGCAGGTCTAAGTAGAATGGCCCTTCGACAAACAAACACATTCAGTTATTTTACTGTGATTGAGTCACTTAACTGCCAGGAATGCATAGCTACAGAATCAAAAGAACAGTTTTCATACAAAATATGAATTGGTGCCAATATTTGGAAATAAAAGTCTAAAAACAGGGTATCTGCAGGTTTAAGGGAGCCAAATTTAAGACTTTTTAAGACCTTTTTTAAGGCCACTTTGACCAAATTTAAGCTATAATTTCCAGCTATTGCCTGGAACGGGTGCTAACCACGTCGCAAATGTGGGATTAGCCATCCAGTTATCATTAAACTTGCACTTCCCCATGGCGCAAGCGCCCACTAGCTTAAAGAGCAAGTCAACCCCTACCAGAGTCTAACTCCACTCCCACTTCATGTTTGAAAAATGCAACAAATGCTGTTGCCTGGCAGACCAAGAAGGCGGAGCCGCTAACAAATACACACACACAGGCTCACGACAGCATTGTGACATCATAATGTACCAGTTTACATCATAGCTTACCTCTTAGCCAATAGCGGTGGCAGATTTAAATTAAAATACAGTACAGAGTTTTTACCTGACAACGGCACAACACTGCCAGTTTTAGGCAGAATATTTAAATTTTAACTAAGATGCACTGAAGTGCCAAATTATTGACGACACGTGTCTGCAGCACGATTAGACACTCGTTTATTTAGTTTATCAGCAAAAAAAAAGTTTATTTGGGGGTGACTTGCTCTTTAACCAGCTAATGTGCTAATCTAAAAATAGCCACATTTCACAACCAACTGAATGTGTACGGGTCCGTATACGCTAACATTATACACAAAAAAACCTGAACACTAACTAGACATTCATGAAAATTTTATAGAAATTAAAGAATCTTTTTTATTGGGTCTTTGGTCATTTAAGACCTTTGTAAACTGTATTTAAAGATTATTTGTCATTTTTAATGATTTTTAAGACCTTAAATTTGGAAAAGCAAATTTAAGACTTTTTAAGACTTTTTAAGGACCCACGGATACCCTGAAACATTGAATCTTTTTTCTTCATTCATTTATTATTTTTATTAATTTTTTTTTGTTAAATATCTGTGTGTCGTTAAGAAGGACGTGTTTTTAGGAATCGTCTTAATGCCACTCTATCACATTTAGGTCTACTTTCCAGAAACTCTCCACTAAACAAATGTTCTCACATATGGCAGTGATGTCCTCCCTGGTCCTCCAGAGCCACCATCCAGCCTGTTTTAGAGCTTTCTCTGCTTTAACACACCTGACTGTAATCAGTAGGTGAATAACAGTTTTCTGTAGAGCTTGGCGACCTGCTGAACAGGTGATGCAAATGAATCAGGTGTGTTGGAGCAGAGAAACTAATATGCTTGATGGTGGCTCTCAAGGATTAGACACCACTGCCTTTTGCTGTTTTTACTTGTGGCGTTAAACCTTGCTGTTTAAATAGATGGACAAAAGCATGGCAGAGGGAACGAGGATCAGAAGAACCGTAAAACAACTGTGTGGTGAAACTATAGAGGAAACTCATGGGAGGCAAATACTGAGCTTTTTACCATGTAATGTTGTTATTTCTCCATGAAAAACCCAAACAAGCCCATTTTAGCTGCGTTCATGCATTTTCCTGTTTCAGCTGCAAGTTTAGAGTTTTAGAAAATCCTGTAAAGCATCAGTGGAAAGTAGTCCCATCACCAGGCTCTGCTCCTCTCCTGGAAGCTTGTCTCTGGTCTGAAACCTGTCTCCTCTGGCCTGCACAGTATATGTGGCTAAGGTGACTTGGTGTTCTACTGGTGAGTGTTGCTGGGCTGACATGCAGTTTTGCACAGGTTCACATCCCGGTCTCAGATGTAACATTTTTCTTATTTAGTAGCTACACTTGTCCAGTGTGTTGTTTTAACCCTTAATTGGTAAACTGTTTCAAATATATAGACTAACTGAAGATAAATGACTGTGCCTACCTTTGCCCTCAAAGACTTAAAATAGCAGGATAATGAACCTTTAAATGTGTAAACAATGTTGACAAGTTGATTTGTATTTAAAAAATCTAATACCATGCACTGAAACCTGTCTCCTTTTTTTAAAGCTTTTATTTATTTTTTTGCTCTTGTGAAGTGCCTGATTTTTATCTTGAGAGACGCTATAAAAAGATTGTTTTCTTTCTCTACATTTCTGCAAAGAAAACATTTGTTTTGTGGTTATTTCAGCATGCAGCGAGAGGTTCTGCATCAGCACGTCTTTACCGATGCAAGATGTGTCACAAAAAAAAAATTCTTCCAGCAGAAGCAAGCAAGCTGATGAAAAGAGCAGGTAAAGAGCAAAAAGAAATGTTAGGTAAAAATCCTCCTAGCTATTAAAAACAGCACTCCATCAACTTACTGTATCGGCTTCTTATTTGGTACAAAATCGTATAAAACACCAGATGGCTTATTTTTGATTACTGTGCAAAAGTTTCTTTGTTTACAGTGTTTGTTCATATTTGTCTAAAACATTAGCACAGTGCTAAAGGTTTGGTTTATTGAAGACAATCTAATCTGAATGATTTTACGTACCAAGACAAAGCCGTCCAAGCCCCTGAGATCTGAAGCCACGTGGACACGTACAGTGGTAGCTGCCTCTGGTGTTCTCACAGATCTGGTTGTATTGGCACTGGTGGGTGCCGTCTTTGCATTCGTCGATGTCTGCAGCACGAGGGCAAAAAGACATTGGTCACTCAGAACAGAAAGAACAACTAGAACTCCCCATCTCTGAGCTGCTGGACTCTCACCATCACACGTTCCGTTCTCACTCTTGGTCATCCCATTTGGGCACAGGTCAACACAGGTGTAACCACCTCGAGTGTTTTTACACTGCTGATCTGATCGGCAAACCCTCTGCCTGCACTCATTTATATCTGAGGTAAAAAGAGAAAGAAACAAGTCTAGAATCTAGAAAAGGTTTTCTAAAATATCCTGACTGGACTTGGTTAGACGACATTTATATTTTATAAGATTTTAAGTGGTTTAGCAAAAATACTGCATCCTAAATGCTGCAAACAGGTCTTTAAAAGTCTATGTGAGGGATGGTATACCATCTAGTGGCAAAGCAGTATACTGCAACCAAATGAAGAATGCCCAGGAGGGTTTTCTCACCCATGCAGCGTCTGTTCCTGAGTTGAAAGCCAGGCTCACAGGCACAGCGATAGCTTCCGATGGTGTTCAAACAGTGCTGATTACACGGGTGGGACTCCTGACACTCGTCCACATCTGAGCAACAAAAGTCATGAAGCAAATTTGTTTTAATAAATGCATGTTCACTAATTCATTATAAAAAGAAAACTTTACATCAGTTCATATACCAGTGCAGCTGAGACCGTCTGTGGTTCTTCTGAATCCACGGCCACAATGCATCACGCATCTGTAAGAGCCAATGGTGTTTTCACAGTCCTGTCCACCATGGCACATGTTCCCTCCTAACAAACACTCATCAATGTCTGAGTAAGGAGAGAGCAGTCAGTCAACAGGGCAGTGGCCAGAGAAATCCATCTTGCAGTGTTCAGCTGCATACCCTGACAGGTCCTGCCATCAGCTGAGATGGAGAGGCCTCGTGGGCAGGAGCAGTAGTAGGTACCCATGGCATTGTGGCAGGTATGGGAACAGGGGTTACCAACCTCACACTCATTTTCATCTGCATCGGAAACATGTCAGACAAAATCGGAGCATGTCAAAGTCACATATATTTAAGGATGGTACTGCTTCAATAAGGCAGAAAAACAAAAGGTACTGAAACCTGCACAGTAAGGCCCAGCAGACACCAAAGTAAAGCCATGAGGACACTGGTTACTACGGTCGCCTACAACCACATGATGACACTTTCAGTTTCCAACAATTTTACAACAAATGAGTAGTTCAGCAAACCTTAGAACCCACCTTTGGTGATACTAGCTTGGATGCTATACTCCAACACCTCCTCTAGAGGCCGGTAGAGAGCACTGATGGAAGTAGCGTGAAGCGTTTCTACCAAGTAGGGCATCTTTCCTCTTTTTTGATCATAGGTGATGGTATGGTTCCAGGAGTAAGGCACGCTCTCCTTGTCGATGGTGAACAAACGAGTGGACAGAGCGTACAGCTGGCTCAGACCGGTCTGGATGTAATCCTCAGTGTAGTCCTGAAACAACATAAGGTCCTGTTGTTTGGCCAGTCCACTACATAAATAGATCGGGACTGCATTCAACGGTGAATGTGACGACTTAATGGTTGGCACACTTTACAATTTGATGTACCTTGATGTTGATATTGGCATGTGAAGGCAGCTGTAGTACATGACCATTCAGCACGATGTCCAGCAGCAATGCTCCATCTGAGTCCAAGCCCCGAGCAATGTGGGTCATCCTCAAGATTTCACCTGCCAGAATCCAGTTACATCTAAGGTTAATTATCCTGCTAACTTCATGGAGAAATTAAATAATTCCAAAAGTAGTTCTACCTGTAGCAAACTCCACCTGCGTCTCTCGTCTAAAGATACCTCCTGTTAATGTGTGGCCATTAACGGCCCCTCCTACTTCCTGGGCTGTGGTCCAATAGATGGGGTTTAAGATGGAGATAAGCTTCCTCATTGCAGGACCTGGAATTTAAAAGTCCTATATTTATTTTCTTCTATTGAATTTTAAGAGAACCTTTTGAGTAGAAGGTAATATAAATGAAGCTAACCTAAGGGCCTTGGTACGTTTGAGATAGAGGCGTGGATTATTCTGCTGCCAGACTTGCCCTCGGTGATGGAAGCATTAAGAAGGCTGATGCCAAACTCGATATCGTTGATGTTTCCTACGATGCTTCCTCGAGCCCTCTGTGGCCCACCTGACAAAAAATAAATACTTTGTTTTTTTTGTCCCACATTCTGGAATATCTTTTGAAAATGTTAGAGAATCTTTGTATTTCTGTGAAAAGTACCTGGGCACGCCTGAATGTTACACCTGGACAGCTGAGTGGAATCTCCTGGACAAGGTCGTCCACCATTAACGGGAGATGGACTGTTACAGAGGCGGACACGAGTCCTCTCCCCACCTCCGCAGGAAGCAGAGCAGTCCCCCCATGGCTGCCATGAGCCCCAGCTACCATCAACTGCATTAATAAACCACAAAACACCTTTTAATAGCACTTTAGGCTCTTGTTTTGAATGTTTTTTGTGCAATATACAAATGTTCACTCACCAGGGCAATCAGCAGTGCTGCATCTTTGCATGTGAACATCAGCTCCTGCACACATCCTCCCACCATGAGCAGGTCTGGGGTTGTCACACGTCCTGTAGCGCCTCATCTGACCTCCGTTACACGTCTTGCTGCAGCTGCCCCAGCTGTTCCATGGACCCCAGTTACCATTGACTGAAAAGGACAAAAGATCCACAAGTAAGAACAGAGCTGACCAGTAAAACGAGCCGCCCTCAATTGTCAAATCCAAGTGGGATGAAAAAAAGAACTCACTGGGACATGGGTTGCTGTTACAGAAGTCAGTATGCACATCGTTGCCTTCGCACTTCCTGCCTCTGTGCTGAGGTGCGGGGCTGGCACAGAGGCGTGTTCTTTCTCTAGTTCCACCCCCACATGAAACACTGCAGGATCCCCAGCTCATCCATGACGACCACTTTCCATCCACTAGAGGAAAAGGGAAATAAAGAATTGCTTGTTAAGTATTTACAATTAAACTTCAATAAATTCACTCTCAGTGAAAAAGGTGAGGTCTTCTGATTGCAACATTTCACCTGGACAAGATGTTTCTTTGCACACTTGTGACTGCGTGTCGGTGCCTTCACATTGCAGCCCATCAAATGTTGGAGGAGGGTTGTTGCACAGTCGGATCCTGGACTGTAACCCCTTACCACAGGACTCACTGCAAGGACTCCATGGAAGCCAAGGCCCCCAGTGACCTGCCACTGCGAGCAAGAAAGTTCTAAGTCATCTCCTTCTCTGTGATAATCCTGTGATTATTGCTGAACTCAGAATGAGCTAACAAGTGTCCCCTGCATCATCAGATTAAAACCAATCTTCTCACCTGGACATGGCCTGACACTACACATGATGACATCCACTGCTTTTCCCTCACACGACCTTCCTCCATGCTGAGCTGGAGGGTTGGAGCAGGTCCGGATTCTGGTTCTGTTGCCTTGACCACAGGTTTGTGAACACTCTTCCCAGTGAGACCACTCTGACCAGTGGCCATCCACTGAACGAGAACACAGAGATATGATTTATATATATTTTTTGCAAGCAAACTTCTCTACAAGCAATCTCACCTGGACACAGTTGTTTTTGACAGCTGCGAGTTTCTGTGTCTGATCCTGCACAGTGATGGCCCCCGTTGGCAGGCAAAGGATTGTTACAGAGCCTCAGCCTCTTCTGGGTTCCAACGCCACAGGAAACACTACAGATGCCCCACTCTGCCCACTCCGAGTACCCCCCGTGGACTGAAAAACAAATCACACTTTCAACAACTGGAATGTTTTTCTTTAAAGGTGTTGAGCACATTTAATTAATACAGCGAATGCCTTGTAAGTTGTACCTGGGGGGAAAAAAGCCCTGGCGAACCATTTTCAGGAACTAGAATTTTTATTTGAGTTATTTAACCTTTATTTAACCTGATGAACTCATTCTCTTAACAACGGTGATCTGGACAAGAGGGAGCAGCAGCAGAGACGTAAGTAGCTTTGCACCAAAAAACAAACAGGCAGATTAGATCAAATTAAAACAAACAATTTAAATTTAAGATAAACCCATTTAGACATAAGAGGCTGTTCTTATATACAATGTGTAAGAAATAAAAAAATACTTAAAACAATCTGCTCAGAAGCAGGCACATTGATCACAAACTATTGATCATATTGAATTGTTGAAGGTAGATGCGACGTAGGTAGCGAGCTTTTGGGATTTTTGCAGCTCATTCCAGTTGTTGGAAGCAGCAAACTGAAATGAAGAGCAGCCAAAGAAGTGAGCCAGACCAGAGTAGAGATTCAGACGACAGGATATGGGAGTCCTATTTCCTGATATTTTGACCATTATCCAACTTCTCACATGTGTTTTATTCAGCTTACCCTGAGTTGTTTATAAACATGTAAACAGAAAACATACATCATAAAAAACCTGAGCAATCAGCAGCTTACCTCGCATAGTGAGGGGTACTCTGACCAGCACAGACCCAAGCAAGTTTCTGGCCACACATTCATATTCAGCTGTGTCCTCCTTCTGAGCTCTGGTGAGCCTAAGGGAACCATTGGGGAAGGTAGAAATACGGTCGTTGGCCAGTAGGGGGCGACCCTGGCGGGACCACTCTATCGTGGGTGTGGGCTCACCCTCTGCTTGACAGTTCAGCATTACAGTTGTGCCAGCATCCACCACTGTCCCGACAGGCTCAATGGTTATGACGGGTGCACCTGATGGGACAGGACAAATCCATCTATTAAGCCCCAATGACAGTTTCATGCTTTTCCTCACCCAGCTAATAAAACAATGAAATTAAAGTCAAAACTCATTTGTGGGCAATGTCGTATTGCTATAATTGCACATCATAACTCACTGTCTCATTAAATTAAATTAATTAATTAAATTAATTAATTTCCCTCTGGGATTAATAAAGTATTTCTGAACTGAATTGAATTGAATCATATCCTATTATACAGTACATTAGACAAATTCTCACTCTGTAGTGTAAGGGTGACACTTCTTTCCACCACCCCAGCATCATTTGTTGCTACACACACGTAGTTTCCTGCATCTTCACTCTGTCAAACACATTGAGAAAAACAAATCTTTTAAAAGATTTTCTTTTTATAGAACCATTTTGAAACAAATTATTTTATCAGTGTGACACATGAAAGGTTTTAGTTAGTGATGCACCGATATGAAATCTTTGGGCAGATAGATATCCGATATTAAGATCACTGTTATGGCCAATAACTGATATTTGTCAATATCGATATACTGACATGAATGCTTCTAAAATCAGCAGATTCTGTATAGAATAAAAGTCATTAAAGATGAATTTACTTTGGCGGAGATTCATTCTTTGGCACAAAAGATGGATGCCATCAAGGAGAGAGTGGACGAATCAGCACGGATTGGGATAGATTAACGTCCATTATTATTGGGATTCTGAGAGGTTGAGGACCAACAAACTGTAAAACAGAGAGGAAATTATCTCTGTCTGCCCCCGAAACAATTTCTAATCGGAATCTGGCGTCCTTGAGCCTGCAAGGCTCCAACGAAAACTCCCCCCTCAGAAGATATGTGGAATGTGCCGTCACTATGGCAACTCAACTCTGCCTCCTTTCCCAGCCTGGGTGGGACAGCGGGAAGGCCGCCGAAGCGTCCAGGGTCACTGTAATCCTCCAACCCTCAACGCTCCCCCCCTATCCACACTGAGGTGACATGCACTGCTTCATCGTGGCTGCAGGAACTGAAGTGGGGATAGTCCCAACCCACCACCCCACCTAGTGGACACTTATGTTGTGTAATGTCTGAAGTCTGTTGCATATCTGTCTGAGGTGTTTTTTTGCAGAGCAAAGCTGCCCTCTTGGTGGAGGGTAACTTTGAAGTGCCTTTTTTTCCCTCCACCTGAACCAATCCTCAAGCAACCCCTCTTATCTCTATTAAGGTAGCGCGACTCAGGGTTGCGAATGACCACAGTCACCAGTTCTTGTCATGTGTCTTGCCCATGTATGTCTGATCTCTGAATTGTGTGTACTGAAACTTTAATTTTCCTCTGAAATTAATAAAGTATCTTTGATTTGATTTGATTATGTACACACACCACACACATTTACGCATCTGAGATGATTACAATCACTGTGGCATGACTAAACAAATACACATCACCCCCCTCACCCTCTGAAACAGGCAAACAAATGGTGACAAGATGGAAAAAATATAGATTGATAATATCGGCCTGTTTTTTTTTATCGGACCGATACCGATATGTTAAAAAATGACTAACATTGGTTGATACCGATATTGATGCCAATATATTGCCCATCTCTAGTTTTGGTAATAGAAGAGCACGTCGTGCATCATCCAGAGGGACATCAGGTGCTCCGACAGTCCATGGGACATCAAATGTAGAGGAGAAAGAATGGCTGGAGCAAACTGGTCCTGAGTACTTTAATAGGTGCAAACAATCAGAACTAACGTTTCGACAGGTTTTATCTTCTTCAGACAGTTGAACTATGAAGAAGACAAAACCTGTCGAAACGTTAGTTCTGTTTGTTTGCGCCTATTAAAATACTCTGGACCAGTTAGCTCCAGCCATTCTTTCTCCTCTACATGAAAGGTTTTACTTTGATCAGTTTTCTTACCACAGTGCCATAGATGGCCAGTGAGCCATTGTTGAGCTGGCGGATTCGGTTGCTGATTAGGACGTTAATTCTGTTTTTGCTCCACCGTATGGTTGGCGGTGGATCTCCACGTACTTCACAGCTCAGGACAGCATTTCCACCCAAAGGCTCGATGCGGTTGGAGTGAGGGTCCCCATCAATGATCGGAGGCTCTGGAGAAGACATAGTTATAGCTGGGGTACATTGTTTAAAATGTTTTAAATATCTAAACCTTTTGGCTACCTGACACTGTTCTATGATATGAAGTAGGTCATCTTTCAAAAAGTTTGCTTCCCCAAAGTCCCACCCTGCCCTCTGCAGCAAAATGAGTCATTTATACAAGACTAATAGATTTGCATATCCACATAAGGGAGCTGTCAGTCAACGAGAATGCACCCCAATCCCCTGCATGCATTACAAGGTGATGCCATAGGAAGTTGGAAGTTTGCAATGAAGCAACCAAAACAAGTAACAAAGACACTGCTTTTCCTACTACCTTCTACGTCTCAAAAAGTATTTCATTCCTCCCCTGGCACTCAAAGCGAGCAGATGCTTTTCTTTTTCCTCCTACTCCTTATCTTCCCTAGGCTCTTCGTTCTGTCTTTTCTGACCGAATCTTTGGATTCTGTCTGGAAATAAATCTTAAAATGATGGATCTGGCCAGCTGGTCGCCAAACGCCATTGATGAAATTTTTACAACATTCAGAACGGAGAAGAGCACTCCCATATTCCTGCACGGAAAGCACCTGGTTGGATACATTTTGGATTCCTGGAAGTGGATCATTGTGTGTCTTTGCCTTCTTTCCATTAAGGACGCAGAAGACGTATGGTTTGGATTCATAATTTTTGAGAACCTGCTAATTGGAGTGGCCAGTTTTCTGATATATCTGAAATGAATGGAGCTATCAGGGGCTACTGGAAAAACCCTGAACTCCGGGAAGGTTACTGTCGTGTGCTGAGCGCTCAGACTAAGACGTTGCTGCAGGTGAATTGCAAGCTGGATCCTATGTGTAGCAACATGGGGCCGATTTCTCAATTCGCACACAGGATGGATACCATGATGGAGAATGCCACTGCATGGCACGGATGGAATTAAACCCCATCATTTGGCTGATTGGATACTCCTGTGACCTGTAAAACTGTAAGCCCGAGAGGAAAGCGTTATCTCTGGCCGGCTCCAAAACAATAAATGTTATCTGAATCTGGCTCTCCGCTTGGCCTTGCCTGCGAGAAAACAAAACTCCCCATAAGGAATACAGACACCTGCTCTCATCCCCCTCCTAACCTATTCCTGACGTGGAACTGTGGATCTGGGTGGAAGGTCATGGAACCACGAAGGACTCACTGCTCACTTTGTTATCCCTTGGCTTCCAATCTCCTATTGAAATTGCGTGGTTCATTTAATTTAACAGTTTGTTTTGTCAGTATTTTCACCTACTTACTTATTAATGTACCAGCTTTTACTGGCTAAGTTTGGTCACTTTCCACCATTAGCTTGATCATGGTTTTCATTCACTACTTAGAAATTCCGGGCTGCCAACTTTTAATCCTCTACCTGAGTGGTTCCCAATCTGGGGCCCGTGACCCCCAGGGGTTCCCTAAAAGGTTGTAGGGGGTCTGCACTATTTTGTGTGTGCTGGGGCCGTGAGGTTACCAAGATTGCATTTGTAAAAATTACATTTAAATAATCCAGATAACACACCCAATAGTACAATCAAAGCTCTGTGTAAGAGGCATAACCCTGTATGTCTGTATGAAGTTTCTAATTATTCACTATGAATAGTGTGCATGTGAGTAAATTATAAAATGATAAATGACCCGTACTAGGACTCCAAAGCGCTTTTCACACAGAATAAAGAATAAGAAAAATGAATAAACAAGAAAACAAATCCTGAATAGATTTTAAAATGCTGATTATACCACAAGTAATGAATACCACTGATGCCTTTTATTTAAAATGGACTTGCTTGTGTGTAATTTGGTTATTCCACATTCAGTGTTAATGCAGAAATATGTTTGTTTCCAAATTTAAAGGTTCAAAATTGCATATATGTTGATAAAGAAAATGTGCAAATTTGCTGTCACTTTTTCAAAAAATATTAAGTTTGGCCCTCGACTCCATCCCAGAGTTTCATTTCGGCCCCTTGTGAGTTTGAGTTTGACACCCCTGATGTAAGTGGTTTATTTGTTTCTTTTACCTTTGACGTAAACAAAACCCAGGGACTTAATGGTTCCCACGCTGTTTTCTGCCACACAGGTGTAGGTGCCCGAGTCATCTTTGCTCACTCTCTCTATAATCAGGTCACTGTGGCTGTTCATATGGTCATAATGGGCTAAAACAGTCAATGAAAAACATTAGAAGAAACATTTAAAGTGTGGAAAACAAAAACACTACTTTAATGTTTATGAAAATGGAAAATCTTATTAAATACACCTTTGATAATTTTATTGTTGAAGGTCCATGTGATCCTGGGTAGTGGGACACCAGCAACGCCACAGGACAGCATGAGACGCTCTCCTTTGTTGAGGGCAACGTCCCCGAGCAGCTCAGTGAAGACGGGGTGAGTATGGACATACAGCGCCACTGTCCAGCTGTCCTCCCCAACTGAGTTAGCTGCCACACATGTATAACTCCCTGCATCATCAGGCTGTGGCAAAGAGTTTTTAGAAATAATTCTTGGATGGAAATAATGCTGCTTATATAGTTGAGTTATTCAGAAAGATCACAAAACTTACAACACCAGAAAACCTACGCTTGTTCGTTTTTACCTGAGCACTGTCGATTACTAGCTCCCCTGATGGCAGAATGGTGTGCTCCCCTGTGCTTTCACTGAGAGGATTTCCATCCTTTTCCCAGGACAGTTTGGGTTGAGGGAGGCCCTCGACCACACAATCTAGCTGAGCTCGACTGTTCTCCACAACCACAACCTCTTGATCTTCACCTCGAATAGATGGAGGAACTAAAATATTAAAGGAAGAGGAAAACTGTTAAAAATTATAGGAAATATTTTCATTTCATTTCTTCATTTTATTTATTTATTTTGTGACATGAACATCCCCCCTCTCAAAAGCAAATACAATTTTAACCGTAAACAATTTTATGTTCACCAGTCTGGCCACTTTAACACCTTATACATGTCCAAAAGGGAGTAGGGAGAAGTATAAACTTATCCAGCCCTACCCCTGTCATTTAAAGAAAAGAATAATTAAAAAAAACAACACCAAAAAAAATAAATAAACAAAATAAAAATAACCTTTATCATAAGACACAATTAACCTAAAACTTAACCCTCACACTGTCTTTATGGGTGACCCCGCGAGGAAAGTTGACCGTTGAGCAGGATTGGTGGTTTATCCCTTGAGGTCCACGTGGCAGGGGTGAGGTGGTGCTCACTCCTCACCTCTGCCACATGGACCCAAGGGATAAACCATCAACCTTGTTTAATGGTCAACTTTCCTCGCGGGGTCACACCCTTTAGAACAGTGGGAGGGTTAAACCAATATATAACCATCATTCTCTCGATCCCCGCCTCCGATACTCCATAACGTTGTCCATATCCTTTTTGTTTTAAAATGTAAATGACCTCTCAACTCATAATTACTTTCTCTTTCTGTAAATTATTTTTGTATGTTTAAAGGAAGAATATTATTTCTTGCTTTATACAATATTTGAGTGGTTCTAAACTTAACTAAATCCTCAAATTTTAATATTTGCATTTTGTGTGTGCTCTCTATATCCACTTTTAGTTACTATTCTTATAGCTTTTTTTTCTGCATTATAACCAATATTTGCATGTTTGACTTATACGTATTTCCCCATACTTCGACACAATAACATAAGTATGGTACCAATAATGCACTGTATAGTATATATAGTGCTCTCTGATTTGTCAAATGCCTTACCTTTCTCATAATAGAGACACTCCTCGCCAGCTTTACGCGAATATAATTTATATGTGGCGTCCAGCTAAATTAATTATCCAGAATGACACCTTAAAATTTTATTTGTTCAACTTGTACTATTTCAAACTGATCTACCATTAATTGGATTTTTTGCTGCTTTTTTTCCACAGCCAAAAACCATGCATTTAGTTTTGTCCAAATTTTGTACAAATTTGTTTGTGTCACACCATCTTTTTATATTTTTCATTCCCTGTGTAACCCTATTCACTACCTGTTGCAGGCCCTCTCCTGATGCAAATTAATTTGTATCATCAGCAAATGTTATCATCTTTAAATCTTCTACAACCTTATTTATATCATCAGCATAAAGTATGAATCATTTCGGTCCTAATATTGATCCTTGCGGCACTCCACAACTAATCTTCCTTGACTCGGATTTAAATTCATTTATCTGTACATATTGTTGTCTGTTTTCCAAATAGCTATATATCTATGATGCTACTAAACATCTTATTCCATGCCTCTCCAACTTTTTTAAAGTATTCTATGGTTTACCGTATCAAAGGCTTTACTGAAGTCTAAAAACACACCCATCGAATACTTCTTTTTATCCTGGTCTTCTGTTATATCTTCTACTAGGTCCAGTAGCCCCAATGCTGTAGACCAGCTCAGTGGCCTAGTAGTAGAGGGTCTGCCCTGAGACTGGGAGATCAGGGTTCGATTCCTGGTCGGGTCATACCAAAGACTTTGAAAAAAATGGGACCCAATGCCTCCCTGCTTGACACTCAGCATTACAGGTTGGATTGGGGGGTTAAACCACCAAATTGTTCCTGAGTGCGGCTGTGTCTGCAGCTCACTGCTCCCCCAGGGGATGGGTCAAATGTGGAGAACAAATTTCGCACACACATCAGTGTGTGTGACAACTGATGAGACTTTAACTTAACTTCCTGCCCGAAAACCGTACTGACTCTCAGATATCAATGCGCGTTTCTCTATGAAATTACCCAATCTACTTAAAAATACTTTCTCCAAAATCTTGGAAAACTGTGAAAAGACTAAGATTGGCCTATAATCAGTAAAGTTGCACTTATCTCCATCTTTCAACAATGGCACCACTTTTGCAATTTTCATTGCGTTAGGGAATATTCCAGTGCTAAGAGAAACATTAAAGATAACATTTAAAGGTTTGACTATTCCATCTATGACACTTTTTCGCACTATCATTGCAATCCGTGGACCTTTTGGATTTACATTCTCTAACTAGTCGAACAATTTCTTCCCCATCTGTTTCTTTTTAAAACATAGTCCTGGTGTTTATTTCTATCTTTTCAACGGTTTGTGTACTTGTCAGACAACATTTTTAAAATTATGACTGAAAGTTTGGGAATTTATTATAGAAGCTGCAGGATTTACGGAATCATGATATAACTTACTGTGCACTGTGAGGCTCATATCCAGGCTGGCAGTGCCCGCCGTGTTGGCAGCAGCACAAGTGTATCGTCCAGCATCGCTGTGCTGAACGAAGGCGATTTGCAGCGATCCTGAGCCGAGAACCTGTTGGTGAACGGAGTCTCTCAACAGCTGCCCGTCCTTGTGCCATGTGATAAAGGGAAGAGGAGACCCTTCAGCTTGGCAATGAAGCGTCACAGAGGAGTCCACAGGTGCCACGTACTCGTGCGTTTCTGAACGTATCACTGGAGGCACTGAGAGACATTGGGGAAAAGAAAAAGTAAATGCAACTTTAAAAAGTGCACTCACTGACACCAAAACATTATTTTCATATTACTATTTACTATTTAAATTGTACAGGTTTTGTTATTTAAAAAAAAAAACACTTACCTTGTACTCTGAGTTTGGTTTTGCCCAACGCATTGCCCGCAGGATTTTGAGCCACACAAACGTACGTCCCAGAATCTGACAACGACACCTTGGAGATCTGTAGACTTCCATCAGGAAGTGATGTGAAGCCACCACCTGCTGCAAAGCAAAACATACAATGGCATGACTAACGACTTGTCATTACAGGCTGACACATAGACTAGGTAGTTACCTGTAGTGAGTATGTTGATGCCCTCTTTCTGCCAGGTGATGGTGGGTCTGGGTGAGCCAGTGGCTCTGCAGGGCAGAGAGATGACACTGTTGACTATCACATCCAGAGTGGATGGAGAGAAATGGATCACAGGAAGTTCTGAAGGGAGGGATGGAGAGAAAATGATGAATTATACTGATGTTAAATGGAAACACCATATTGTTTTATTTAAATGCAACAAATGTTCATTTAACTCAATGTTGCAGCTCATGTTAGAATGTGTTATTGTAAATTAATAAAAAATGAATGAATATAAATAATGAAAATATTTATGGCTCAGCTCCATGAGCCTGTAAGCCAGAATATACTGCTGTTTCGTGAAAAGCAGTCAACATCTGCAGACTGTATGTGTCAAATCATCTCACGATATGATTGTGAAGATGTCTTTACCTTGCACTGTGAGTTGCACATGGCGGTGAGCGGAGCCTGCAATATTTTTAGCAATGCACGAGTAGCGACCAGCATGACTAAGCTCAGCGGAAAGGATTTCTACTTGACCTGAGGGAATATCCACACACACAGTGTACAAAATTAATGCATTTAACCATTTACCCAATTCCTTAAATTATACCTAACAGCATCTAAAATATCATGGTGCACGTATTTCAAGGAACGTCCATAGAAAATTGAACATTGTTAGTTCATGCATTGTTATAAGTTTGACCTGTTGGCAGAATGCTGTATCCCTGTCCTTTATGAAGGAGTTTCCTGCCATCTTTACTCCAGAGGATTGTGGGTTCTGGAACTCCAGTTGCAGTACAAGCAATGACCACCGGGGACAGTTTAGTCACAACCAGCTCTGTGGGCTCATCTGCTACAGATGGAGGAACTATGGGAGAAATACAGAGAGAATATTTATGTTGTGCAGTAAATTTATTATTTACTTAAAAAGCTCAGTCACATTAATGGTAAAGGTCCTGTATTTAGACCATGCCATGCCATAGCATATCATAGCATAGCATAGCATATCATACCATAGCATACCATATTCAGTTCAATTCAATTCACATCCCATCCCATACCATAACATGTTTATTTGTATAGCACATTTAAAAACAGCATGACAGCTCACCAAACTGCTTCACAAGGAGCATGAATGCTCTGTAAAAGCAGGACAAACAATGATAAGTAGTAATGCAACGATAGTAAGATCAAATAAATGTAATGAGGAAGGAGGCTAAAAAGCAAACAAAATCATTAAAACACACATATGAACCATGAGAGATAAAAACCAAATTATCGATTAAAAGCTGGTAGATAAAAGTGAGCTGTGAGTAGAGACTAAAAAACGGGCTATCAGCCTGCTGGACTTATAACGGAAGTGGGTTTCAGAGCTTTAGAGTGGTGAATGAGAAAGCCCTCATGAGATGCATAGTACATCCAGGACACAACTACCTACATTCGATGGGGTATGCAGAGACATAATAGGTGCCCCCTCACCCCCAACTTCCAATCCCCCCTACACACACAGACATACACACCACTTTCCCGACCCCCTTTTTTTAATTAAAGTGTATCTGAAACATCTTCCAGTTATTATACCCCACCATAAGGTGTGCACCAGCACCAAAGAGCAGACATGAAAAAGATCAGAGATAAAAAAAAAAGATGTTGAACTACTGAGAAAGTATTAAACTACTCTGGGGGGTCCGGGGCATGCCCCCCGTAAGAAAATTTTGGACATATTTAAAAACATCAGTCTGGTGCATTCTGAGAAAAAAATTTGAATTACAGGCTGGCAAGAATGTTTAATAAAGTATCAATACATGTTCACGGCATTTTAATATTATATTTGATTGACTATAGATCCTGTCCTGTCTTTAATCTATTTTAAACAGCGACTACATCAAAAGCCACTGCCTCCATGCTGCTCCGTACCAGAAATGCATTGATGTCACTAGTTATCATAAGAACCAATCAGCTGGCAAAGATGCTGTTTAATGTGCGAATGTGCAGAACTTGCAAAACTATGTGACTCAATTTAAAGAACAAAGTTGAATCCAGCTGCTGTTATTTATTTGTTGTTGGTGTTACCATAGAAACTAATTATATCTGCAGGGCTTTAGGCCCATGGCAGAGTTTTATGCCTCATACTAACCCACTTTAGATCATGACTTGTTATTATTAATATCATGAATTTTTTACACAGGCCATTCACCAGTTAACTCCCCAAGGCTCTTTACAACACAACCCATTTACACACACATATTCACACACAAGTGCTGATGAGCTACAATGTAGTCACAGCTACCCTAGGGCACACAGAAAGAGGCAAGACTGCCATATGCATAGGTACCACCGGCCCCTTCGACCACCACCAGTTTGCAAGGTAGCTGAAGTGTCTTGCCCAAGGACAAAACAATTGTGGCAGACTAAGTGGGATGCGAACCTGCAACCCCTGGTTACTTAACTGCTCTGCCACTGTCTCACCCAATGTGAAGATTAATGTAACGATTAACCATCTGTAAATGATTGTGTTTCTCACCAATGACATTGAGGTTGGTCGATCTGGAGTCATTCCCAGCTTCATTTGAAACCAAACATTTGTAGACTGCTGTGTCATCCACTGTTGGTGCAAGGATCACCAAGGATCCCGATGACAGCAATCTGAAATTTGTAAAATAAATAAATAAATAAATAAATAGGGAGCCTAAGTCTCCTCCCCTTCTGGTTGACTCATGGGTCCCCGAAACAAAGAAAAAACAAATGGGGCTATGAAAGCTATGTTCTAATACGATTTGTCTTACGCACTAAATCACACAGATGTTGTACAGTGGTTCCTTATGATAACGCGGTTCACCTTTAGCGTGGCAGTTTCGCAGATGATTTTGATGCAATTTAGCATTTGTTGCAGTGCACTGTATTCTGCTTCCAAAGGTATTAACGTTTAAACTTTGAAAATGTTTAAACAAAGTATAAAAGTTTGAAAATGTTAAAGGTTGGATATGGAACACGAACACCATAGCGGCATGTGTGAAGGTTGTTGTTGCAACAATAGAATAAAGTTTCCAGCCGTTGGGATGTCAGGTTCGCTATGAAGTGACCAGCGAGCCAGCACCATGTCCAGTGATGAATCATACAGGGTAAGGACTAATTTATACTACTAAGCTTATTTTACAACAGTATTTAGTGTTAGAACATCTTCTGGATTCAGATGCAGCTGCTTGACTTGCAGAGTTGGTCATTTTCCACAGTGTCAGCCTCGCTGGACCAAGCGGACTGTTTGTCAACCCGCAATGGTGCTCTCTATTGGCTGGTAAAGTTAAACATAAACCCAGGGTTGTGTCCATCAAAATAAATATTTTATTATTTTTAATTATAGCTTTTAAAAGAAATACTGTACCTGGAGGAGGTTTTATTTTTTTCAATATAGCTTTTTTATTAAATTGTTCCAAATTCAACCTTTAATGCATGTCTAAGAAAAGTGAATAAAGTGTGAGGGGTTCTACAGCCTTTGTGGTGGTGCACTAAGACGAGCACGTCTGCGAGAAAGAGATCGGTTTCCACTTGCCATACGTGCTGTGTCACGACTGAAGCCCATTATTAATCAGCTCTCCTGCATCTTTATATACAGGAGGAGGAGATGCGAGTCTACCACACAAAACCTAAAATAACTTTTGCTGCTGGTCCAAAAAAAAAAAAAGCACCGTCTTGGCATCAAAATGTGTCTTTAAAATTCACGGACATCATACGTGAAATCCATGGCACACAGAAAACGAGATCAGAAAATAGCTTTTATCCTTTCAGACTCCCATTCTTTTTTTGGCAGTTGGGGGTCCATGGTCTAGTAGTAGACGGTGTGCCTTAGGCTCCCTTTATTGGAAGAAGATTTACTATTGCAAGAAAGATTTAGAGTACTCTTATGATCAATCTCTTTAACAATAGTTTCATTTTGGTTTCTGTAATAAGTAAAGAGAGTGAGAAAACCTGAATCAACCTGTACATATTCTGATTCTGGTCAGTACTGATGAGGCGACCATTTTTCTGCCAGCTGACTGTCGGTTTGGGAATACCAGTGGCCTCACAAGGTAGGGTGGTCTGCACGTTGACGATGACCGTCACGTTGGTGCGACTGACAGCAACCGAAGGAGGGACTGGAGGACAGGAGGGAGAGATCATAAAATGTTGGCCAGACTCAGCTTCTGTTGAACTTACTCTCTTCGTGTATCTTTCACCACCCACCGTTGACTTGCAGGTCCACTCTTTTCCGCTCAGTGCCAGCTGGATTTGTTGCCATACACAGGTATCGTCCAGTATCGGTTACCTGAGTGGAATGGATGTGTAAAGAACCATTCTCTGCAAATATGTACCTACAGAAAAATTGACAAACCACAGGAGACTTTGAATTTTATAAAAGAAAAGTAATAATAAATAATAATACATTTTATTTCAACAGTGCCTTTCTAAACACTCAAGGACACTTTACAGACAGAGATAAAATACACAACAATAAAAGATAGAACAGCATAAAACAAACAGACAGATTGGAGCAAAGAGAGTAACTATTGGAATGCTAGACAGAACAGGTGGGTTTTGAGTCTGGTTTTAAAGAGAGTGAGGGAGTCAATGTTACAGAGGTCAGGAGGGAGTGAGTTCCAGAGCTGGGGAGCAGAGCAACTGAAGGCCCTGCTCCCCATAGTAACCTGACTGAAAGGTGGGACAGAGAGGTGGATGGAGGAGGAGGACCTGAGGGAATGGGTGGAGGTTGAAGGATGAAGGAGGTCTGAGAGGTACGGGGGAGCTAGGTTATGGATGGCTTTGAATGTATATAGCAGAATTTTGAATTGGATTCTGGAAGTGACTGGGAGCCAGTGGAGCTGCTGAAGAACAGGAGTGATGTGGTGGAAGGAGGGAGTTCTGGTAATGATGCGGGCTGCCGAGTTCTGGAGAAGTTGGAGTTCATGGAGGGATTTGTGAGGAAGACCGAAGAGAAGAGAGTTGCATTAGTCAATACCGGAAGTGATGAGGCTGTGGAACAAGGATGGCGACCGAGTGAGTAGTGAGGGAGGGGCGTAGGCGGTTAATATTACGTAGATGTAAGAAGGCAGACCGGGTAATATTGTTAATGTGTGACTGGAAGGATAGTGAGGAGTCGAGGATGACACCCAGACTGTTGACCAGAGGGGAGAGGGAAACTAAGGAGTTGTCAACATGAAGTGTAAAGCTGTGGATTTTGGATAGTAAAGATTTAGTGCCGATAAGTAACAATTCTGTTTTATCACAGTTAAGCTTGAAAAAGTTTGATGTGAACCAGTCTTTGATTTCAGATAAACAATTGGTGAGGGAGGAAGGAGGGAGTGAAGAGGAGGGTGTGGAGGATACATAGAGCTGGGTGTCATCCGCGTAACAATGAAAATGGATGTCAAATTTACGGAAAATATTTCCCAGGGGAAGAAGGTAAGTGATGAAAAGGAGTGGACCGAGAACAGAGCCTTGGGGGACGCCGGTAGTGACAGGGAAGGGACGGGAAGTGAAGGATTTGAGTTGAATAAACTGAGTACGGCCAGAGAGATATGACCGGAACCAATCAAGCGGGGTATGAGAAATGCCAAGGGAAGACAAACTATGGAGGAGGGTGGTGTGAGAGATGGTATCGAAGGCCGAGCTCAAGTCGAGGAGGATGAGGATGGAGAGCAGTCCAGCATCGGCAGCAGTGAGGAGGTCGTTAGTGATTTTTATGAGTGCAGTTTCTGTACTGTGGCCAGGGCGAAAACCAGACGGGAAGGGCTCATAGAGGCTATTGAGAGTGAGATGAGCATGGAGTTGAGCAGAGATTATTTGTTCTAGGATTTTTGAAAGAAAGGGAAGATTTGAGATGGGACGAAGGTTATTGAAATTATTGGGATCAGTGCCGGGTTTTTTAATATTGGAGTAATAGATGCAGTTTTGAAAAGTGAGGGAACAATACCGGTAGAGAGGGAGGAGTGGATTATGGCAGTTATGAGAGGGAGAAGGGAGGTGAGACATGTTTTAACCAAAACTGTAGGGAGGGGGTCGAGAGAACAGGTGGAGGGCTTGGATTTACAGATAAGATCAGATATTTTGGATGAGGTGGGAAGAAGAAAGGAACAAAATGGCTGGCGGGGTGAAAGAATCTCAGGGGGAGGGGAAGAGCTTGGAATTAATTGCTGGTGTATGGAAGCAATTTTCTGAGTAAAGAAGGTTATTAAAGACATGAGTCAGCAGAATACAGGTGGGGGGTGGGGGGGGGGTGGGGGTAGAGAGTCCGGGGGATGAAAAATATTGTGCATTATTGAGAACAAAGTCCTGGAGTTGCCGTCATTGGAGGAAACCAATCCAGAGTAGAAAGCAGATTTTGTATGTTTAATAGAGTCCAAGTATTGAAGCAGATGAGTTTTGTGCATTTCTTTGTGTATTGCAAGACCAGTTTGTTCATGGAGGTGTTCGAGTTGACATCCTTTGACTTTCATCCATCGGAGTTCAGGGGTAAACCGGGGGCAGAGTTAGTAAAGGACACAGACAGAGTTTTGACTGGGGCAAGAGAATCCAAGATATTGTTGAGTGTGGAGTATTAATGAGAAACAAGATGGTCAGGAGAAGCAGAACTAGGGATGGATATAGTGTTAATAATAGATGGCAGGGTGTCTGGGTTAATGTTTTTGATATTGCGGAATGAGATGTGACGGATAGGCTTAGTTCTGAAAGAGCAGAGGGGGATGTTGAATGACAGAAAAAAGTGATCAGGTATACGGACATCATTAGCAGAACAGTTAGATGGGGTTAAACCAGAGCAGCAGATTAGATCAAGAGAGTGATGTCATATGATTAAGGGCAGGGGCATAAATCACATAAAATGCCCTACCTGGGGTTGTTTCCTGATAAAATTGCTCCGTTTTTCCTCCAAGTGACGCGAGGTGGTGGCACCCCACTAACTACACATTCAAGAGCTGCTGGCTGTTCGACGTGCACGGACACCACCTGGGAGCTGTCTTTGATAGTTGGAGGCACTGAGGGAAAAGTGGTTTTAATAATAAAGACTTGGGGAGAGAAAACAATGACCTTATCTTTGTTAAAGCTTTCTACAAAGAAAGATTGCAACAATCTCTAAATCGTTTTAATACCATTAACAGTCAGGTTGAACAGTCGTGTGGTATTTCCAGCAATGTTGCTCGCCACACAGGTGTACTGAGCTCTGTCCGAGAGCTCTGCCTGGTTGATCTGCAGATAACGTCCATCAGACAGAATACGCACACGAGCAGAGATCTACACCAGAGACAAGAAGAAATTCCCAACATAAGTCTGGAATAATAACATCAATAACTTGATGGTATTTGCAATTTCAATCTCTGACCTGCAGGGCTTTGCCATCTTTGAGCCATGCCAGAGTCGGAGGAGGAACAGCATCGGATTTGCATTCCAGAGTTACCTGTCCGCCTTGAAGGACTGGCAGATCCTGAGGTGTGCTTTCTCCCACAATGTTAGGTGGAACTGAGAGAGATATGAAGACTTTAAGTGTTTTTCTTTTTAAGAGTTTCTTTAAATATTTAGGATATTCTTTCACATACAAACTTAAATCATATACTTCTATATAAACAGAACAAGGTCACAAACCACCAAAGATCCTATTCACAGAGAAACCATGCAATACTTATTCTTTTTAAAATATGATTGGATGATAAGAGTTTTCTTCAACCCATATTGCCTAGCCTGGCAAGCCATCCCATAAATGCGAATATAAATGAGAAACAAAATAATTTTAGTTTGGTAAATGAAAGTCTAGATTCAAGGCTACATATTGCCCGCCTTAGCTACTGAAGGGAAATAGACGAGAGAACGATAGGGTCAGAAAAAGCCAGTCTCTTCAACATCACATGGATAATTTGTAATCGTGATGCAGCTCACCTTGGAAGCCAACGGTTAGCTGTAGCAACTTCACAACATTGCAGAACTCATTCGGGCTTATGGTATTTGTGGAAATAAAGCATTACCATTGTATTTTCATCTTTTAGAGCCGTGGATCCCAACCTGGGGTCCATGAACCACAAGAGTGTCTCCACGGGATTACAGATGAGATTACCAATGTTATATTTGTAAAATTTAAAGACTGCTCCAAATTTTTTCAAATACTATATTTTGTTGCCTCGACAGAATGGGGAATTTGCGCTCTTCGCTGGCAAAAAACCGAACATCACTCTGGTTTCCAACAGCATTTAGAAAAGAAGGGAAGATGGGGAGTTGATGCCCTCCAGTGTTTGAAAGCTGGTACCACACTTATTTTTTGCCACTAAGACAACATTTTAGCCTCCTTATGTTAATGAAGTAGTAAAAAATGTCTTAATTTTTTCTGTCCCCATGGGATTATTAATATGTTGGAGGAGAAAGAGCAGGAGATTAAGGAACTGGATATTTAAAGCTAAGAGTTCCTTAGTATAAACACTTCCTCAACATTGTTTTGGTACCTTGATAGAACAGGGGAATTTGCGCCCTCTGCTGACAATACATAGAACAACACTGGTTTCCTATGTTGGTGAAGGTTCTCAGTCATCCAGGTCATGGTAATCCAAAGGGTTCAAATGAAGGCAACTGAACTTCTTTGGTTTCTTGACCTTTTCTATTAAACCACACCTATTATCATCATCACTCACCATGGACTCGGACCAGGAAATCTTTGTCATCATCTCCTGCTAGACTGTTGGCTAAGCAGCTGTACCTGCCCGTGTCCTCCAGCTAGAAGGGAGGAGATGTATGAATGTGTGACAGAACAGAAAAATGCACATTTAAGTCTCGACTGTAATAGAAAGAAGAGGCTGACCTGTGCTGAGGTCACACGAAGAACCTCTCCTCCACGGAGGAGGCGCAGACCATCTGTTTGTGGGAGGGGGTGTCCGTCCTTCAGCCAGGTCAGAGTGGGTCCAGGGATTCCTGTGGTCTCACACCGCAACTCCAGGACATTATTAACCACCACAGACACTTCTTCTGGTGAACCAGAGCTCTTGATGTGTGGAGGGTCTGACAGAGAAAACAGGAGCCAAACATGTCATTCTTTCGTTTCTTTCAGAAACATAAATGTAGAACTCAAATCTCACCCAGAACTTTCAGGTTGAAGTGGCGGCTAGCTTGACCAGCGTTGTTGTTAGCCACACAGGTGTAGGGACCTGTGTCGTTGATCTGGGCCCAGTTAAGCTGCAGAGTGCTATTCATGTTGAGGAGACTGACATGTTGGTGAGGTGTTAAAGTGCCTCCATTTTTGAGCCAGGTAATGATTGGAGTTGGAGTCCCATCAGTAATACATGACAAAGAAGCTGAATTTCCTTTGACTACGGTCACATCTTCTGTGGTTCCTGCTCCCTCCAGACCAGGAGAAACTTAAGAGGGTATTTCAATAAATGCTTAGCTTTTTTTAATTTGACATAGAAAAACCCCAAATAAATGCTGTCTGACTCACCTTGCACCTGTAGTTTATAATGCCTGTTATCCACTCCTGCCCTGTTTGATGCGACACATGTGTAGCTTCCACTGTCAGACACCTGGACTCGTGAGATGCTGGGCAACATTCAATGAATAATAAATACTTAACGTTTAAAAGTGAACATATATTTGTGAGTGTTTTCTAGGAATGTCTGACATCATCGATCGATATTGGCACAAAAATGTTGTAACACAAAATATCAGTATAGGGTATTTTTTTTTGCACTTTTCATGACACAACCATTACACACCATGCGCATACTACCAGTGTTGGGAAAGTTACTTTTAAAAAGTAATTAGTTACTGTTACTAATTACTTTGTCAAAAAAGTAACTCAGAAACTAACTGAGTTATGAGATTATAAAAGTAACTAATTACCAAAAAAAACTACTTAGTTACTTTTTTCATGAAAGAATGCAAGAAAAATGGGTTAAATGAACTTCCTTTATTTACTATAAATTACTACAATAGTGAAATATAAATGACTAATGAATGGAACATAATAAAATGTATGTCAAAATGTTTTTTATAAACTTGAATAATTTAAATAAATTAGCACTTAATAGGAGGAACTACTAACAGGAACGTCTTCACAAAAAAACTTTTTAAAAAGTATAAAAAAGATTTTAAAAATGATTAAAAATATGTTTAAAATTAGAAAAGAATATTAATTGTGATTTTAAAAAACGTAAGAAAAGGGAGAGAGAAAGTGAATAAGAAAGAGGGAAATCGGTGGATCCCAGGAACAAGAGCAGAATAAGGAGAAGGTGGTGATGAAGGCCACACAAAAGCCAGCCTGAACTGGTGAGTTTTCAGCTGCTTTTTAAAGGAGACCACTGAGTCCACTGATCTCAGGCTCAGGGGGAGAGAGTTCCAGAGTCTGGGGGTCACAGCAGCAAATGATCTGTCACCTTTGGTCTTTAGCCTGGTGCTGCACAACCAGTAGGCTTTGATCACTGGACCTCAGGGACCTGCTGGGGGTGTAGAGACTGAAAAGATCACCAACGTATGATGGTGCTTGTCCATGTAAGGAAAAAAGGGAAAATATAAAAGAAGAAAAAGATTCCTGACGGAGGGTTTGGTGTGAAAAGAAAGCTGACCAAGAGAGTCTCTGACTTTGGGAACCAGCTTGTCTGGGGCACAGATGTGGATCTCAGTCTTATCTTCATTCAGCTGAAGAAAGCTCCCAACCATCCAGGTTTTATTAGTCTAAGCAGGTGTGTAACATGTAAGGATATGTTAATAAATAAATAAAATTAAAAAAATATGTGAAATCCATGGCACAAAACAAGCGGAACAAGAACATTGCGTTTTTTGCCCCATTGACTTGCACTCATTTTTTTGTTCTTCCAAGGACCCATGGGCCAGAAGTAGATGGGCGTGACTTAGGCTCCCTAATGGATATTGTTAAAAAGAAAACATCAAACATCCCTAGTATGATCATTTTAGAATTTTAACAGTTTTTCTTTGGGCTCTTATGGTTGTCAAGATGGGAGGTCAAACAACTAGTAAAAAATCCCTGTATGATGACAAATAACTTCAAACAAACCATACAACGATAATATTTGTCACTTAGTATAACAACAAGAATGAGTGGAATTCAACAGAAGAGAGGACATATTCAAAATGCACAATCGTGACTCACCGAAGCACCTGTCCAGCAGAGAGGACATGTATCTTGGAGGAGACTGGCAGAGGGAGGCTGTTTCTCAGCCAGTTCAGCTGAGGCAGAGGGTATCCAGTAGCAACACACTCCATTCTGACATAACTCTCCATAATCACAGTCAGGTCTTCAACAGCCTCGCTGCCGCCAAGGATAACAGGAGGCACTGTTGTGGGCAAACGGAGAACAAAGTCAGAAAATCTAAATCATCATTTACTAAATGATTCAAACGTGAATTAGACGTACCGTACACATTCAGATTAAATATCCTGTCCTCTTCTCCAGCTGGATTTGTGGCTACACAAGTGTACTTTCCACTGTCGGATGGATCGGCTCGGGTCACGATTAGTGTGTTACCATTTGGACTGATGCTAAATATAAAGACAGCAAAGTCCTCTAATTACAGACTAATTGTAAGATAAAGTTGAATTATTTTATCATAACTGTTCCCCGGTTTACATCATGTATAAGTAGGATATTCTCTCAGCTGAATGTTAAATGCTTATTTTTTATGATTTTATCTATTTGTCACACTGCTAGACTCCCTTTATACTTGTTTTGTTTTTCCTAATGACAAATGGATTTTCCTACCTGAGTCTTTTCATTTGTGCTCTGCTGATGGCTTCTCCGTCTTTTAACCACTGGATAGTTGGAGTCGGGGTTCCTTGAGAATTACAGACCAGCTGGATGCTTTCATTCACAAGAACTCCCATCTCACTGGGCATGTCGGATCCAGAGATGCTGGGTGGGACTAAGAGAGAATAACTGGTTAGCTGTAACACAGCAGACAGCTTTGGAAACTAAAGAAACTTTGAAGTCATTTTCTCGATCCATTACTTGCTAAAATGACCTTTTAGTGGGAGAATGAATAGTCTCTCAGACCTCTCTGCTCCTTGAGGGCAAAATACCGCATTTACAACTTGAGCCTCTGCAAACCTGTGACCTGAAGTCTCACATAGTCATGTCTTGCTAGTAGCAGTAATGTTTTATAGCAATCCATGTTAACATCTCAGAACAGATGAGCTAGAGATGGTTAGAATGAAAAATAGAATAAAAAGGGTTGAAAAAAATATTTTATATTTATAAAATGTATGTAACATATAAAATATAAAAAAATCAAATAGGGAGAATGGAAAATTTTACATAAAAAAATTAGATGGAAGAAAACAAAAAAATATACATTAAAAATTAATAAGGAAGGGTAATAGATGATCCCAGGAGAGAGATAATTGCTAAAAACTGAAGCATGAAGAAAAGGTAGTCAGGAAGAATCCACAGAAGATCACATTAAAGCCAGCCTCGGGACTCAGTAGTACACACACACACACACACACACACACACACACGCACGCACGCACGCACGCACGCACGCACACACACACACACACACACACACACACACACACACATATATATATATATATATATATATATATATATATATATATATATATATTTGTGTGTGTAATAAAAGCCATAAAAGAAAGCAAAGTATTATATTTAAAACTAGGAAACACACAACAGGTCACTGTGAGGACAAACTGACTTTAAAAACCATAATTTCTTTCATTTATCTGCCCAAAATCATGACTTTTCAGGAAGCACATGGATAGGAAATGTGTTAATATTATGAATTAATTTAAAAGTAACCTGGACACTTGTAGTTTTAATCATTTACATCCTCAATAAGCAGCTGTATTGAGCACTGCGCATTCCCGCAGCAGCGCTGTTGCTTGCTTGTCTTAGTTAGGTAAAAATTTGCACTTTGAGCATAATTTTTTATTATTTTTATCTATTAATTTGTCTATTCTCATCTTGTCATGTTTTAGTCACCAAGAGCTGTTTTTACCTTGTCACCGTCTCATTTTTGTTATGAGAAAAAGGGGCGTCAACAAAATAATTTAGTCATTGTCATCGTTGACAAGAACTCAACTCAACTCAACTCAACTCAACTTTTATTTCTAAAGCACCTTTCAGGCACAGGGGTGGCAACGCGCTGTACAGACATATATCAGTGATTAATAAGACGGACAACAGTATGGTCCAATGGTTGCCTTCGGTCCAAAACATGCTATTGGCTGCAGTTTTAGACTAATGTGAGAGAACCACTTTATTCATATTTTTGGTAGATTTTTATTCCTATAGCTACTCTGTGTTAGAATGTTGTTAAGAGATATGAAAAAATGTTTTAAGCTAATTTGTTTTCCAAATTCACTATTGCAGCTTTAAGTTAGTGTCATAGGCCTATTTATTTGTCTGCAACAGCAGCTGAATCTCAGTCTCCCTAAGCGTGGTGCTGAGATGTGTTTATTAGTTAGTAATGCATTTGATCTTTTTCTGTATATCGCAGCTATGGTGATAAAACCAGGGGGGCCTCCAGAAAATTTGATGGGGTGGCCAGATGGGGCCAAAGAAATATTTGGGGTGGCACACCAAATTGGTCCTAGTGGTAATGTTGGGAGAGATTAGCCTGTGGTGATGTATTGCATTGCTCCTTTATTAATTTTTATTAAAAAAAAAGTATGTATCCAAAACATTTAACTTACATTTTATAAACACAAACATTTCAGAAAAATACACTTCAGTTATTTAAAATTTAATTTCAAAATTTATTTTAAAAGGTATATATTTTTTGTTTAATTAATCTGTTGCTGTATTCACAAAAACTATAGAGATAAAATGTTTTTAAAAAGGTGATTAGCAGAAACATATGCATTTTAAATTTCATTCTTATTATTTCTTTACTCATTAATTGTATTAATTTTATTTAGTTTTTTACCATTAGGTCTATAATGGTCACCCCTGCCCACCCCTTGGAGGCGCCATTGCCGTCAGGTCAGCAGGACTAGAACAGAACAGTCCCCTGCATCACTGTGAGTCAGAAGGTCATTAGAGAGCCTGAGAAGAGCTGTTTCAGTAGAATGAGCAAAACCTGACTGGAAGCAATCATAGATGTTATGTTCATCAAGAGCAGCTGTGAGTTGTTTAGCAACAACCTTTTCCAAGATCTTGGAGATGAACGGAAGTATAGAGATGGTCTGAAGCTGCTATGGAGAGAGGGGTCAAGACTCAATTTTTTAAGAAGAGAGTGGATTACACTTAAAATAAGCAGGGACCTGACCAGAAACCAGAGAAGCATTAATTATAGAGAGCACGCTGGGACGGATGGGCTGACAAGCACTTTTAAACAAAGAAGATAAGGGGCATGCAGAGGTCTTCAAAGAGTTAACTAGTTTGGTATACATGTCGATGGGTTAACCCTTATTACATGATGTTCATCAAGGCAAAACTTCAGAAGAAACAAACAAAAAAAACCTTTATCTGATGAAACAAACAACAATAAAAAAACAAAAAAAAGAACATCAAATTGATTAGGGTCAAACAAGAGTCAACAAGGGGAAAGGCGGTATCTGAATGGCGAGAGCTCAGAACCAAATAAAGATTCAAATTGGATGCAGACCTTGCAGTCATGCTATTGCACTTGTAAGCATTACTTTAATATGTGTTCTGCTGGTTTGACGGGCACATGGCGAGGGGGAGGAGAAAACTGTTTTTCTGACAGTTAAATGGACACAAGGGGATGTTAAAGCAAGCCTAAACGGTCTAGTGTCCCTTTAAGTATTTGATTTATCTTTCTTCTTTAAGTTCTTTCCTAATAGTATAACACGATTAGCAGAGACTTGCTGTATATTTGAGTTATTTCTGTACCTTGTAAAGTGAGGTGGTAGCTCTTGTGTGCTGTGCCCTCCATGTTAGAAGCAACACACGTGTACGTTCCACCGTCGGGAAACTGCAACCGTGCAATCTGTAGTTTGCTTCCGCCTGAGAAGATGTGCATTTCCAGAGAATCTGAGTTCTCTAAGAGGAAATAAGAACTTATTGTTATAAAAATATTCATAGTAGCAAAGACAATTCAGTACGTTTCCCCGACTGAGCCATGAACATTTCAACTGTTAATTGTTATTTAGCCTAATTTATAATGAACATGACTTTTAATTTCATTATAAGAGGATCAATACCATACCTCCATATGGGCTTACCAATGGGGTGTCCATTTTTTAGCCATGTCAGACTGGGAGGGGGGATTCCAGTAGCATCACATGTCAAAGTCACTGGGTTACTGATGGTTTCCACTACACTCTCATTTCCTGGACCATCAATACTGGGAGGAACTGAAAAAGAAATCTTTCTGAATGGGCTAAGCACTTTTAATCATTTGTTTCAAAAGCATATTTTAAAGACTAAATAAATGTTTTTTTGGGAAATGCTACCATGAACGTTCAAGTGGAAATTCTTGTTCACTTGTCCTGCAACATTTGAGGCCATGCACACATACTGTCCAGTGTCAGACACCTGCAGTGCAAATCAGAAGCATAAAGTATGAACATTAAGAAAAACACAACATGTATTTAAAGGAGTCAGATCGCAACATTTTAAATCTGTGAGAGCAAAGGTAGCCCAATATATGACTAAATATCACTGTTGCTGCTGTTGAGATGACATTTTATTTTAAATATGAGATATTTTTGTCAGCTTGAATTTATACCTGAAAATGAAAGAGTCTGTTTCAGTGAAATTCTGCCCTTGTCCGCTCTGACAAAACTTCCCCACATCAGCATTTTAGGCAAATCAATAGCTGTACTGGCTATGGTGGTCTAGCAGTTAAAGCCTCTACCTGTCATCTGGTTCGACTCCTGGTGTCAGCAGTAATATATTTAACCAGCTTTTTATATGTTAGTTTCATTGATTATTTTCTGCAAAATATTTTGTGTCTCTAAAAGATCTTTGAATTTGGTTATTTCCATGCAGCATTTTAGTTGATTTACTCTGCTCACCTCACATGAACTCATTCTGGCTAAACAAACAAAAAAAGTAATAAAAAAAAACTGATTATGCCTTATATTTTAAACAGTTTACCAATAAAGGTTTAAAAAGATAATACTGGAAAGTGTAGCTAAAAAATTAAGAAAAAACATTAAGACCGGTGCAAAACAGCACGCCAGAGTTAACCACTGGGCTACCAAGTCTATTACAAAACAACACTCATATCCTGCACTACGTGCGTCTTTGTGGACAGGTTGCATGATTTTTACAGCAGTGTTTTGTCTTCAGTGCAGTAATTTGTCAGAACATGCACTCTGGTACCGGTGGAGGTTTAAAGCAGTCATCTGTGACATGAAGGTCACATTCTCAGCTGCAGCATGAAATCAACCACTCTATGCTCGCAGCTTGGAGAAAATGGGTGTTAGTGACCTACTTCCCTGGGAGACGGGTAGCTTTAGAAGTAATGCCTGATGACACACTTGAGCTACTTTGTTTGCAGGCTTTGAAAAAATGTGAAAACATTTGAAGCTGAGGCAGAAAAATGCATGAATGCAGCCGAAAATAGTTTGGGGGTATTTCTCATGAGGAAATGACAGTATCACATGAGATAAAGCTAAAAAAATTAAGATTTTTCACGAGATGGAACCTTTAAGCTGAATGTGTCTAAAATGGCTAATAGAGCAAGAAAAGGAACAATTATAACTGGAAATCAGTAAATAAAAACATGCTATGTCTCACTTCAGATGGTTTAATCTCTAGAATCTGCCCCTCTGCCCGCATGTGCAGGTTTGCAGATTCTGTCAGCGCTCTGCCATTCTTGTACCAGGTGATGACAGGAGGGGGGACGGCGTTGGACTCACAATCCAAAGTTACTGATTTACCAGCTAGTACTTTAACCTCCACAGGAGAGTCTCCGATCTTGCCACGGATACTCGGAGGAACTGTGAGGATAAGAAACATTGATCAATTTTTTTATTGGACCCCCCAAAACTCTGAATCACACACTAATCCACAACGAACTCACCAAACACAGTTAGGTGGACATGTTTGCGCGCTTCTCCTGCTGCGTTTATAGCCACACAGCTGTACTTCCCTCCATCAGATACTTTTGCTTTAGGAATCTGTAAAGATCGTCCACCTGAAAATACAAATGAAAAAACATTTGCTTATACGATTTATAGGTCTTGTATTGTCATTTAACTTTAGCCGCCACCAGTTTCTGTAAGCTAAATGATTAATCTTTGAAACTGAGACCCTGATAGTTCCCTTGAGTACCTGGCATAATGAGTGTGTTGGTTTTGGCTTGGATGGGGCCCCTGTCATTTAACCAGTTCAGTGTGGGAGGGGGGAAGCCGGTAGCTTCACAAGAAAGTGACACAAAGTTGTTCACCACCACGGTCAAGTTCTCCGGACTCACGCCAACGATTAAGGGAGGCACTGAAAGGTAGAAAAGAAAACTTTCAATTTAGCAAGCATAACTCAATGTTAGTCTGAAAAGTGGAAAATAAAACAAATATTGTCTCTTTATGAATGATGATAAATGACCCGCACTTGTGTGGCACCTCTCAGAGTAAGGACTCGAAAGCACTTTACACTACCGTGTATCATTCATCCATTCACACACACATTTGCACACTGATGGTGATGAGCTACGATGTAGCCACAGCTGCCCTGGGGCGCACTGACAGAGGCGATTAATTAAGCCAATTAAAGAAAAAATCTACTTTACATTGTTAACAAAGAAAAACGCACTAGAATGTTTGAAAGCTCACCGTGAACATTAAGATTAAAGTGTTTCTCTGCACTTCCAGCCACATTTTCAGCCACACACACGTAACGTCCCGTTTCAGAGACTTGAGCAGTCAACACCTGATGGATAAAAGCAACAAAAATACAAAAATATCATTGACACCAGGGTAGCAGTGAAACATTTGAAATATAAATAAATTGTCATAACTATACATGTAGCCCAATTAAATCTACAGTAGTATCAACATAAGTTATATACCTTTTAATAAGTGGTACAATATATTTTCCTTTGGATAAAAAAAAAAGCATAAAATAAAACAACAACAACAAAATACTTTTAAAGGTTAAACATGGAACACAAACACCAAAGCGACATCTAGTGTGTGGAGGTTATAGTTGCAACAATAGAACAAGGTTTCCCGCCGTCAGGATACCAGGTTCGCTGCCGACCAGCCAGCACCATGTCCAGTGACGAATCGTTCAGGATAAGGACTAATTTCTACTACAACGTTTATTTTACAAAAGTATCTACTGTTAGAACATTGTAATGGAATGAAATGACTGTTTTCCACCTAAAAGTCATTTCCCCCTCTCCTCAGCAAGAACTAATCTGCATGAGATATTGCTCAAGGTCATGCATTTGCTTCTAAACTGTTTTCCTTTCCAGCCCAAGAGAAGAATAAAGACAAAGGACTCTTTCTTTTTAATAAATCAAAAAACTCTTTTTAATAAGCTAATCAAACAAAGTGTTAGTCAATAATAAAATATGAACCAATTTGTGAAATGAAAATATTAATTACTTGATATTATAATCCTACAGAATAGAATAAGTAATGTAACTTTAAATGTTTCCACTAGAGACTGATCACACATAGCGTTAAGACATGACACATTGCTTTTACTGATCCAATCAGAATCTGCCAGATCGATGGAGGCGTGGTTTTGGTGGTGTTTGGTAAATCTGTCATCTTTTCATTCGCCCATAAACCAAAACATCCAAAGTATAAAACTATGCCCACGTCATCTTTAATGCCAGTTCAAAGCGTTCTAGAGAAGTTGTCGGGAATGGCCAATCCATAACTTTCCTCTTCAGCCGAAAGAACCAACGACAAGCTGGATAAAATCTGTTGCATTTTACCAACCGAGCAACGGTTCCTTTCAGAATAAAAGCTGAACTCATTGACCCTCCGGGTCCATTTGACGCTGTCAACCAACTGTAGCTTTTTACCTGGAGACGATCCAAAGACTAGTCTGTCGTACTGCTGACGCTGTTTCATCTGCTCTGGTACCAGAAGAGGGGTTCGAGGACCTGGCATTCTGGATCTGTACGGAGGTCTCATTCTAAGGGTATGTGTGGAGCGACAAATGGCGTCTTATGTGTTTATGAATCTCCGAATCAAAGCTTAGCGTGAAGACATCACTTTCACTCCCATCAGAACTAATCGTTTCTCCGGATTTGCTTGTTCTGAACAACATTCCACACTGCACCATTCTCCGTCTCACTTCACCTTAGTTACACCATACATTTAGTGTTTAAAGTTGGTCTAGTTTTAATTTGTTTAGTAATAAATCTTTAAACTTTTAAAACTTGACTCTCTTCTGTTGTCTCTCAGTCAATACGAAGTGTTACATAATCCCTGCAATAAAAAGTTCCAATCTTCTGGTTAAAAGTACCCAAAGATCCATAAGATTGATTTCACATTTATTATGGAATCTCATGTCTTATGGTTCATTAACTAGATGTAAAATTAACCCTTTACAACATCTTCTGGGCTCAGAAGCTGCTGCTTGACTTGTCGAGTCCACCATTTTTTGTAGTGCCAGCCTCGCTGTGCTGAGCTGACTATTTGACAACCCGTGATGGCGCCCTCTTTTGGCTGGTAGATGTAAACATATACCCAGTGTCATGCCCGTCAAAATAATTATTTGATTATTTTTTTATTTAAAATATAGCTTTTAAAGGAAATACTGTACTGTAATACTTTTACTAAACTGCTCCATATTCAACCTTTAAATGATAAATGTGTGAACCAAAATAATAAATAACATCTGGCATTCAAAATTATGAGAACTAGTAATAGTAATATTATTCTTTTTGCTTTTAAACCTGTCTCAATGAAGACTTTGACGTTTGTCACACAACAATATTTTTGTCTTCATTAAATGTATTAATTTACAAACTATTTCATCATCAGTAGGCTAATTCCAGACTTTTGGTGCAGATTTCGTTGAATTTCAAAACTTTATTAGACAGGAACAGATTAAAAACAATCGGGCCTGACTCTGTTTGAAACTCTTTTTCAGCAGGTTCTTGTTCTGCAGAACATCACACTTTAACCACATAATCATACATACTAAGACAAAACAAAGCGATCAGATTGGCATTTTTGAATGAATTAGATATTTTATCCATGAAGTTTTAACTTATTTTATGTAAAACTGCAGGGGTTGCTGGATAATCGTTTGTTTTCAGAGACAGAACATGTTTAATAGCATTTCATGATTTCTGCTACCTGAAGTGTCCGACCGTTGGACAAAATCTTAAGTGGACCATGAGAGCTGATATCCTGTCCGTCTTTAAACCAGGTGATCTTGGGGGCGGGGTTTCCCTGCACCTGACAGTCCAGCTGAGTTGTTTTATTGAGGTGTACGGTAACTTCTTCAGGAGCGTCGCTGCCTGTTCCTCGTATACTCGGAGGTACTGGTGACGAACAGATCAACACAACCAAAAAGGGTTCAGTATAAAAGTCTTTCATTCAGTGCTAATTAACTAGTTTGCTGAACAGACTCACTTAGTACTCTAATGTCATACTGGATGGAGTCTTGTCCCGCTTCATTGATGGCCATGCAGGTGTACCTGCCGGAGTCTTCAAGGTGGGCTCTGGGAATCTGTAAAACTCTTCCACCTGAAATAAAAACAAAATGAACTAATAAGAATAAATCATTCAGATTTGAATGATTTTCTTCATCTGCTTCACCTGGTAGGATCAAAACTTTGTCATTGGAGCTGACTCGCTGTCCATCTTTGTACCAGGTGAGTGTTGGAGGGGGCACAGCATTTGTCTCACAGTACAGAGAGATGGGATTGTTGAGTATCACGTCCCGAGCATTTCCTCCAAAGCCTGGAATGGAGGAGGGCTCACCGACTCCACCGGCTCTGTTGAACCTTGGTGGAACTTAAAAGAAGGGGAACAATAACATATATTAACCTTGCTCGGATAACTTATGGAGCTTCATTGTTCTCACATTTAAAAGACAACAAATCACGCGTTCTTGGATTTATCTCAGTTTCTCTGCAGAGTCAATCCCTGTTAACACGAGATCATCAGTGCACAGTTCACCTTGTATATTTACATCAAAGTCCTTCTCGTCTTCTCCAGCGACGTTAGTGGCAACACAGGTGTAGCGGCCTGTGTCCGACACCTGAGCGTGTTTGATCTGAACAGTGCGGCCGCTGGATGTAATGGACACGTGGCTATCAGCCCGCAGGATCTGTGGAGGTTTGTTTTTTTATGTATTTTTAAAGATTAAAATGTCTTGCAGGTATAATCAGTGGAACTAATGACTATATTCTACCTGTCCGTCCTTATACCACTGCATTGCTGGGGTAGGAAAGGCCTGAGCCACACACTCCAGGGTCAAAGTGCTGTTAATCTTGATCTTCACCTCTTTTGGGGCCAGTCCCTCTCCAAGAATGTCATTCTTATTGATCTGTGGAGGAACTTTAGTCAAGAATATTTTTGGTCATATTCATAACGTTCGTAGACATTTTAACTCTCACAAATGCAGGAATCTCACCAAAAACTTTGACCTCATAGTGTTTCAGCGTTTCTCCGGCCTCATTTGTAGCGACACACGTGTACCTCCCGGCATCCTCCTTCTTAGCACTGAGAATCTGCAGCGTTCGTCCACCTGTAAGAAACATAACACTAAAGCTTAAAGTCGTTTTACATTTATTTTCCTGCACCTTTCATCTCAGACCTGGAATTACTCGGACGTGTCGAGTGGACTCTAACGGAGTGCCGTCTTTGAGCCAGGTGACCAGAGCGGGTGGGTAAGACTGCACTTCACACACCAGAGAGGTGGGGCTGCTCAGGGTTACCGTTACCTCCTCGGCAGAAATGTCAGGGCCTGAACCAGCAATGGTGGGAGAAACTGGCAAAGGACGGTAACCCACATCAATCACATCAAAGACCATTGCTAAATCTGAAGTAATTCCTAAAATGACGGCAGAAAAATGAAGTGGAGGTGTCTTTGTACCTAGAACATTGAGGTTGAAGTGCCTGCTGCGGTCCCCTGCACTGTTAGAGGCCGTGCAGCTGTATCTGCCGGTGTCTAACACTTGGGCCTCAAATATCTGGAGAAAGTGGCCATAAGACAAAACCTGGTGGTGCCTGTCAAGCACCAGCAGTTGTCCATCTTTCTGCCATTTAATCTCTGGAACTGGATTACCTGGAACATTGTTAAAGGGTTAATGAATAAAGCTGTTAAGAATAAACTTATATTAGGAATACATTAGGAGCAGAATTTACCTGATGCCTCACAGGTGAGAGTGATGTTGTATTTTTCTTTTACTTTAGTTTCCACAACCGTTCCCTCCTCCACAATACTCGGTGGAACTGCCAATCAAATCATTGAACCAAAACATAAAATGTGACTCAAATCTGCTATTTTAAGGATTTCTTTGATACTTTTTCTTTACCTAAGATGTCAAGGTCAAAGTTCTTTCTTTCTTCTCCAGCGCTGTTTGAGACGATACAAGTGTACCTCCCAGCGTCTTCCACAGCCGCTTGCAACAGACGGAGATTGCGTCCCCCTGGAGGTGAAACAGATCATTCAAAGAGTGTCTCAAGTTTCCAACATAACAGCAATAATGGTTATTGCTGTTTTCTGAAGATAATGTTCGGATAACACAAATGATTTAAGAGCTGTTAAAATATTTAAAATTCCTATTTAATTAGATGTAGGTCTCGTGGCTTCACTTTATAAAGGTTTTTGCGAAACTTCCCAATAGCTACGCTTGCGTGCGTCAAATGTCCCCTATCCGATTCAAATCTTGGTTGGTCGGAAATCCAAAATCTCTGTTTACATGGACACTAACTGAAATGATCTAATCATTAAATAGGTTAAGCATGCAGAGTTATCTTTCCTGGAAAAAAAATTGTAAACGAAAACCATCTTGTCGGCACGTCTGTCCCCTTGCATATTTTTTTTTATTCTCGAGCTTTGTCCGTCAACTTAGGTGTTAGATGATTTAAAGTAAACCCGTAAGCTTCATTTTGTTCGCTTAAATCGTGGAGATAAAGTTCTGCATAATGGCTAGAGACTGTGTTCTTGCCCTCCAGCTTGTATGGATGTGCGCAGTTACCCAGGTGTAAACGATAACTTTCAAGGGGTCTATATCATGCTAAACTTATCATGCTGGTTTAATTGTACAAGGACGGCACAGAAGACAATGTTACATGTAAGGGAAATGCAACCATTGTCTTGTACAGAGATTTTTGACCATGTTATATTGTTATTTCGTCATCAAAAAAACCCTAAAGCGGTTTTTGGCTTCAAGGATGCATTTTCCTATCTCAGCTGCAAACCTGCTGGTCTACACAGCAGCTGCAGACAGCAGGATGGGGTTGTTGCTGTGTCATCACAACCTACTCCTCCCCATCCAGGAAGTACGGATCCCTCTTCCCCTGAACTGTAAAAAACTCTCAGTGTAGCTAGCAGGGAGTTCAATCTCCACAGCTTAGAAGAAGTGATTTCTTTCGGAGTGGGACATGTCTGCTTGAATCAGCGGAATCTGGGTCTGCAGCCAGTCAAATTCACACGGGGGAGGTGAATCTCATCAAACTGGTAAGATTTTATCATATTATGGGCCTATCGTTGCTCTAAAAGCTCTTCAAAAGTCCTTTAATACATTATACAACAGCTGAAGGATTCGTCACAGTTTTTGATAAAACTATCAAAAATGAACACACCTGAGAGGATGCGCACTGAGCTGGTTGCCTTAACTGGCTGACCGTCCTTTAACCAGGAAATGGTCGGAGGAGGGATCCCGGAAGCCTCGCAGTTCAGAGAAAAGGGGTTCTTCACCACAACACTCACATTCACTGGGAATTGCACCTGACCAGTTATGGTAGGTGGGACTGAGCATGATGAGGAAAAATAACAACAAAACGCAATTCCAAGATTCAGACTGGTGGTTAGTTTAAAAATGAAACAGACTACATGATCATAAATCCACACCATGTACGCTGATGTCATGCTTGCTGTCCGCCTGTCCAGCTACATTAACTGCGATGCAGGTGTAACGCCCTGTGTCTGACACTTTAGCATCTTTAATCTGCAACAGTCGCCCCTCGTTCTGGACTTTGGCACCATGCTGACTCGTTATGGGTCGCCCATCCTTTAGCCATGTGATCGCTGGCCGTGGTACACCTTCTGCAGCACAGTGTAGGGTCAAGTCACCTCCCTTCATCACGGCAACGTCTTCATCGTCTTCATCACGTCTGATGGAAGGGCGAACTGCAGAGAGAAAAGTGTTTTTTTTTTAATTAAAGTCATACTTTGCAACTTAGAGTACTTCACTAAGTTGGGGTTCATATCACAATGTGGGTCATGAAAATCCAAATGTGGGGTCTTAAATGACCAAGAGAAATTCAGTTTCAATTTATTTTATTTATACAGCATCATATCACGACAAGAGTCGTCTCAAGACACTTCACAAAGTAAACCTACATATCAGTGCATTAAATTCAGTTCATTGTGCTTGTTACTTAGGCATTTCCTATGTAAGGAAACCCAGCAGATTGCATAGAATCGTTGACTTGTTTTGTGAGAAACTTTACAGCAATTCTTATAGCAAGTATGTAGCGACAATGATGAAGGAAATTCCGCTTTAACAGGACCCTAACACATCTGCCATGACTCACTTGGGATTGAGAAGGCAGGGAAATTAAATTAGCTGTTAGAAATACTTACTGACAGCTAGATTCCTAAAAAATAATTGTCCCCAATTGTCCCCAATTGTCCCCAATGTCCCCAATGTCCATGCAATACTGCAGAGCCACATCACCCAACATAACCCTACAACATCCAGAGCCTTAAGGAACTCCGGGCAGATCTCACCCATCCAAAGTAACTACCTGGAGCCCTATATACGGGTCCATTGACTGATAACAAAATTGAAGACATCTATGCTTCTAAATAGTGGACACACCATGAATTAACATGTCCCATTGGATATATTATTTTCAGACTTTTTCTAGGGGCACCATTATTTTTGTCCAGGCCTGTTCCATGAGTTAATTTTTTATTTTTGAATTCCGTTGATGCGTGGTTGAAAAGCAATGTCTGATTTTCATTGGTTGAATTCCATATAATTTTATTTATTAACACGTTGATCAGATTTATGTCACTTCTGTGAGGCCATTGTTGATATTTCTTTCATTGACCGAAGCGTACCAACAATTTTGTCCACATCTGTAGAGTATATATACTGTACAGCATATATAGATGGAAAATATTCTTGCTATTTTAATTGAAGAATTTTTTGTAATATTAGATTTTCCAGACAAAGCTGTTTGTATGTTTTTATTTATATATGATAAATAAGCTGAACATTGACCAATGGATGAGTAGATGTTGTAGACGTTTGTACCATAAACCTGCAGACTGTACTCCTTGGCGGTGGTGCCGGTTGTGCTGGAAGCTGTGCAGGTATAAGAACCAGTGTCTGCTTTTTTAGTGCTGGAAATCTGCAACTGACGACCTCCTGATAAAATCCTGAACCGATGGTCTGATTTTAGATCATGCCCTGAAAAATATGCAAAAAAAGAAAAAAAAAAAAAAACACTAGTTACTTCTAGTATTCTGGCTCCTACTGTACAATTTTGTTTTGCACAAGTGTGCAGATTTACCATCCTTCATCCATGTGAGGTTAGGAGGTGGAATGCCACTGGACTCACACACCAAGGTAATAAGACTTCCTTCAGTCACAGTCAGAGGGGATACCTCTTCTGAGCCACTGATGCTGGGAGACACTGCAAATACAGCATGAGGTCTAAAGGAGGCGCTCACATCTAACTTGATGAGTGTCAAAGAGATGAAGTCCTGCTGATGGGATCAAAATAAGCTCACTTTTATCAAATAAACATAGTTCAGATCTCATTTACCACACTTATAATAATAATGAAACACCAGATTTTGTGTTATCAGACACAAGGGCTCATCCTCATCAGTATTCTAAATAAAATGGTAACACTTCACAATGAAGACCCCTTTATTAGGTTCCTTAGTGCAATATTAAGCATTAATAAATAATTAAATAAAGCATTAACAACTGCGTAAATGCTAAATGTACAGAATGACATAAGGAGAAAGAGGATATACAATGTACCCCAAACATTGAGGTTGTAGTTCTTCTCTGTTTTTCCAGCAACATTAGTGGCTTCACAGGTGTATCTTCCTGAGTCCTGCACCTGGGCACTGTTAACCTACCAATCAGATTCATAAACAGATCAGTAAGTATGACAATAACCATACATCACCTATAAAGCAAATAAAAATAAATGAGAAGTAAAACCAAAGCTGGTAATGCTATTTTTGATTAATTGTTTGAATAAGTCGTTACACCCAGGCGCACAGATAGGGTGGGGGATGGGGGAGGATCTGCCCCCCCCCCTTCAGATTGACCCCGATCCGTCCCCCGCACCAAGGCCAGAAAGAAAACCAAATCGGAGGTTATAAGCGCTTGAAGCTCCTTTTTCCAATTACATTGAATGCAGCATGACGTAAACAAACACTAACTCCAGAGGTGCCTCCCGCCAGTCGGGGAGAGGAGGAGATGCTCGCAACATGAAGAGCGCAAATATTAGATAAAACGTATCATTGCCGGCAGGTCAGGTCTTTGCTGACTGATCACTTTGTCTGGTAATGACTGACTCAGATTATGAAGCAGATTATTGACTGATGAAGAAATTCACTCATCCAGCCAGGAAGATTGAGGCTGCTTCAGCATCAGACAGCTGGTGCTGCACGAGAGGTGTGTGGAGCTTTCAAGCTCCAAACGTTGGGTTTGATGTTTGTTTAACCTTCTTTGGGACGTGATGGATGTAGAAATGATGGTAAAAACACCGCAAATGTGACAGACGTAGCGACAATGTAAAAAAAGCAGTGAAAAAAGGGGCAGATGTCGATGCGTTACATGTGAAAGTCAAGGTGTGCCACATAATCATAAAAAATAGGTAAAATCTAAAATCTAAAAAGAGCTTTATATATTTATATATAAATTACATATATACATATATAAATGAAAATTTCTAAATAATGTAACAATACAAAGGAACATTTGTTGGTCAGGCTGAAAAGTTTGGGAATCACTGCTCTAAGTGATAAGGGTTGGGTATCGAGCATCGATTGGAACCGGTTCCAACTGTTAGTTTTTCCCGGAATCGTTCAAAGTTTTTTTATTTCGATTCCTAGTTTCGATTCCTAGAATGCCAACTGGAAGAGGAATCCGCGGCCGATCTCCGTGAAAAATAAACGTGTTTTGCAAATTGTGATCAACGCTTTTCAGAGCTGATCACACCAGCTGTCTGTGTGCAGCACCGAGTCCCCCCTCCCCCCACCCAGATATAAACAAACGCATCTGCCGAACTTTTACTCCGTAATGTAAACTTTAACTCCTGCAGCGTAGAGGAAACTTGTTAAATACGTCAACATGGTGGATTTAATAGAAGCTTCAAAGAACAAACTCTGGATGGTGTGAGGTGAGTTTGTCTCACTGCAGAAATAAAAACACACACGGAGCGTCAGCAGTCGGACGCAGCCGCTCACCAACACTCATGTGTGTGTGTGTGTGTGTGTGTGTGTGTGTGTGTGTGAGCATCAGAAGGCTGAACAATAACCTGTAGAATAATTAAAGTCATCATGCTAGAGAAGCTTCTCTGTGGTGGACCACACCAGCTTCTGCCACAATAAATAATAATAATAATAATAATAAATTATTATTAATCAGCGCCTTGGGCTTCCCGACAGGGTCGCGGAAGGCGCTTTATAAATAAAGCTTTGATTGATTGATTGATTGATTGATTGATAAATCACACACAACGTTGTGAACATTTTAATTTCCTTTCTGACCTATTTCTGTTGAGAGTTTTAATGTTTAAAATCTGTTAGATTGTTACTGACAGCAGCTACATTTAAGTTTCACTGTCTGTTCTGACTGAATGCTGCTGCAGCATGGAGGTGTAGTTCTCAGTCATCCTGGACATGATCATCCTGAGAGTTTTAGCTGAAAACAGCTGGACGTTTCTGGATATGCTGGAGACATTTAGCCTCTCATCCCAGAGGCTTCTTCCAGACTTTGGTTGTGGTCAGAAACAAACACACTGGTTGTGCTTTAAGTCTTTTTCTTTTTTTCCTCCAAAACATGTTTTCGTCTAAATGAAGGTGATGTTATTGTTCATGAATTAAAATTCACGTTGAAGTTAAGATTATTTCATCAAGTAGGACCTGTGCTCATGTAAAACATGTCATGTCTTGAAAGAAACAGAATCGGGAATGGATAGGAAACGGAATTGAAACAAGGAATTGGAATTGGAATCGGAATCAGAATCGTTCAAAATCTAACGATGACCAACCCTATAAGTGAATTTTTTTTAAATATATTTTATGTGCAGTTTTTTAGAGCTTTTATGTTTTCTGTAAAGATTGCTATGCTGAAAATCATTTAATGTTTTGCATAAAGCATGAGGTTTTGGTTAGTAATTGACTGGTAGAATAACAAATGACTGACGTGGATAGTGTTGATCAGGCAGAGTTTTGTTGCCAGTGTTCCATTGCAGAAGGGCTTCAAACACGTATATAATAGTGTTTTTTCTTAAACCATTGGATGAAATTACACAAACCGACTGAGCTCTAGTCAAGGTTCTTGCAATAGTTTGTGTATGTGTACGTGCGTGCATGTATGTGTGTGTGTGTTTGGGGGAGGGTAGATTGGAACTTTGTTCCCCCCCCCCCCCCCCCAGTTTGAAAATCCCATCTGCGCCCCTGGTTACACCCTACCTTGAGTGAGCTACCATCTGAGGAGACAGTCAGACCAGGCTTCCTAAACAGAGGGCGTCCATCTTTGTACCAGGACAGCGTGGGTGGAGGGACCGCATCGCTCTGGCATAGCAGCTCAACAGGATTTCCAAGCATGACCGTAGCGTTCACCTCTTCACCTTTGATGTTCGGTGGTACTGAGTCAGACACAAATATGAGACGATACAAATGTTTCTATGCAAGAATAAAATGCTAACATTTTTTCATTAGGAGGAATATTGGTTTTAATCTGCACTCTTTAGACCTCCCGATGTCATTCATAATAGTTTCAAATATAATGATTAATACTAACAGTTTTGTCCAAAATGAGGCTCTTGGGCCATTCAAAGTCCTTTGAGTAATTTTGTGAGACCCCTAAATATATTTTTAGAACATTAGCTGTTGATGTAGATTGACACTTTCTAACATTTTCATGTTAAGATCAATATTAATATTTTTCTATTTAGGACTTATTTTGAAAAGGGCAAAGAAAAAAATGACCATCTAATTATTTTAGTTTTTTTAAATAAAAAAATACAATTAACTTGACTTTGACCCTTGTCTTCATAAGTTTAGATACCCCTGCTTTACAACATCATTTATTAAAACTAAAAATCACAAATCTTGAGACCCTCTACAGTCATTTGTGATTTTAAAAAGAGAAGATTTCTTTACTTTAGCTGTTTATAATCGTGTGCTGTTTAATATGTAAACATGGCAGCCCATGTGTGTGTGTTTTCTGGGAGTTCATGAAATCTAATCTCTGTTAAAAAGGTCACATGTGTAGAAAAACAGCCAAAAAATGAGGACCCTCTTCCCCATAAAATCAGGCATGGCCTTGTAAACAATCTTAGGACCAGTTTCAGTCTCACTTTGGCTTCTGGACTAACTGAGTCTTGTGAAGCGACAGTAACAGAACTGCTGTTCAGAATTTGGTCAAACACAGGAAGCCAGTAAAGAATGGTAGCAGTTAACACAACAAATGTGCCTCTGTTTCTCAGGACCAGACCTTACAAATCTCTCAGGGCAAACCGGAACCTTTTCATAACAACATTTATGTTAAATTAACACATTTATATGTTACCTGGGAGCCTGTGTGAAAATAAAATGACCTTTTGCTTTACTTCAGATTATTATGCAAATGAACAGTGAGTCAAATAATGAAACAGGAAGTAGAAGAAAGTAAAAATGTTCTCCAAAAGGAGTTTTTTTCTTGGCCTAATAAAGCAGAAACTGACCACAAAAACATGCTAAATGAGACATTTCACTAGATTCATGATATCTAATACAAGTTCATGACAAAGTAAGGGTATTTGTTAATAAACTAGATGGTAATACATTTTAGAATGATAAAAGGTATGATATTGTTAATCCAATCGTGGAACAAGTAGCAAACATCAGTTTCTCACCAAAAACCTTCAGGTCGTACTCCCTCTGCTGCTCTCCTCCAGCATTAACAGCCACACAGGTGTATCTACCTGCATCACTGACCAGCACGCTGTTCAGAAACAGCTTTCTGCCACTGGGTGTCACCTGAGAAGAAAACAGGAAACAGGTCACTTCTAGATTTTATAATCTTCTGGTCTAAGATAGAGAAAAAAAAATGTGAAATAGATTTTGGATGTAAAAATATCAATCAGCTGTTTATGGACACCTGTATGCCATGAGAAACGCTTGCCACAGGGCTGCCATCTTTTAACCATGTCAGACTGGGAACAGGAACCCCAGAGGCCTCACACTCCAGCTGAGTGGCCTCGTTCACCACAACTGATAGGGTACCGCCTGGGCTGGAGATGATTGGAGGAACTAAAGGAAAGTGGAGATGCTGATGTGATCTTCAGCTACCAGAATAATCATTAAATTCTAACTAAAGAAGCTCAAACCCACCAAAGACTTGTAGACTGTAGAGCGCCTCTGCAGCTCCAGCCAGGTTGACAGCTACACATCTGTACATTCCAGCGTCAGACAGCTGAGCCTGTTCGATCTCTAGCACCTGGCCACGCTTCAGCACCGAGACACCAGCCGCAATGGTCAGAGGTCGGCCATCTTTGTGCCACGTAACAGCTGGAGCAGCGCATCCAAGCAGAGAAATTAGTCTTAAATATCGTATGAATACCCTGACTCCAGGCTGTGAGTAGTGGCAGTAAAACATAGAGGAGGAGGCCTTCTCACCAGGTAGAGGACTTCCTGTGGCCTTGCACTCTAGCTCAGTAGAAAAGCCCGACAGAATGGTCTGGTTGATGATTTGTCCAGAAGACGAGATGCTGGGCGGCTCTGACATACACATCCAGTAATAAACATAATGTAATTTATAGCATGGAATTTTTATTTGTCTAACTAGTCTCTTGGAGAATGAACTGAAGAAGTAAAACATCTTCAGCGTATGTTCACTTTACCGTGAATGCTGAGTTGAACATTCTGCTGAGCTTCACCGGCTGCATTTGTGGCCAGGCAGGTGTATTTCCCAGAATCCTCCAGTCTGGCTCCTGTGATCTTTAGCATCTTGCCAGCTGAGAGCAGCTGTAGACATCAAGCACATACAAAATGCAGAGAAATCAAACTAGTGATTGTTTTCTATTTGAATAGAAAAAAAATATTTTTTTATTTGGGGCTTTCTATTCTATCTATCTATCTATCTATCTATCTATCTATCTATCTATCTATCTATCTATCTATCTATCTATCTATCTATCTATCTATCATCTATCTATCTATCATCTATACATACATACATACATATATATATATATATATATATATATATATATATATATATATATATATATATATATATATATATATGTATATATATATATAATGAAAATGCCCATCTCACCCTCTGTGGGTGGTCTCGTCCTTCCAAGCTCGGGTCCTCTACCAGAGACCTGGGAGCTTGAGGCTTCTGTGCAGTATCTTAGCTGTTCCTAGAACTGCACTTTTCTGGACTGAGATGTCTGATGTTTTTCCTGGGATCTGCTTTAGCTACTCTTCCAGTTTGGGGGTTACTACCTCGAGTGCCCCGATGACCACGGGCACCACCTATGTCTTCACTCTCCAGGCTTTCTGAAGTTCTTCTTTGAGGCCCTGGTACCTCTCTAGTTTCTCATGTTCCTTTATCTGATGTTACCATCACTTGGTATTGCCACATCAACCACAACAGCTGTCCTCTGTTGTTTGTCCACCAACACAATGTCCGGTTGGTTCTCCATCACCATTTTGTTGGTCTGGATCTGGAAGTTCCACAGGATCTTGGCTCTCTGTTCTCAACCACCTTAGGGGGTGTTACCCACTTTGACCTTGGGGCTTCCAGTCCATACCCTGTACAGATGTTTCTGTACACGATGCCAGCCACTTGGTTGTGGTGCTCCATGTATGCTTTCCCTGCCAGCATCTTACACCCTGCAGTTATGAGGTGGATTGTCTCAGGGGCCTCTATGCATAGCCTACACCTTGGGTCTTGTGGTAGATCTTGGCCTCTGTTGCTCTGGTGTTCAGGGCCTGTTCCTGTGCAGTCATGAGTGCCTCTGTGCTTTCCTGCAGACCAGCTATTTCTAGCCATCGGTAGGCTTTCTTAATACACCTTGTCCCTACTGCTGTTCTGCATAGGTCTGAACCCCTTCAGCCAAATAATCAACGAGACTGGCTATAGATACTGACTCAAGAATGGAAACACAATCAGCCACCTCCTCTACATGGATGACATAAAGCTGTTCGCCAAGAGCGAGCAAGACATTGACTCACTGATCCACACCACCAGGATCTACAGCACTGATATCAGAATGTCATTCGGATTTGAGCCGTGTGGTCGGATGGTACAAAGAAAGGGAAGGTAGTCCACACAGAAGGGGTCCCACTCTTTGAAGGAGCAATAACAGACATTGAGGACAGCTACAAGTACCTTGGTATCCCACAAGCAAATGGCAACTTCGATGAACTTGCAAGGAAAGGAGCCACAGCCAAGTACCAACGAGTAAGTCCTAAGAAGTCAGCTCAATGACAAGAACAAGATCTTGGCAATTAACAGCTACGCCCTGCCAGTAATCAGATATCCTGCAGGAATAATAAGCTGGCCAAATGAAGAAATAAAGACCACAGGTGTCAAGACATGGAAGCTCCTAACCATGCATGGAGGGTTCCATCCCAAGTCCAGCACCCTGAGAATGTTCACTAATGTGATTTTTCATTAATTCACAGAATAGACTGAAAAAAAGGTGATAAATATGTTTATGAAACTGTCTTGTTAGTGATTTTTTTAACCAACCGTTTGTAGAGTCTATGCATGTCTGCTCTATCTGAAACATCCGTGTTTTTAATTTATTTAACCCAGCAAGCCCTAAACCAACCTTAAGGTGTTCCATAGTTGTGTCCACAGGTCGGCCATCTTTAAGCCAGGTGATATTGGGTGGAGGAATGCCACTGGAGATGCACTCCAGACTGATGGATTTGTGCAGAACCACTGAACGCTCTGAATGCCCGGTTATACGGATGGATGGAGGAACTATAGGAGGGCAGAGAATAGATGTATATTCTTAAAATCAACAATCAAAAAAGCACAAACAGCAAGGGGAAGTATTAATTTACCTAAAAAAAAATTTATCTGTAGCTTGTGTTCAAAGCAAACAGTAACACATCAAAATAGTTGTCTTAATCCTAAAAACTGTATTTATTCATTAGTTTATTTGACCTTGGACCACCACACTGAAGATCCTCTCATGGTCTCCTGCCTCATTACTGGCCACACATTGAAAACGAGCAGTGTCAGAAACCTGAGCACGAGAAACGACCAGTCGTTGCCCATTCGCTGCAATTCGTAACCCTTCTCCCTGTCTGAGTGGTTTTCCATCCTTAAACCAGCTGAGGAGAAGCAGTTTCACAGTGACTCTGTGTCCATCTCTGTGCATTCCCTCATGAGTGTGACAGGCGTCTTACGTAACGACAGGAGCAGGTGTTCCAGTGGTGTGACACTCCAGCTCCAGAGGACTGTTGATTATAACAGGGCTGTCCGTCACCTCATCACCTCCACGAATGAGGGGAGGAACTAAAGGAGGACAAAAGGAGAAATCTGTGAAATTAACAAGATATTCTGGCTTTAACATTGACTTCCTGTCTGTGGGTTATGTTTATGCTGGTAAAGCCACCGTGAAGCAGCAGGTGTCTGTTTCCCATGAGGACTGAGCACATGCTGTGAACAGGAACAGCTTCAGAGAACCAAAGCAGCATGGGGTCATATTTCATAGGAGTTGTCATGGCCGAGTGGTTAAGGCGATGGACTAGAAATCCATTGGGGTCTCCCCGCGCAGGTTCGAATCCTGCTGACAACGATGTAATGCATTTTCAGCTGTTGAGCTGTGTGAGAGCAAACCAAAAGATGTCAGTAAAGCCGTTTACTGTGCTGTGTGGAGGCATTTGGCCAAAGAACAGCATTGCAATTAATAACTGTACCACTTTAAAAAAACACTCCCATTATAGATGACTAATAAATGGTTTTCAATTCAATTCAAAAATACTTTATTAATCCCAGAGGGAAATTGATTACAGATATGTTATTAAATATTCTTTAACACTGATGACAATATTAAGTGTTTTTTATGCATCAGTTAATTAAGGGTGAGAAGAATCTAACTACTAAGATAACAGATTTCTTGCCAAATAGTGAGCCACATCTGTTCCTCTAGAATGTGTAAACGTATTTTTCTAACATAACGGTCAAAGGAAGACTTATTGTAAAGTGTGCAGCATTTGTGACAGTAGAACCAAGCCTTACTATAAACCAGGGGTGCCCCAAGATTCACCCATACCCTGTTCAAGAATTAACTCACCACTGAGCACTGTGTTACATTTTTTGTTGCTATTCTTTTTTTTTTATCACATTTGCAATGAATATACTTAAAAAAACATTAGAACACACTCATTAGGAGTGGGAATTGGCAAGAATTAGGCAATATAACATATAATAAAATACAGGAAAGATGATACAATAAATTGTAATTATAAAATTCAGATGATATTTGTAATTTTTAAGACCATATTGACAAGTCAGACGTTTACAAGAAAAATCCTGTGTTATCACAAGATCTCGTACCATCAGAATGAGGGCTGTGAAATCTGCTGTCACCTGTAAGCCAGAGTTTGAATTATACCACACAGAAGAAATACAGTAAATGTTTGCATGTAAATTCTCAATAAAAATGATATTTTCTTACATGGAATTTAGTTACGTTTATTTAAAGCTGCAACAGCAAATTTTCAGATCAAGCTAGTTTAAAATATTTTATTCATGCCTCCTAACAACCTTCAAACACAGTATAGCTAGAAGTATTGTGGGGATTTTAGAAAATTAAATTTAAAATAAAAAAAATCATATAGTGGATCTCTTGCATTTGTCTAAAAACCTCTGAAAATAACACGGCTTGGAACAAAAACAACCACTGGATCATTCGGTTGTTGTCTTGCCGGACCTACACACTTCTCTGGGTACTCCACTTGCGCATTTTGCAACAGAACACCACTGGAGTGAGAGGTTTGCTGCTGTAGCGTACCACAAGGCCAAGTATTTCATCAAAATGACCAGAAGTTAACTTTAAACTTGCAGGCACAAACTGCGTCGCACAACCGGGCCACATCATCTCTGTCTGGTCTCCAGACCAGAAAGGTACTGCTCAATGACCTTGTTGCCAAAAAGGGAAGCCATAATAAACCCTTCTCCTGATTCCCTTTACCTTAACTGAAAGCAAAGGTCTCATGCAGAAGATGAGACCTTTACTCTCTGAATACAGTTCATCTTTCTTGTAGTGATGCACCGATAGAAAATTTGGGCCGATACCGACATCCGATATTGAGATCACTGTTATGGCCGATAACCAATATTTTCTTATACCGATATACTGACATTAATGCTTCTAAAATCAGCAGATTTTGTACAAAATTAAAATTATTAAAGCTGAATTTACGTTTGAATTTCTCATTCAAAGGTCAGAATTGTGTGCACGACAAAACCTTCAAACTATATCAAACTGACACCTCTTCAAATGGCGCAATTACCAATTCCTTAGCTCTCAGCTTCAAAAGGTTGGTGATCCCTGTTGTAAACAGTGTATAGCACAAACATTTGCCTCATAATATAAACTAAAACTATAAGGGAACACTTACAATAAGAGCCCCTTTTAACATTTATAAATGTTTATTAAGCATAAAATGTTTGATGATTAAACTTTACAATAATTTTCTCTATAACAGTCATATATATTTATTATGCAGTGAAATCTACAATATTAAAAGCTAAAATTAACAATAGAACTTAATGATTTATAAAGTGTTTACAGATTAATTAATAACACATTTGTAAGCTATTTGTCAGGGGAGCCTTTTGTACAGTTGTATCTTAATCACTAACTTATTACCTGAAAGGCTGAGGCAAATAATTTTGTAAGAATACAAGTTCTGGCCCGTAAAACTCTAAAAAAATATAGCTGCAGGGCATTCAGATGTTTTACTCAGACATATCAAAGATATTTGCTCCATTTCTTTTGATTTAATATTTTTTCCACATTAATAGTTTCACTAAATATCTAATCATTGCTGTGAGTGTGTGTGTGTTTGAAAAAATAAAATAAAATATGTGGCTGTGCAAAATAAATAAATGTATTTTGTGTGTCTGTACCTAAAACTTTGACATCGTATTTGACCTCCTTCTCCCCAGCGACGCTCATTGCCACACAGACGTAACGTCCTGAGTCTGACACGGTGGCTGAGAGGATTTCTATTTTCCTTCCTCGCTCTAGGACACGGACACTTTCTCCGTCACGCACAGGGACTCCGTCTTTCAGCCAGGTGAGGGAGGGTGGGGGGTGTCCAGCTGCCGCACACTCCAGGATCAGATGTTTAGTGAGAACCACTCTCTTCTCAGAGGGTCCATCATCTGCCCCTGGAATAGTAGGAGGTACTGTGGAGGATGGATAAAAGAGAAGACAACAAATTAGTCAGTTTATGAAGTTTTAGGCTCAAAGTAACACCAAACAGTTTTTAACACTTTAAAAAATATTTGTTTAGAAGTGGGTTTCAGTGATTGTGTAGGTAGGAACTTTACTTACTTCACCTTGGAGAGCATTCTGGAGCCCTCTACTGACCAAAACCACGCAAAGGAAGTGCCCTAGGGTAGTTGCCGAAAGTAAAGGCTATGCTTCTCTGTCAGCTCCGCAAGGGACAGAAAACGCACGGATTGACGGAAACGTTTTGCTCTCATATTTCCCCATCTCCTGGGGAGTGTTGCAAAGCAATTCCCCGGCAGGACAACAGAGGGCGTAGCACTGTTCTGTGGTATCCTGTCATGTATCCGGTCCAAGATAGTGTGTTTATATTGTGTTTTTTTGTAAATAAGAAACTTTTAGCATGGACAAATTTGTCTCTCATTCTCCTCCACCTCTTCATGCCCTCGCCACCTCTAAACCCACGTTTCCTGTCAGTTCCATCCACAAATAAAACGCTTGCTGCGTATCTTTTCACTCATCCAGTCACGGGGGAATTAAACGTTCATATTTTAGAGTTTTTTCGCGAGGTATTCTTCAAGCTTCTCCGTGTCTGCCGCTAGTTATTCTCAGCTCTGTTTATGTTTTTGAAGGTGCAATGGCGGCGGTGTAGACGACAGCGGTGCCCTGACCAATCACAAGCTTGCTTTCTCCATCTCGTTCGACGGAGGTTTAAAAAGTGGGCTCGACTCCGTACGTACTTGCGTGCCCGCCGGGGCCCTACGCAAGGACTGATGATGGCGTTGCATGTCTCCGCACTGACGCAGATGGAGAAGCATGAATCAGCCTTTAGGGGGAGTACTCTACATGCTTAACGGCAGTTAGCTGTTTGCCCTGTCAGTAGCTAAAATAAAGGCTAGCAGTTAGCTTTTTCAGTTTGCCGACCGTCAATGAAAAGCACAAAAAGAAGAAAAAGAAGTTTTTTTTTTGTTGGCAGAGCATAGAAGTAAGAAAGTGATGTCTTTGGAGGCAAAGCAAATTGCTAAAACCAGATGACACATCGGCATAGCCTACACTAGTTTAAGGGAGCTAAAGGAGGCAAAATAATAATAATAATAATCATAAATCACACTTTGATGGTGACCTGGCTTTTTTGCTTTTACTTGAAATAAATGATATTTTGAGTCCAACAGTGTAAATCTTTTTACTTCTTGACTTGTTTTAGTATCAGTTGGCTCATTTTAGTGTTAACTCAGTGATAGCGCTAGCTACAGGAGATTTGTTTACGACAGTTGTTATTCCTTTTTCAACCAGTAGAACGGAGAAGCAGGAAACACCTTTTAATGCTTTCTTGAGTTCTTTCCCCCCTTTTTTCTTATTTTAATGCTTTGCTAAAAATTACTTATTTTTTCTTCTCAATTAATGCTTTTCTGAAAAGTACTGAATCGGGATTCGGTATCGGCAGATACTCAAAATCAAATGACTCGGAATCGGATCGGGAAAAAGAAGACGTGATCGGATCATCTCTGATAAAAACATAAAAAATACATGAATTAAAAGTAAAATCCAAGAAGGCATGATTTCCTCGTGATTTGTCTTTGCTTGGGCACTATCAGTCCCTGCTCAGCTGACTGAAGGGGCGCGACGGGATGTACGGTTGAATCAGATCTGACAAGTATCGAGGAGCTACCCTGTTTAAGTGCCTAAAAACAAACAAGATAACTTTAAAGGTGATTCAGTAAGAAACCGGAAGCCAGTGTAAATATGCCAATACTGGTGTGATGTGTTGCCGAGTCCTGGGCTGCCTGAAGTCTCACTATAAATGCCTGCTTGATGCCTCATATTTGGCTAAACCTAAGTTGAATGCTGTAAACATACTACAAATTTGTAAAAGAAGTTTTTGGTATGTTAGAAAATACTTTCTTACAGTAAATGTCCACTTCGTAGGTCTTCTCGGCACTCCCAGCCACATTTGTCACCTTGCAGGTGAAACGACCTGCATCAGATGCCTGAGCCCGGGGGATCTTCAGGTATTTGCCTCGTTCTAGATACTGAGCCCGTCTGTTGGACAGGATTGCCTCTTCTTTTCGGTACCAGGCGGTGGTGGGGAGCGGCGCTCCACGTGCTTCACACTCCAGTGTTACCATTGTGTCCAGCAGCGCTATCACCTTCGTGGTGACGTTCCCCCCTACAATGGAGGGGGGCACTGAAATAAAAGGACAAAAATATGCGATAAGAATTTGGTTCTATGTCAGTTTTAATTTATCCTGATTGGTTAATGTTGGCTGAAGTCCTCCCTCACCGTGGACACTGAGATTAAAGTCTTTAGACTGTTTTCCAGCTTTGTTAATTACACTGCACTGGTATCGAGCCTGGTCCCCAAGACGTGCATTTTTTATCCTCAGCACCTGACCCCTGTTGGTGACTTCCAGATTTGGATCAGCCAGAAACACCGGCCTGACAATGAGAAATGTGGACTTATAAAATAAAAGTCTTAATTTTTTGTTTTAATACCTTTAACATGGGCTCTTACTTTCTTTCTTTGTACCACTGGATGTCAGGAAAAGGTGACCCCTGAACTTTGCACTCTAGCGTGACCTCTTGTTTTAGAATTGCTGAAACATCCCGAGGAGATGCAGACCCCACAAATGTTGGTGGGACTGAGGCAAAACAACGCTTTGTTAGATATCTCATCAAGGAAATTAGAAATTCTTACAAAAAAAACTATTTGTGACAATAGATCACATTTGTTAGAAGGACACATAGCATTTCAGCTATCCGTGTGCATGCATTTGTCTCTTACAGCTCTTACCCAGAACATCTAAAACAAAGTTTCTTTCTGCGCTGCCTGCTATGTTGATGGCTTTACAGCTGTAGCTGCCTCCATCTGCCATCTCCGCCTTCAGCAGCTTCAGGGTTTTTCCCATGTTGAGTATCTGGATGCTGTTACTGGCGACAACCTGTCAATTACCATAACACAGTACATATTCAAACGTTAACAAAAGCGTGCAAAAAAGGAAATGGTTATTTTCAGCCAAAAGCATCCAGACAACAGATCATCTTAATTTAGATGAATTATACTTAGAAGATTAAAATTTGCGCTTTGATTTTCACACCTGTGCCTAAGAGGAAAAATTACGACACCAAAAAGCAGCCAAATTACTGAGATGTTACAGCTCAGTGTGTGCTATCTCTACATTCTTGTGTCAGTTAGTCACAATCATTAGTGTGCAGAACACGATGGCAGCTTGGTCTGCATCTTCATGCAGACATGCTTGTTGGGTATTCTCTGTTTTTAGATCAAGGTTTTTTAGATGATGTGATGACCGCTAATTTAGGTTTCTTAAGTTTCACTAAAAAAAAACCGATTAGAGCTCTTACAAATAACAGAGTGTTATTTGATGTGTAGGAACTGGCATTTGAAAAGAACAAACAATTTAGAAAATTGAACAAGCATCTTATTCACTTGACTTACCAAAGCATCATCTTTATACCAGGTGATGACAGGTGTTGGACTTCCTGTAACATCACACTCCAAGTTGATGGGCTGTTTCAGAACAACTGAAAGGTTACCAGATGTGTCACCTTCACGGATATTAGGGGGAACTGTAGAGGAGTCATTTTAATGATTAATGTACCACAGATAGGAGCTGGAAGGTATGAGAAGTGCTTTCATGTCTCAACAGATTAATCACCGTTGACTTTAAGCTGGTACTTTTTCTCGGTGGACCCAGCATCATTGGCAGCATAACAGACATACTCCCCATCATCCAGAGGTGAAACAGATGCCAGGATCAGCAGTGTGCCGTCCTCCAGGATGGACAAGCCAGGCTCGTTACCAGTCAGCTCGTGACCGTTACGAAGCCAGCGTATAACCGGCTTAGGTAGACCTGAGAAAGAAGGCAGGAGAGCTTGTTTTATGTCCAGGTTTGTCATAATCATCATCCTACTAAATGTATAAAAGCAAAGAAAATTTACCTTAAAACAAAATTGAACATTTATTGTACCAATGGTCATTACTGAAAGAAAAACATTTTAATGTGTCTTTGAAAAATTCTAAATATTATGTAAGTATGGCAACACAACTGCACCATGTTTTATTTAAAGGGTTCTTTGAGCAACAGTTTTAACAGCTGGAGTCTGAGCTTTGAGCCTCCATATGGCATACAAAACTTTGTTGGGGCTCAAAATGGCCCAGGAGTTCTGCTAAATGGCAAAAATGCACTGAAACAAATGTTTTTTCCTAACTATTCATACAGCACATGAATATTAAATAGGCTGTGAGCTGATTTGACAGTTAACACTGATGGCTCTATGAAGCTAGAAACTCTGTGTAGCATACAGCTGTGTACAGTATTTGGATAGCTCAATAGGCAAGCTATGGATCTCTCTGACATTCATTCAAAGTCTGGATATTTAATTAGCATCCTAGGACATTACATGCGTATTTTGACATACCTCTTTATGGTTTTCTTCCCATCCAACAAGGCCGTTAGCAATAGCTCAGGCTAGCATTATCAGTAATCTTATTAGCTTTAACAGTAGCTTGAGCTAGCGTTGTTCTGTGGTTAGCATTACTAACACCAACATCTATTGCTGACGCTGAAGTGGGTTGTGACAAGCATATTGAAGTTGGAGTGTCTAAGCTAATGATGCTAGCTTTTCTCAGAACTCACCACCCATTACAACATTTGATTTACACAGGAAAGCAGGTCGGAAAGGGCCCAGAATTTTTACTATGTTTGACACCTCAAGCTGCCAATTTTCAACAACAGCATAGTGATTATCGCTTAGAATTCTAGGACCTCTTTGCCTTCAACAATATAGTAAGTTAATACATAAAGATTAATTTATTTAGCGGGTGGATCCAGAAGGGGACTTCACAGCACCTTTGGCAGGGCAGGGAAAGGCAATACGCTGGTTCGCCACTCTCTCCTGCAGTGGGCTGTTGTATGGGGGCTCTGGGACTTCAACCACAGGAGGTACTGAAAGTATAACACAAAACTATTAAGTGATTTATTTTAAAATATTGTATTTAAGCTGAAGTAGACATTGGTTGAGATGACAGCTGTAGAGTGACATTTTCATGAACTAACCTTGTATCAGAACTTGAACTCGGGCCTGGTCCGTGCCTGCGGTGTTATTAGCTGTGCATGTGTAGGTTCCTTCATCATCCAGTCCAACCCTCCTTAGTGTCAGACTCCCATCAGAAGATGCAGGGTATCTTTTACCACCTTTAGTCCAGGTTAGAGTAGGCTCTGGTACTCCTGTCACCACACAGGCTAGATCCACCTGGTGACCCACCTTCACCTTCATCACTCTGGGGCCAGGCTGAATTCTAGGGGGCACTAAAAGACAAATGACAGATTCACGATGAAAACGTAACACACATACATTCTAATTAAATATGTGTATGTTATTCAACAATTATAGGAAAATACATACAGTAATATATACTGTATATGTATATATGTGTATATACCATATATTTTTAAAGGGGATTTTTTTTACACTTACCTAAAACTCTCAGTTCAATGGACAGTGATACGTTCCCAGCAATATTAGAGGCAACACACACATAAAGTCCACTGTCAGAGACTCTGGTCCCCAAGATCTTCATGGAGCCAGAGGGAAGCTGAGTGTGTCTAAGAGGAGAATTAACAACCAAAGACACAAAAGCAAAATAAAATGCACTTCTGAAATCTGAATAACAACAATCCTAACTAAACTCGCGCTAAACATTTTCATTCATTGATTTATCGAGTCCTTACTGCAGAGGAATACACCAGTAATTCTTACTAATCTGCCATCAACCATAATTACAGTCACATTGGCACGCACGCTGCAAGGCCAACAGATCACAGAGACAAAGTAGGATTACTTTGTCATCTTAGAAAACCACAAACTATCCCCTGCGGTCATGAAAGAATGAGCGAGACAAAACACTGTAATGTAGACAGCGTGGAGCTCCTTTAAACTGTGTTTAACTAAAAAAGATTGAAGATATGTGGGCTGTTTAGGAATTTGATACCAGCAACACATTTCAGCAAAAAAATATGTTTTTAAGATGTGAGGAAACCAGATGTTGTTTACATTTTCCATGATTGCATTCTGAAAAGTTGAAAGCATGTTTTGTTTACTTTTCCATGAAGCAGTAAATGTTTAAGGTGGCACGTCTGGACTGTAGACACAGGCCTGTTTGGCCCCTGGACTCTAACTGAACAGACATGATGCTGTAATATATGTAGAAAGTGGTTTGGTTGCATACATGGAGAAAAAAAGAGCAAAACAACTCCACGCTCTCACACTTAGTGAGTGCTTAATATTAAAATACTTCACCTCTGGGAAAACGGTGAGATGAGCTGCTTCTCTTTAGCCCAGCTGATGGTGGGAGGAGGGACACTGTGGACTTCACATGGCAAAACTGAGTCTTCCCCCTCAACCACCAACATCTTCACAGGCTCTGCGGAGCCTCCAGAACCATCAACAACAGACCTAGGTCGCACTGAGATGACAAACATTGCAGCAAATATGACAAATTGCAGAATTTTTTTTTCTAAAGAAACCCATTACGAGCAACACGACTAGTCAAAATGAAATGAAAAAAAAATTAAACTTGTCGATTTTTAAACCCCCCCCCCCCCCAAAGAAAATAAATTAGACCACATTTGATGCTGTCTATATTTTTATCTATGGGGAGCCCGAGTCTCCTCCCCTGGTTGGCCCATGGGTCCCTGTCTGAAAAAATAACATGAATGTCAGTGAAAAGGGCAAAAAAGTTATTTTCTGCTTCGATTTGTCACACATATGTTGTACTTTAATCTAGATAAATAATTGTGAGTGTTTTGACTACATCCATCCATCCATTTTCTTTACCCGCTTATCCTCGCAGGGTCGCGGGGGGCTGGTGCCCATCTCCGGCTGATGCAGACAAGGTACACCCTGGACAGACACACAGGACAAACAACCAAGCACACACACACTCACACTTAAGGACAATTTAGAGAGACCAATTAACTTAGCGGTCATGTTTATTTGGACTGTGGGAAGAAGCCGGAGTCCCTGCAGAGAACCCATGCATGCACAGGGAGAACAAGCAAGCTCCATGCAGAAAGACTCCAGGTTGGGATTTGAACCCAGGACCTTCTTGCTGCAAGACAACAGCTCTAACCACTGCACCACTGTGCAGCCCCCCTTGACTACATCTATCACCTGATTTGAGATTTATTTGGTTGTAAAAATGTGTATATTAGAAAGACTAAAAATTAGAAGTTGCATATATGACATCACACCAGAATCCCTTCTCCCCTAGTATAGCATCTTCTTCTTCATAGCTATCACTTTCCACATGGCCAGATTTATAATGGTTTTCTCCACATTTAATGCTCCTTCTTTCATCCGGTAAGAAGAATGCCAAGCTCATTAAATTTTACAGCCACTTTTCTTCTTCTCGTTGTCTGGTTTGATGATCATTTTTGTGAGATGAGCAGTTTGAGTCCATCATGTCTTTTCACACAAAACCTAAAGTAATTTTTGTCGCCAGTCGAAAATAAGCAAGAGGAGGTAATGATAAAGAATCAACAGAAGGCCACACACAAAAGCCAGCTTGAACAAGTGAGTTTTCAGCTGCTTTTTAAAGGAGACCCATGAGTCCACTGCTCTAAGGCTCAGGGGGAGAGAGTTCCAGAGTCTGGGGGCCACAGCAGCAAATGATCTGTCACCTTTGGTCTTTAGCCTGGTGCGCTGCACAACCAGTAGGCTTTGGTCACTGGACCTCAGGGACATGCTGGGGGTGTAGGGACTAAGAAGATCACCAATGTATGATGGTGCTTGTCCATGTAAGGCCCTAAAGACCAGAACCAGGATCTTGAAATGAACTGTGTAGTTAACTGGCAGCCAGTGAAGCTGGAAGAGAAGCGAAGTGATGTGGGTGAACTTTGACAATTTAGTCAGAAGCTGAACACAGGCATTCTGAACCACCTGTAGACGGTTAACCCTCTCAGGCTCAAAATAAGTTTTGATAAAAGGACGAACAACTAAGTCCTTCAGGGGTACTTCTGAGTAAAAAAATGCTCATGAAATACGTATGTGGAGTAACCAGGTAGGTAGGTTTTAACTGTTGCAAATCTGCAACGCCTGCCTCCAGAGGGTTAAGGCTCAGACAAGTGAAAAATGAGTTGCAGTGTGAGGAGATGAAGGTGTGGATAACAATCTCAAGTTCAGAGCAGGACGGAATGGGACTCAGCTTAGCAATGTTCCTGAGATGGAAGAAGGAAGAGCGAACAAGAGAAATGACATGAGAATCCTGGGCGAGAGCTGGGTCAAAGGTCACACCAAGATTCCTGACAGAAGCTTTGGTGTGAGATGCAAGCTGACCAAGAGAGTCTCTGACTTTGGGAACCAGCTTGTCTGGAGCACAGGTTTCAATAGAGTCTGAGCAGGAGTGTAACAGCTGCAGCTTAGACATCTCATGGGGCTTGAAGGAGATGTACAGTTGGGTGTCATCTGCATAAAGATTAGATTCCTTTAAAACAGCTCAGCAAATGCTGGAAAGGGAGCAGGTAAAGGAGGAACAGTAGAGGCCCCAGCACCTTGTGGGACATCATTGGCAAGGGAGGTAGAGGAGAACGGAAACCAAAAGAAAAGCTGTTTCAGTAGAATGAGCTCTATGGAAACCTGAGTGGAAACTGTCATAGATGTTATGTTCATAAGAGCAGCTGTGAGTTGTTTAGCCACAACCTTTTCCAAGATCTTGGAGATGAACAGAAGTTTAGAGATGGGTCTGAAGCTGCTATGGAGGGAGGGGTCAAGATTGTTTTTTTCAAAAAGCAGGTGTATTACAGCACTCTTAAAATATGGAGGGACCTGACCAGAAACCAGGGAAGCATTGATTAGAGCATGCTGGGTCTGATGGAGGTTAGCTGTTTAGTCTCTGCCAATAGCTAACTTAAAGGTAAAACGTTAGTAAAAAGGGGTTTGAATGAAGGCGACTTTCTTGGTTTCTTGAAGATGTTCTCATCTGAGGAGCTTGGTCCAAAGAGCTTTGTCAATTCTGAGCTGAAACCAGAATGAACATCAGCATGACCTACACTCACTTGAGAGAGAAAATCAGACTGATGGTGACGAGGCTTTGCTGCTGCTGGAATTGAAGTGAATAATATTGCTTTACTTTGTGGCTTACTTATGGTGTCTTCGTTTTACAGCGGATATTGGAACTTGGAAATGGTAATGGTGTCACACCCAAGTTACCCCCATTCTGGTTACCGTAGTCGGAGAAGTCAGAATTCCAATATGGTGATGCCCACTTCCTAAGTAGCCATTGTTTGTAGATTCCTCTTAATAGCATCGTTTTAAGCAGTACATTTAAATTGCAAACAAAATTTTTAGTATGTTCAACTTGTTGCAAGCACTACATGTAACATTGATTTTAAACACACTCTTATAAGTGTGTTTGTAAAATAAACACATTGAACCCAATAGTTACTGTTGTTGATATGGAGAGCTGCCATTTTGGATGTCGAGGTCACAGTTCTGACATTTTTCCAAGTTTCCAACTTTGGGGTGTTTTGTTTAATTTTTCCTACTCAGAAGCTGGGATTTCCTAGTTCAGAGGACAATTCAAACGCACCATTAGTGTCAGTTGGCTCCTTGTTAATGCTAGCAACAGCAGGTTGGTTTGTTCATGAATGTTTTAAATTTGCTTTCAACAAGCAGGAGGGGGAAACAGGAAATTGTTTAGTGCCGCTTGAAATCAATGGCACATGTAACACAGAATCAGAAAATAACCTTTATCGCTCCATAGACTCCATTCATATTTTTTTGGCAGTGGGGGACCGGAAGTAGATGGCTCCCCATTTCATGATCCACATTCCTACAATTTTCATAAAGTTTGTGGAGATAATTATTTAAACATTGCTTGCTTTCTCTACATTTATATTGTTAAAATAAAGGTGTCAGATGATGAGAAGTTTACCATAGACTGTTAGCTGGACCTTCCTGAGAGCGTAGCCGGCTGCGTTGATAGCTGTGCAGACGAACTCTCCAGTCTCATTTCCAGAAGGAGAAGTGATGAGGAGGCTGCCGTCAGGATCCGAGGAGAAAGCTGGACCACCCAAGTTCAGCAGCCCCCCATCCTAAAACCAAATTGGTTACAACAGGAAAAGAGTAGGATTTAAAGTTTACTTTGTTCTGTCAACTATATTTAAAAAATGTCATCTAGTTTCCAGACATGCCTAAATAGTTTGCTTCTATCTGATGCTATGAAATAAAAAAGGGATGTGAATAAAACAGTCATGGTTTTAGGATTACTTAGAAAATAAAGATTGAGTGAGGGCATCGATAATTGTTTCATATTAGAGAACAGCAAGAAACCAGAGATCTAGACAATCACATCTGCAGGCCTGGACCAGTTTCATCAGTCCCAGTGGCATTGTTTACTTTTACAGCGCTATGCAACAAGCTGAAAAACAGGACTGACCTGACAGACTTACATCTTTGCTTCATGTTATTTTATGTTTCTTGCCACAAGAAATATATATCAGAAAATCTATAATAAAAATACAATTTTATTATAGGATTTGTTTAACAGAGGTGTAATGCTGATACAGACCTTAGTCCAGGTGATCTCAGGACTTGGTACTCCACTGGCACGGCACGGCAGAGTTACTGGTGTTCCTTCAATTGTACTGAATACCTGAGGGCCGTGTTGAATAGTAGGAATCACTGTGGAAACAACAAAATTTAAAGTACCTGTAGTGTTCTGGTGTGCATTTATTAAATGATTAATAAATGATCAAATGAAACCATATAATTTTAAAAAAATGTTATTACACATCACTCATTGACATGACATGCTTTCTACACCTATTTGATGTGTTTCTGTATGAAAGTTGAAATTACTACCTAACATGCTACCAGTGGTGTCCAATTTTGGTACTTGTGGGCCACTAACCAACATTCTTTAGTTGTTTACCTGCTTCAACACCATACCATTCCATACCATACCATACCATACCATACCATACTAACACACCTGATTCAACAGTTAAATTAACCATTCAGCAGGTCATCAAACTTTGCAGAAACCTTTTTATCTCCTACTGATTAAAATCAGTTTTTTGAAGCTCAGAGATTTCAGCCTAATTAACAGAATTTTATCTTCTCACATTGACTCTCTGAACACCATTCTAAGATCTATATCCTTTACTTTGTTGTTGTTTGTTTATGTATTTGAACTCAACAGAAACTTAATATATGTTTGTTGAATGTGTTTCAATGGTGATAAGCATACCGTATTTTCTGGACTATAAGCCGCTACTTTTTTCCCACGCTTTGAACCGTGCGGCTTAACTGAAGATTTTCCTTCACCTGCCAGGGGGCGCTTTAGCAGAAAGTGAAACAGGTGGAAGTCAAAAGTGGAAATCGAAGAAAGTGCTCATTTTAATTTAGCACATGCAAGCAGCCGGCACGACGAAGAATTTTTTTCAAATTCATACCCCCTCATCATGGTAACTACATGTATGAGTTCATATGTTGCCGCATTTAAGTTGAAGGCCATCGATCTGGCAGTAAAGGAGGGAAACAGTGCTGCCGCACGTAAGCTTGGCATGAATGAATCCATGGTTTGGCGCTGGAGACGGCAGCGGGAAGAACTCATTCAAGCCAGCTTCACCCGGGGATGATGACAGCAACACGGACAGCGACACTGACATCGCCACAGAAAAGGTATGCGACGAAGCTCTTCTGAGGCTGTTTAACTCAGACACTGAAGAAGAGGACTTTAATGGCTTTAGTGTGCAAGAGGAAGATGAGAGCGAATGACTTTTTCTGGTATTCAAGTGTGTTTTATTTTCTAATCAGGCGTGTTTTGTGTGCAGTTTCTATTTTCTAATCATCCAGGCCTTATTAATGCTGTGCCAGTGCTGTTCTTTTCTTCTAAACATGCAAATTACCGGTAATAACGTGTCAGTTCTGTTTTTATTTTATAACATCCAGAAATATGAATGCTATCAGTGCTGTTTTCTTTTCTAAACTTGCAGGCACGTTCACCCGTGTTTAAAATTGGTTTTGTTGAATTAAAACAACGAAAAACCTCCTTGTAGCACCTTTCTGTCTAATTATCTTATGTTATGGCCATACATGTGCTGTGCGCCGGAGTCCTGCATGTGGCTGCTGCGCCGCGGCTTGTGTTCGAGTGCGGCGTGTGTGTGTAGAAAACCTTATTTTTTTGTTGGTGCGGCTTATATTGAGGTGCGCTCTATAGTCTGGAAATTATTTGCTCATTATCATGTTGCGGTCAAAAGCCGTGTTTCCACTGTAAGAGTTCTGGGACATTTCTGGTAGGGGGGAAGGTGACAGGGAAAACACCAGAGATGGGAATTGTGGCATCAACAAGTCAACTCCATGCTGTGATTCTGTTCTGCTCAGCAACTGAACAAGGTTCACTAGTCGTGCTGATTGAAATCACCTGGTTTAGTTGCTGAACTGAAGAAAAACACAGCATGGAGATGACTTGTTGATGCCACAACTCCCCATCACTGGAAAACACAATGACTCGATCCTCTCAGCTGCTGTGTCTCCATAAGGAAATTTTTCAGACGTCATCATATCGTGACCGTTTCAGCAGAGAGTGATGTCACTGATCTGCACCTAAAGCAGGCGCGCAGATAGGGTGGGGGACGGGGGGATCTGTCCCCCCCAGATTCAGATCGACCCCGATTCGTCCCCCCCAACTAAGGCCAGAAAGAAAACAAAATCGGAGGTCAAGCGCTTGAAGCTCCTTTTTCCAATTACATCGAATGCAGCATGACGTAAACAAACACAGACTCCAGAGGCACCAAAGTGGTTGCTGCTAGGATGCAGGATGAAGCGAAAAAGGCAAGCAACGATTACTGTGTATTTAAAAAAGACCAACAGTGTAAGTAGGTGGGGCCGATCTGTCTGTTTATGCATGTTGGTTCTAGATTTAGCACATTGTTGTCAGTGTTGGGACTTACTCGTTATAAGCACCAAAGCCTCATTGCTGACTTTAACAAGTCTCATCTACAAATATGATCCCTCATGAAGTTACTACTTTACACCAGAAGATAGTGGAGATGTGTAATTTTCAGGCTGAGCAAAGTTTTGGAGTTTTTAGTGCTTGAAAAACGCCTCCCGCTGAGACGCTCCCAGTCGGGAAGAGGAGGAGATGCGTGCAGCATGAAGTGCGAAAATATTAGATAAAACGTATAATTGCCAGCAGATCTGGTCTTTGTTGACTGATCACTTTGTCTGGTCATGACTTGACTCTGATTATGAAGCAGAATATTGACTCTGATGAAGAAATTCACTCATCCAGCCGGGAAGATTGACGCTGCTGCAGCATCAGACAGCTGGTGCTGCACGAGAGGTGTGTGGAGTTTACAAGCTCCAAACGTTGGGTTTGATGTTTGTTTAGCCTTCTTTGGGACGTGATGGATGTAGAAATGATGGTAAAAACACCGCAAACGTGACAGACGTAGCGACAATGTAAAAAAAAAAAAAAAAAAGCCGTAAAAAGAGGCAGATGCCGATGTGTTACGCATGGAAGTCAAAGTGTGCCACATAATCATTAAAAAAGTAAAATCTAAAATTTAAAAAGAGATTTATATATTCATATATAAATTAAAACTTTCCAAATATAATGAAAATTTATAAATAACGTAAAAATACAAAGGAACATTTGTTGGTCAGGCTGAAAACTTTGGGAACCACTGCTCTAAGTGATAAGTGAATTTCGTTTTTTTAATATATTTTATGTGCAGTTTTTTAGGGCTTTTATGTTTTCTGTAAAGATTGGTATGCAGAAAATCATTTAATGTTTTGCATAAAGCATGGGGTTTTGGAAGAATAATGAAATGACTGGCGTAAATAGTGGAGCGCCTCTGTCAGTGTGCCCCAGGGCAGCTGTGGCTACATCGTAGCTCATCACCATCACCATACTTTGAGAGGCGCTATATAAGTGCAGATCATTTATTATTTATGGTGTTGATCAGGCAGAGCTTTGTTGCCAACGTTCCACTGCATAATGGCTTCAAACACGTATATAATAGTTGATGAAATTACACAACCTGACTGAGCTCTAGTTAAGGCGCTTGCAATAGTTTGTGTATGTGTGTGTGTGCGTGCGTGCGTGCGTGTGTGTGTGTGTGTGTGTGTGTGTGTGTGTGTGTGTGTGTGTGTGTGTGTGTGTGTGTGTGTGTGTGTGTATGTGTGTGTTTGGGGGAGGGTACATTGGAACCCCCTTCCCCCAGTTTGAAAATCCTATCTGCGCCCCTCACCTAAAGGTATCCATCGGCAATAACAACAATGAAGAGACCTTATTCTATCAAAGTATGCTGTAATTTACTCCCATTTGGAGAATGGGTAGAGCAGCTTTGTGATGTAAAATGTGGTGGTCAATGGCCAGATGAAGCACAGTTTTTGTGGCATTTTCTAGAAGACCACAAAGCAACATGGATTTGATTTTTCGGCGTTAGGAATTTAGAAATTGAATTTTAATGCTTTCAATTCTACCAACGTTGGTTGTTTAGTGATGTCTACCAATACAATTTACAACCAATCAGCATGATTAAACCAGAAAAGGGGTCCTTTCAGAGAAATGGATGCAAGCCACGAAGGTCTGGTAAAATGTCCCGGAAGTACCAATTTTGGAAACAGGACTAAAATGTCCTTCTAAGTCAAATCAACAGAAATATCCCATTATAATATTTGTTGTTGGCCCTCTGCACTATTTTCTAACAGAAGATGGATGCTGTCTTTAACACTAGATAAATAATGCAGGTCTGTGTAATGCTACCATAAACGTTGACAGTGGTTGTTTGGTTTGTGGCCCCGATAACATTCTCAGCCAAACAGGTGTAGTCGCCTCCATCATCCAGCTGAACTCTGTCAATATGCAGACTGCCATCCCTCCTCACTGTTACATATTGGTCTGGGGTCACCTGGCAGATAGAAAATAGAGATTTGAATATACTTGGGGATGATACATTTGCAAACGCTTAAACCTTTTATCTATGATCTCACCAGGCCATAGTTGTGCAGCCATTGCCTCTCAGGCAGAGGATTCCCAGCCAGCAGAACACAGGGAAGAGTTAGCTGCTGGTCTTCAATGACACTGAGCACAGCTGGACTCAATGCAATAACAGGTTTTACTGCAAATTATAAAATAAAACAATGTAAATATGAGAAGATTTAAAAACACAAAAAATAAAATAAAATCACATTAGCTGGATTTACATAAGAAGAAATGAAATGATCTGCAAACATTTATGTATCACAAATATCGTCATCTCCTTCTTGTTCCAAATATATCAAGTGTACATGTAATTCTGCTGTGGGTTTGTGGATCCTCAGAGGGACTGCTTCCAGCAGGGAAAAGGGGCAGTGGGTGAGTAATAAATGCCATCTGGGTGTGTTTGCACTCGCTAACCTTTGGCCCACACTGAAAAAAACTCAGTGTGGCTTCACTGCAGAGAAACAGTGACACACAGATGGTTAACAAGGCACATGTGTTCCCACACACACACTCACACACTAAAAGATGCTGACAACTCACACCAGTAAAAGTGCAAATATGTGCACACACATTGAGGAATACAATGAGATTCTCAAAGGTACAGTTAAAATAAAATAAATGGTCCAACACTTTTCAGGTAAAACTGCATCCTAGACAATTGATCAATAATAATAAGTATAAAGAGTAATGTACTTTTTCTATTTTTAACATGACCTATAACACATATATATTACTCTTTACATTTTAGCAACTAGGTTTAGTGAAGCCAGCTGACTTGGTTAAGTAATTTGAACATATCATTTCTTAGAGTGCAGATCTAGATTATACAATTAAAGGTGTAATTTGTACGAATTCTACTGGGAAATAATCACAAAACAGTCAAATTTTTCAATCATATTGAAAGGAAGGTTATGCTGGTGAAGGTTCTCAGTCATCCATATAATGGTAATTTAAAAGGGTTCAAATGAAGGAAACTGGACTTCTTTGGTTTCTTTAAGGCGTTTGACTTCTCATCCAGTTCCGCTTCTCGTACCGTGTACGAGTGAGAAGTGAAACGTCTTCAAGAAACCACTTGACTTCTTTTGAAAGGAAGGCAATATTGAAACAGATTTTATAATTGGCCAGTTGGGGAGTTGTTAGTTTTTCTCCTTTAAAAAAACAAAAGAAGGACGTAGTTGCAGCCTAGGCTTTTGCAAATTGACACCAGCAGGCAAAAGGCTCCAGAGTTATTTAAAGAACCAAAGCCAGTAAACAGGAGCGACCCAGAAGTTAGTTCTTGTACTCCTAAGAAGCCATTTTTGTCTTAATCTAATATTGAGTATGAAGGCTAGGCTAACATTGAGCTAATAATGCTAACGATGAATTGGAATCAAATAGTCACTTCTAAAAGTATCTCAAGCTACTTTTCCAATTGCCAACTACTCAATATTACAGTAAAATGTATGTGTGAAGTAAATATTACATCAGTCATGGCATTTTACTTCTTTTAAAGGTGTGGTTCACTGAAAAATAAATGTAATGATTAGTTCTAATTATAATTGGTAATTCAGTTTTTCATGCAGGCTAAACATGAAAATAGTCTCCTACAACTACCTGCTGCATTAGCTTCTGATAGAAAATAGACAGTGAAACTCTAGGATTAGAAAAATCTGACAGCGTGACATCACACTGTCACTTAACATTCATGGACTGACTCATCAGCAGCCTTGGGGAAGGCTATTGTTGGTTTAGCATCCAGGAAACAGCAGAGAATGTCTTGGCCCAGTAGAAGCTAACTGTTAGCATTAGCAACTCCACCGCATGGCAAATCTCCTCCAGGTTTTTGTTTTTTGTGGAGATAAAACATCAATGTTGCAAAGTAATTGGAGTCAGTGGTAGAGTTGCATTGCTGTTAGCCAATCACAGATGAGATGTCCAAATATCAGGAAATGAGACTCCAAATTCTGCTGTCTGAAACTTTCCTCTGATCTGACAATCTCCTAGATGCTGAATCAGGGCTTTTTGTAACCAGAGTACAACTTATAAGGCATTTATTCCTACTAGAGATCACTGAAAATGTATTGATTAAACAATTGAACCACACATTTAATTAACTTCTGCCTACAATCATCCTAAATGGTATCCTGAAAACTCATCTTGTTTCCTTCTCCTCGAGGGCTCCATCCTTGCTGAAAAAAACAGCAAGTTTGGTTTGGATGCTGGTATGCTGGTCTGAATGGTAAATGGCCTGTATTTGATATAGCACTTTCTAGAGTCCTGGAATCCCCCAAGGCGCTTTACAACACAATCAGTCATTCATCCATTCACACACACATTCACACACTGGTGGGGATGAGCTACAATGTAGCCACAGCTGCCCTGACGCGCACTGACAGAGGCGAGGCTGCCGAGCACTGGCGCCACCAGCAGGCAACGTGGGTTAAGTGTCTTGCCCAAGGACACAATGACAGCGACAGACTGAGCAGGGCTCGAACCTGCAACCTTCCGATTACGGGGCGAGCACTTAACTCCCGTGCCACCGTCTCCCCACTTCAAGCGAGACCAGCATCCCATCCTGGACCAGAATCCAATTAACAGCATCCCATGCTGGACTGGCATTGCATATTAGACCAGCATACCAGCATCCAAAACATATGCTGTTTTTTTTCAGCAAGGTGGTGTATGCCTGGGCATTGTGCATTAAAATCTAAAAATAAACAAATTGAGAGTATTTTTAAAAGAATTGGTCTCACCATACACAAAGAACTGTACTTCACTAATCTACTGCATTACAAATCTTCTATAGTTACTGCCAAATCCTGGTATTTTTCAGAACTCTGCTTCAAATGCTGGTTGCACAAGAACGTTATTTTCATTGAATAAGATAGTCCAACCAATTCCTTGCCATCTATACTCTGCTGACACCTTCCAATCTCTATTACTGTTTTTTCCACACAGTCAACTTTTTTTAGTTTCCAAATACCCATGAGGTTAAACTTACATTTTTTGTCAGGAAATAAGTCCAGCCTCTGAAATCTTCAGCTTGATCGGTAGGTATGCCTACCACCTTTCTTCTTGATTCCCTTCCCACCATTCTAGTTAAAACGTATCTATCCTCTCTCACTTTCGTCATATCTGCCATTATCCATTCCTCTATTACTACTGGTGTGGTTCCATCTCAACTGCTGCAGTCACAGGCTCTGATAACAACAATTTCAATAACTTGTGGCCCATTTCTAATTTACCTTTTGTTTAAAAAATTCTGGAGAAAGTTGTCGCCTTTCATCTTCACTCTCCAGAAATTTTTAAACAAATCTTTTTGAACTGTTTCAGTCTGCTTTCCGTCCTGGTCACAGTACTGAAACTGCACACATAAAAATCACTAATGACTTTCTTACTGCAGCTGATTCTGGTATACTCTCCATCCTCATTCTCCTAGATCTGAGATCAGCCTTCAATACCATATCACACCCCGTTCTTTTTGACTCTCATCCATTGGCATTTCCCGCAACACACTCAGCTGGTTCCACTCTTATTTCTCTGGCTGTTTTCAATTCATACAACTCAAATCCTTCAGATCTGACCCCTCCCCAATTACTAGAGGTGTGCTCCAGGTATTTGTCCTGGGGCCCTTTCTCTTCATCATTTACCTTATACCTCTAGGTCACATATACCGGAAATGTATCCCATATACCGTAAATGTAATACAACAACAACAACAGCATTAATAATCATCATCATCAATAATCATCAATGATCATATTAATAATCATTTTAATAATCACCATCATCAATAAAAATCAATAATCATATTAATAATCATCAATAATCATATTAATATTCATGTTATGACACTCAGCTCTATTGTCTTCCAAACCTAAATCCTCACTTCTTCCCTCCTGTTAAATTGAAATTAAATCTTGGCTCTCCTCAAACTTCCTCAAATTAAACAGTGACAAGAAAATTCTACTTGTTGGAAGAAAATCCACCCATATCCAAAGCTGAGCGTTTTTCTCTTACTGTTGACTCCTCCACCACTTCTCCCTCCTGTCAGGTTAAGAGTCTGGGTGTCATCCATGACATCACTCTCTCATTTAAATCTCATATCAATAACATCACTCAGTCAGCCTATTTTCACCTTAATATCAGTCGCCTTCGCCCATCTTTTTCTCCTCATTCTGCTTGTATTCTCACAGTTTAGTCACATCTCAAGTCAATTACTGAAACTCACTCCTGGTTGATTTCCCTCAAAACACCCTCCACAAGTTTCAATTGGTTCAGAACTTTGTCTCACGGGCCGTCATCAGCACTCCCTTATCTCACCACATTAGCCCGATCCTTCAGCAACTCCAATGGATCCCAGTTAAACAGATTGAGTTTAAAGTCCTTCTCAGCTTCAAAGCATTTTATAACCTTCCCCCTTATGTATCTAATCTTATTCACATCGTTTCTCCAGTCCGCTCCCTAAGATCGTCGCCCTCTGTCCACCTAACTGTTCCAGCCTCCCATGTGCTTCAGATCCTTTAGTTGCGCTGCTCCCATGAGTGCTAACACCAGATATAACAATGTATTCATCTACTTATCAACTTACTGTGTGTGACTCATCTTTGTCACTTAAAATCCTCTGGTGCTGAACCGTAACTGCCATGAAACTCACGAAACAGGAAAGAGAGAGTAATAAAATTAGGAAAATTCACTAAAGTTATCTAATTTGACCATAGGATGTAATTCTTACATACTGCACCTTTAGCTTTAAAAGACTAACCAGGGTGTGTACTGAAGTGCTTAGAGGTTATAAATATTTTACTTACCAAGTCCAGTCACAATGATGCTGGCCTGGGTTTGGATCTTACCAAAGAGGTTTTGAGCTTCGCAGATAAACACTGCCTCATCCATCACCCAAAGATCTGAGAGGAAAAAAATTCAGTCATTTGATAATTATTACCTCCCAAATGTTTACTGTTAAATAGGCATAAATGTCTAATAAACTAACTAATGATATGTAGATCTCCCCTCCTCTGGGATATGCTGCCATGTGTGCGGAGTCTGTTGAGAAGAGGGGAGCCGTCCTCTCTCCTCCAGGTGATCTGAGGTTCAGGGTATCCTTCAGCATGACAGGACAGGGTCACGTTGGAGCCGATGTCTGCTGCTACATCTGAAGGCTCTCGGGTAAAAGTGGGTCCAGCTAAAATGAATAAGAGTAAATGAGAATTTGTTGTTCAGAATGCAAGCAAAGGGGGTGGAGGGTGGGTGGGTGAGGGGGGGTTAACCGAGAATGAAAATTCAGAAAACAATGCATAAAAAGACTTGAAGCAGATTTCACCTCCAACATCAAGGGAGACCCTCCCAGATGAGCTTCCAGCAGCATTTACAGCATCACACGTGTAATCTCCAGCATCATCAATCTGGGTTTGCTTTATGGTAAGTGTTCCTCCCTTCATGTCCACCTCCAAGTGGGATGAGGAATGGAACTGCGTATCTCCTGACAATCAAAGCACAGATAGTAATGGAATTTGTTCAGCTTAGAATTTTTAAAAACTTTTCTTCCTTTCACATCACTGTTTTATCATGTAATTGATATGCTTTGTGTTTAAAGTTGTACTAAAATAGTTTTTTTTTCTATGTTGGAGAAGAAATTGATTAGGAACGAAATGCATGTCTGGCGGGTTGTGAGGGTTGTGTGGATGAACAGGGAAGAAAACATGGATTCCAAGCTGTGGATCTACCTGGTGTCTGGATTTTCAGTACATTCAGGAATGTCCTTCAATATTCTTCTTTGTTTTGGTTTCACACATCCAACAAGGATGTTAGCAGTAGTTTTGTCAAGCATTAGCAGTAGTTCAGGCTAGCGTTAGCAGTAGCTCAGGCTAGCATTAGTAGTAGCACAAGCTAGCGTTGTTATGCACACAGCATTACAACCACCAATGTTTATATATTGCAGACATTGGAGTGGATTAGGATATGCTAATTTAAGGATGTGTGTCTAAGTTTATTACGTGCTAAATCAGCTTTTCTCAGAACAAAATGTTTCTCTGGCCATTACAATGATACTAATTTTCATATAGGTTGGAGATGGCACAGGCCTTTTGTTTGCTACATCAGACACCCCAAACTGCCTATTTTCAACAACAACATTGTAATGGTGGTTTCTAATTCTAGGACTCCTTTAACCTAAAAACATTAATTGATAAAATAATTTTTATTGTTTACTTGTATTTGTAGTTGTTACCTTTGTACCACCTGATCTCAGGTTGAGGGATCCCAGTTGCTGAGCAAGTCATCACTGTGGTTTCTCCAATGGCTGTGAGAATCTTCCCTAATGCCACTGTCACCACAGGAAATTCTAAGAGAAAACAAATAACGTACATAAGTTCAACAAAACAGGGAAAGTAAGTAGATGATCACTGTCTTTCTTACCAAAGTAGGTGAGGATGGAAGTCATCGAGTCTGTACCAGCCTGGTTACTGGCCAAGCAGCTGTACATCCCTCTGTCCTTCTTCTTCATGTTCCTCATAACCAGAGAGCCGTCAGGGGTCATCCTGTGTCTGAAAATGAAAAACAAAGATATAAATTGTAGTAAAGTGAAAAGGAAAAGGTCATGAGGTGACAGAAGATGTATTTACCTGTGTGATGCTGTGATGAACATGTCGTTGTGGGTCCAAATCAGACGGGGTGGAGGAAAACCACTGGCAGAGCATCTGATTATTACATCATCTCCCACCACAAATGTCTGATTCTGGGGCTCCACGTGCACCCTGGGAACCTCTAAAACAAACAAAAGCAAGTTTAAATATGCACCAAACAATTACAATATAAATAATATTAAAGTCTTATTAAAGTCAGAAGATCAATTAATTAGAAATTGATAATCCAGACAACCCTTGTATTGATTAATGATGGGAAACATCTGCGTTGTATTCTCCCTGCTGTTTTGGAGGGCGAGGAGGCACCTCTGTTCTACTGTCATTTGGGATGCCCGAGGAGATTTGACTTGGAAATGTTTGTTTTATTTCTTGTCGAGAACGGAAACTGGTTCTTCTGTGCTCTTTTCTATTTCTGTTTTGGAGTTTACAAATTATTCTCCTCAAAGTATTCTTTGAATGAAAATCCTGAAGTTAAAAAACTTCAAGGAGCTCGCTCACACACACACACACACACACACACACACGCGCACACACACACGCACACACACACACACACACACACACACACACACACACACACACACACACACACACACGTGCGTACAGTATGTGTGAAGGATTGCATCATCGTTAGACATAGAGAAGTCACACACTGAAAGACTTATATTTACCAGGTGCCGTCATAAATAAGTGAACCAGGACACTTCAAATGGTTCAGCTTTTGGTTTATGGATTTTAAATTCCTCAGCACCTGAATTTGGATGAGCAAACAAATCCATAAGTATCATTTCTGTATTTTTTCAGCCTTTGACCTCCTTCCTTCGCTGGCCATTCAGGCCAGATTTGAGAAGTTCAGGGACAAGAAGGTTTCTGGGAGGAAAGACACATTCCTCTGGTCTGACTCAGCAGCAGCCTTGAAATGTCAGGAACAAGCTCGTCTACAGCACTCCGCCCATTACCTGCTATTTCTCTCCTTTTTTTGTCCTTATCCGTCTTCACTCCTTTCCACATTACATTCCTTAAACCTCGACTTCTCCCATCAACCCTCTCGCTCTTTTCTCGTCATCTTATTTTTTCCGACTATAATCTCATTTATCTGGCTCATAAAAAAAATGCTGTTAGTATAGGATGGCATGTACTCAATGGGTCACATCTCGAATCTATTCAAACATTAGAGCTAAAAGAAAACAGATCCAAGTTAAGAAGACAAACGCTTAGATCTGCTCTCACCATGTTACGTCCGTGTGGTGTGAGATGCCAGCTGACCTGACATACTTCAAAGCCAGGCTAATCACTATGATGGTGCTGACCGAGGGGTAATTAGGAAAGCCCCAGGGCCTGCTAACAGCTGGTGGAGACAGGAGAAGATGAGGCAAAGCACTAAAACCCTAAGATGATGTAAGAAAAAAGGAATATTTGAGCCAACTGTGACAGGATGAGACAAAGAGGGAGAAGAGAAAAGAAAGATTATGAAGAAAAAAGGTTTTATTGTTATTTGTGAAACACTTTGCTCAGCGCCTCCCAGTGGAAATAATTTTTTTAAATAAACCCCCGCAAATATTTCTTTTTTAAAAAATCAAGTGCTTACTACAGAGAAAACTCACAACCTAGGCAGCAGTAGCTCAACAGGTTGAGCAGGTTGTCCAGAAATCGGAAGGTTGCAGGTTCGATCCCGGCTCCGGACAGAGAATTCTCTTGTTGTGTCCTTTGGCAAGACACTTAACCCACCTTGCCTGCTGGTGGTGGTCGGAGAGACCGGTGGTGCCTGTGCTCAGCAGCCTCGCCTCTGTCAGTGCGCCCCAGGGCAGCTGTGGCTGTAGCTCATCACCATCAGTGTGTGTGTGTGTGAGTGGATGGATGAATGATACACTGTAGTGTAAAGCGCTTTGGAGTCCTTACTCTGAGAGGCGCTATACAAGTGAGGAGGAATATTTAATGGAATATTCCAGAGGAATATTTAATGGAAAATAAGTTGAGACTGCAGTTGGCAGGACGAAGATTTCAAATTTTCTTCACCTGGGACTCGTGGTTGTTCTGGAAAGTAATTCCAGGATGTTTTTTCTAGACTGAATGGATCAAGTAAAACTAAGTGATTTACTTTTTTATGCCTCTTATGATCTTCCTCAGCTGATTCTGGCTAAGATGATCTGCTGATGTGGATTTCTGCAGCCCAACATGCTCTGAGATACGTTATCCAAACAATTCAGTTCAATATAAGGACAAGAGGACTGCTCCATTGATGGAAAACCTAAATGCTGTTTGGGAGTTAGGCATAAATATTTTTCACACATTTCAAAAAGCATTAGAGTGAATTGTTGGGAGCGAGGGAGGACAGAGAGGAAGGTGTACTTGGAGCAGTCATATATTTGGAAAAGCGCTTGTGTTTTCCAGACGTATCGTTCCATGTAAATCACTAAAAAGGAACGCACTCAAAGACCGAAGACAAAGTCACGCACACAAGCAAACACGTAGCACACATCATAAATCTACTGTAACATACTCTTCACATGTTTTAACAAAAAAGCCCTTGACCGCCTTCAGTTGGTCCAGAACTCTGCAGCGAGGCTCCTAACTGGAGCAAACAGAAGAGCACACATCACTCCTATTCTAATGTCTCTGCACTGGTTACCCGTTAACTTCAGAGTTCATTTTAGAATCCTGATTATAACTTTCAATGCTCTACGTGGTCAAGCTCCTCCCTGTATTACTGAACTGTTAAAGCCTTATGCTCCAACCTGAGCCCTCAGGTCCACCGACCAGAACCTTCTAGAAGTCCAAAGACCAGATATAAAAGTCGAGGTGATTGCTCCTTCCAGACTGTTGCACCTCGACTCTGGAATGATCTTCCTTTATCCTTACGCAGCATTGACAGTCTGTACGCTTTTAAAAAACAGCTAAAGAACCTTTTATTTAAAGCTGCTTTTACCTAAATCTTTTATTTTCTTATTTGTAACTCCAATTTTTAATCTTTCATCTGTTTATGAAATTTTATAATTTTATGACTTTATTTTTTCTGATGATAATCTGATTCTGTTTTGAGATCATTATGATTTTATGATGTTAATCTATTTATGACTTTAAGACTTTGTTTTATTTTGTTTTGATCTTTGATCACTTTGTGATTCTATGTCTGTGATAAGTGCTATATAAATACAATTTACTTACTTACTTATTAGAAATAAAAAAAAGAAGCAGACACGGCTTTGATCTGACTCATATTAATCACAAGATGAAGTAAAAACTGCTCAATCACCTTGCACAGTGAGGTAGATCCGCTCTGAGGTCGATCCTCCTTCGTTTGTAGCAATGCACTCGTACCAGCCTGCATGGTCCGGGGTCACGCCAGACACCCGGAGTGAATGGTTGGTGAGGATGTTTGCCCGTGGGTCCAGGCGGACATCGAGGCCTCCTCGCAGCCAGGTGAGGTTGAAGGTGACGGTGCTGACAACGTGGCAGGTGAGGACGGCACGAGAGGCAGGAGGAACAGTAACGTTACCCTCCACTGTGATGGCAGGAGGAGGCTCTGAACAGAAAAAAGAGGAGAAAAACTCATATTTTCCCTTGGAATTTTATGTTTGTCTTTTAATTTAATTTAATGTGAAATGAGCTAAATAAACACCATTCATCAAAGAAGCAAATATCAAATTGGTATCTTCAAACTTCTGTAATTTTCTCTAGTTTTTGTCATTATATTTAAAAAAGCAGTCATGTTCTGTCCAACCACCACCACCACCACCCCAGTTGAGTTGAGGTGAGACAGTCACGCTGCTCATAAAAATTTAATAAAATGACAAAACTGATCAGAAAATTATCTGAAGATTTTTAGGGTTCATAGTATATTTATTAGAAAATATTATGAAACATCTGAAAATATTTTAAAATATTCAGATGAACATAGAAAGCTCGGCTGCCTACAGGCAGCCGCAGAGATGGATTATTGAAAAAATGTCTGTCACAGACTTTGTGGAAATGGTCAATAGACAGTCTGCAGTTTGTGGTTTTAAGGAAGCTTGTTTTTTAACAAGTTAAGAGAAGAGTTATGTCCATCATTATGTCCAGTGATTTTTCTTTTTTCATCAGACATTGTTACGCATCTGTAATGTCTGCTTGTCCGACAGGTTGTCGCAAATACTGCTGTTATATTTACACACAAAAAATCTAAATACTTAAAGTGACAGTGTGTATTTTCCCTGGTGATAGACGGCAGTAGATACCTAAATCATCGTAAGAAAGCATTATTTTTGTGTTCAAGTAAGACCTTACCAACAGATGGCCATTAGGGTCAAAAATCCTTGGGAGTGCAACCTCCAGAAAAAATAACAAGAACATCAGATTCCCTTTCATCACTTGCAACGAGTGAAGAGGTAAATGTGTAAAACAACAATGTTTATTAATGCTGAAAGTTTTGTAACAATTTGTTACAAATCAGTAAATGCATTCTGTCCACACAGGCTTCCGTAGAAGGAAACATGCGTCCAACATGACATCGCCCAGAGTCTTAGACCTGCTCCCATGCATTTTAGCCACAATTCTTATAGTTATATGTTATGAAACTGCCAATATTTTTCAACAACTGGGCATCTTTTAATTAATTTAGAACATTTCAATGGATAGTTCCAGAGATTAATGGTTTTTAAAGTTTTCTTACAGGTGTGCCTCTTTATCAGAGCTGCCTCCCCCAATAACAGGGGTCACCAACCTGGTGCCCCCAGGCCTTTTCACCAAATAGCACAAGACTGAAATCAGCTTCCTTATGACCTCAAATGTGCCCCAGCTCAAGTAACTTTTAAAACAAAATCGAAAACGTTCATGCATTAATCAGCCTTTGAATGACTGTTTCTTATGCTGCACCTTCTGCACTGCACTCCCGGAGCACTAGAGCAGCTGCATGATGTAAAATGTGGCATTCAATGACCAGAAGAAGCTCTGTTTTTTATGGCGCTCTGTGAGACAACAAATCCATGTGATTTATTATTACTGTTTTTCTGTGCGGGGAGTTTAGTAACAGCAATTTCCAGCACAATCGGTACTTACATTTTTTTCGCTTCCATTCTTCTTCACAAGCAACTCTTCTCATTTTACTAATGATGTTTAGGACAAGGTCTGCTGATGTAATTTCCTACTTAGTGACAACCAATCAGCATAAATTAACCAAAAGTTCTGCCTATGCCTGATCAGGTACTCAAAAAATTCCTGAAAATGACCTGGAAATTGGCCGTTGGGCCGGCCAAGTCAAGTGGAGACCCTAACCCTAACACGAATGCTGAGAAGTTCCTGTAAATTTACCCTGAAGTTAAAACAGTGCAAACAAACCTAATACCAGTGAAGTATCTCTCAGTTTCACAATGGTTGATGACCCCTGGCCTAGAACCTCTCCTGCTAACAACACAGAAAGCACGCCACTTATAATCCAAATAACAAATGACTGCATTTATTTGATCATCGAAAAGTCTGTTAGCTTTTAAACTGGCAACTCTCTTGTGCAAAAAAGGATTTATATCTGTTCTCTTTTTTTTTACCAAATCAAAATACCATCCATCCCATGACACAATCACCAAGGCATGAATTACAACGTGAAGTTGTGAACTGAGGTCAAACGCTCCATAAAGTGAAATTTATTGTGCTTTCTTGTCTCTGTGTTGGACCTCATAAACCTCTAACTATTCTGATGATTCATGTGTGTGTGTGTGTGTGTGTGTGTGTGTGTGTGTGTGTGTGTGTGTGTGTGTGCGTGTGTGTGAGTGTGTAAATCTTTGAGAAACTCATTCCTTCTGCAGCACTATTTTTCATTTTTCTTCAATGAGTTTTCATGTTTATGCCCTTTAATTGCTAATAAATGATACAGAACATTAAATAGAACAGTGCATTAAGTTGCTCTGTGGTCTGTCAGGAGATCCATCACAAAATAATTACTAGTGATGGCAGTCTAAATCCTCCCAGCCTGTGTGACTGTGGCTCGTTAAAAGTAGTGATGGAGAGCAGATCACCATGAGGGTTAATTAACATAAACGACAGTTTTACAGTGGGGAAACAAACGTTTAACACACCTGCCTGGTAATGACTTGTTACATCACGTCTCCAATAACAGAAATTAGTTACACTCAAACTGGACTTAACAAAACTTTGTGACTAAGATTTTATTTAATTTTATTTGCATGGAAGTGTATAAACGCAATTGTCAAAACCTACAAATGAAACTCTCTCCATACCAGACACATCCAGGAATGTTTGAGCTCGTCCTGTTCCAGCGCTGCTGATGGCGATGCATTCATAATCTCCTTCATCCTTCAGGGTTACCTGCTCTATTTCCCATGAAGCACTATCAGACTCACTGGAATCACAACAAATCACAAAGACGAATGAGGTTAACTCATGTAATTTTTTTCTACACGGTTTAAGATAAGGATCTAACTTTCGATATTTGACGTTGACAATCATTTTTTAGTTGATAAATTGATAATTGTAGATATCAAATATAATTAAATGTCATCCTGGACACAGTTTTTTGACTCGCTCCCATCTGGCAGGAGGCTCCGATCCATTCGGGACCAGAACCTCTCGCCACAAGAACAGTTTCTTCCCCTCTGCTGTTGGACTCATGAATGACAATCCTAGGACTGCCCATTCCAGTCGCTTAGTTTCAGTCACATGACCCTGTGTTTGTACCTGAACTGTTCTGCTCTGATCAGTGCCTACATTGTCTTGTACATAGCAGCCATTTCTCAAATTATTGCCACTTTATATTATTATTTTATCATGATTATATTCTTTCTTCCTGTATTTGCTAATTTCTTTTTTTATCTTTTTTTTCGCACCAGGTACTGCAGCAATATCCTAATGTTGTGACTTCTTGCACATATGGCAATAAACCCTTTTGATTCTGAGTCTGACAAATGTAGTAAATACAATTTTGTCTTTGAAAATTGTTGAGGACACAGAAACATAATCCATTTACAGATACTGACCAACAATAATTTAATGAAATAAACTGTTTACTCATATTTTTAATTGTAGGGTTACACTACATACTAGAATCATCACTGTTTCCTATCAGTTGTAGATTCTGAGAATGACCAAGCAAATTAGTGATGGTGGCTCACGAACTGAAGTGAAAGCTGCTGGAAGTTAGTTTAACAAAGTCCTCAGAACATGCCCTCAGAGCAAGAAAGCTTTGGTCGTGAGTCAAATAAAAAAAAAACATGCGATGGCAGTTACCCTTTACTCTGGATAAACTCTGTGTTAGATGGATAAGTGGAAGTTGACCTTCTGGTTTCTGAACACACATTATCAACCATAATCATAGTAATCATTATTATACCCAAAGCGTAATAATTCATTTCAGTAATTAAAAATACATTTATACTGAACCAAGTGATTATTTATGATGATTATAATAAACAGTAATAAAGTCAAAGAGTTTATTAATATTACAGTATTATTTAATTATTATCGTGAACTTGAAGTGTCCTTCTTCTGGAACGGAACAGCAGCAGATAAAGGATGATTCTTTAGACATCAGGGCTCTTGGGATAATCGGTGGAACTAAAAGTTACAGTCTGACCCAGCTTGGCCCAGCTGGGAGAGTGTGACCTTTGTCACAAATTAGAGGCCCTTCATCACGCTACATAATACATTTACAGTGATCTCTAGTAGGAATGAATGCCTTGAAAGTCCAACTCTAGAGTTAAATAGCTCTGATGTGCCTGTTTGATGGCGTGGAATTCAGCCGGAAGACATAGTAGCTTCAGCCAGATGGATTTAGAGTCTTATTTCCTGATATTTGAAGATCTCACCTCTGATTGGCTAACAGCAACGCAACTGAACCACTGATTCTGTTTGCTTTGCAACGTTGATGCTTTATCTTCACAAATAACTAAAGCCTGAAGCAGTTCTGCTGTGGTGGAGCTGCTAATGCTAATGGTTAGCTTCCACTATTTGAGATGCTCTCTGCTGTTTCCTGGACGCTAAACCAAACACAGCCTTTCCCATTATGAGTCAAGATGGGTGAGTCCATGAATGTTAAGTGACAGTGTGACAAGATAGGTGTAGGAGACTATTTTCATGTTCAACCTGCATGCAAAACTCAGAGTGACTGATCATTTTCAAAAATAATGGGTAAAAAACATTTTACAGTGAAGTTGATTTTTAAAGGATCAATAATTACTCCACCCCAATTTTGATAGAGTTTATAAATGTGTGAAACCCCTTTAGTGACACACCCTCTCTTTTACAGTCGTCCTTACCTGAAGAGTAGGTCCACCCCAAGTCGTCTTCCATCTCTGCTAAAACGCAGAGTGAAAGGTATCAAACTCTCTACTTGGCATCTGAGAGCCCCTCTCTGGAGGTAGTAACCACTAGTAGTAGGTGGCATCACCACTTTAGGTGCATCTAAACAAAAGACAATGTAAAATGTAAAAACAAGTCATTTTCTACAAAATCTCTGACGTACATATCACTCACTAGGTACGATACTGGAGAAAGACACACTGGAGACCCTCTGGAAGATGTAGCCATCCTGATCGTATCCCGTAACCCGCAGAAAGAAAGCCTCGTTTGGTGGGAGGAACTCCGTGAGATTCCAGAGGCTGTATGGCTGTCGCTCCGGGTAATACCTGACAGGTAACGTTTTAATAACCTGGCCTGTGACTTTGAGGAGCTCGAGCCTGTCGGGTCGAGCAGGAGGTGAAAGTCCAGTGGTGTTCAGAAGGATGTGAGTGGGAATACCTGGAAAATTAAAACTAGTAATTATTCCTTTATCTGTACAAAAGATTTACAAAAACACAACAGGAAACAAAATAAAGAAAAAAAAACCAGAAAGTCTGACTAGAAAAGGTGGCTTCATTCACCTTGAACTGGCCTACTGGATGTCATTTTGAAATCCATGGTTGGTTTTCTGGAAAAACCGGCACGGAAATCAATGGTGCTGAGACCTGAGATCCTGACTGAGTGACGCCCTTTACTAGAGATCTGCATCAGGAGAAGAAAAAACAAATATTTTAAATTCAAGTTTTAACTATCAGAGGTATATAAAGTACCTGATAAGATGAATTCAAGTAAAAGAACAGATAGGAAGCCTAAGTCGTGCCCATCCACTTCAGAATCATAAGATCCCTACTGCCCAAAAAATGAACGCTAAATGACCCACAACTGTATAGCGTCTTTCAGAGTCAGAGGACTCCAAAGCGCTTTACACTACAGTGTATCGTTCATCATGTAGCCACTGCTACCCTGGGGCGCACTGACAGAGGCGAGGCTTCCGAGCACAGGTGCCACAGGATCCTTCGACCACCACCAGCATACAAGGTGGGTTAAGTGTCTTGCCCAAGGACACAACGGCAGAATTATCTGTAGGGATAGAGCCTGCAACCTTCTGATTACTGGACAACCCGCTCAACCTCTTGAGCTACTGCTACCCCCAAATTAAATTAAAATAAGTTTGGAGGTTTATCCTTTTTCGCTGCCTCTGGATCAGCTGATCCGCAGGTCTGACGGTCAGAATCATGTTTTATTACTAAATGGGACAATCAGCTGAAACAGGTGAGGGAAATTTGTTTAAACTAAATTACAGGAGATGTCCAGAAAGTTTGAAAGCCTGTGTTTATCATGTGTTTAACAACGAATGGCATTCAATTTGCGTCAACAAACCATTACTGCAGATTGGACTTCATCCAAAATATTTCACTGAGGATGTTTTTCAGCTCAGAAACAGACTCCCTAAACCCAAACCAGGTCTGTGTAACCAATTTCACTCCATCTTCTTCAGAAGCGCGTCTTCATCTACCCACTCAGCTGCAGCTGCTGCGTTCAATCATAAGGCTGAATCTACTATTTCTAGTAGAACAAACTTGAACATGTTTGCTGAAGGATTTGTGCAATAATCAGATTTTTATTTTACTTCCACAAAAAGCAAATTTTAAATGATAAATTACAGAACATGGGGACGGCTTGCCATCAAATTAAAAGCTGTCCCTCGTTAATTAGGCTGGGATGACTTACTGGCTACTATGCTCCCAGGCAAGCAATTTTCAAATGCGTTGGGAACTACTGGTAGCTTGCAAACAAAGTGTTCAATCATGAGGGTGAATCTGCATATTTCCAAACTTGAACATGTTATTCAGTGTGTGTTGTGCAGGAACTTGGCAAATACTACATCCTACACACAAACCACATTCACTCACAGACATTCCCCATTGTACTGGTGAGGATTAGCTACATTATTTGTTAAGTGATCAATAAGATGGGATATTCCATTTAAATATGAAATATGAATCTGATTGATCTTTGAATGTTTGATTTAGATTACTCCAGGTTATATGACTATTCAGGGAAACACACACTTCATATTAATTCAGACAGAGTGAAGGATATAGTTGATAAAAACGAATTCAAGTCTATTTTTCCTAAAGTAAGTGATTATACATGACAAAAAATCAATGAAATGATGGTTGTACAGATAACAGATAATGATTGAAATGATGGAATGTATGCTAGCTTGGCCTTTTGGTACACTACACCCTTCAGGCAAGAATTCCTGCAAGCTCAAATGTGAAGTCAACAAACATGGTGGAGGAGGAGTGTGCAGTGCGTGTCCATCACCTCATCTATCAAATCAGACCACAAAAATCCAACATGATTGGATTTATGATGGGAGCAGTCCTGACATCCTTCCGAGTGGATCTGAGCGCTCGTAACACAGCACACACAGTAGGATCATCTGATAAGAAAATCTTAAAAGCTGTTACGATAACCATGAGGGTGAATGATTGTTTTGTTGTGAAGCACCTTGGGAGGTTGTAGGGCTCAAGAAAGTACTATACAAATAAAAGCCATTTACCATGACTTCGAACCAATCCGCACATAGAGTGACTGGTAAAAACAGACCCGGTGACTCGTGGAGCTTGTATTGTGTGATTTCTTTACAATTATATATAATTTTTTTTACTCTGTAACAAATTTCACATGTAATGAACTAAAATATTTTATGACTAACATACTAAGATAAAAGTTCAGATCTTACAAAATACCTTTAAAAGTACAAGTATACAAAAATACTAATTAATTTCATTAACTTGAGTAATTATTATTTGTTACTCTACATTTTACACCCATGGGAACTAGATTCAAGATGTAGGCTTGTCATGGTCTGAGTCTGTGTTTCCCCTCATGTTTCTCCTTACGTTCTCCATCCCCCTCTAGGTTCTCCTTTTGTGTCTCCTAACGTCCTCATGTGTCCTCGTCTTTGTCTTCCTCTTGTGTCTCCTGGGTTTCCTCATTTGCCCCCAGATCTTCAGCCCTCTTGGTTTCCCTCCACAGGCTTTCCCCTCCCAGGTCCTGTGCTCCCTTGGCCCCCTTTTAGTCACACCCCTGTGGTTTTCTTTCCTTAGTGTTTTTCTCTAGTTTCAGCTTCCCCCCCTAGATTATTAGTTATGTTCCTGCTCTTCTTGTCTTTAGTTTTTATTCTTAGGTCATGTTTGTTTCCTCCCTAATTAGTAATTGTGTTCACCTGGTCTCTCTCTCTCTCCCCACACACCTGCAATTCATCTTCCTCTCGTCTTCCCCAGTGTATAAAACCCTGTCTGTGTCTCTATGTTGTGTTGGTCCATTGTTCCCTGTCTGTCTCATCTCGTTTTCCTCTCTAGTTTCGAGTGTTTCTAGTTCTCGAGCGTTTGTTTTGGATTTTTGGTGTTTTTGCTCCCTGCCTTTGAGGATTCCTCCAAATTAAAGGATTTTTATTTTATCTTCCACCTCTGCCTCATTCATTTTGGGTCCTACTCCTCCTCCTTCAACCTATATTGCGACAAGGCTAAATAAACTTGAAAATAAAACTCAGATTGTTTTTTAAAGTATTACAGTTTGGCTGTAAATGATCTTGTTACCCCATGGTGAGTGGCTGTGACATCAACAGCAGCTCTGAGGGGTTTAATGACAGATGCAGCTTTAGGGCTGTTGTGTTGCAGCCTTTTGTGTACTCACACTCCCTACATGTTGAAACAAGCCACCAAAATGACTAAGTCACTGTTTACTGCCAAATATATCACACCCGATCCTATAAAACACACGATTTAGAGAAGCTCTATTTGCTCTGATGCTCATACTTCACCTAAACACAACCACTATAATCAGGGTGGATGATGGTCTTCATCACGTGTGGGTCTTTTGAATTTCTGCATAAATGGAGACAGAGTAATTGCTCTGAAGTCCGCGAGAGACAGACTCATCACCTGAGGTAAAATGTCTTGATGGTGTCCCAGTGCAGAAAAAGGTATGTGATCCTAAACTGTCTTTTTACTGAGCAATTGCCTTAAATGAAAGGGAATGTTTGGGTTCTCTGTAATTTACAATGATTATGTTTTCCCAACAAAATCATATCATAAAAATGGTTGTGAAGTCAGCATGAGGTTAAACCTACATTTAGTCAATCTAAAAGGACTGGGAAGTTTAGAGAATTAGAGATTTTGAGATCCCAAAACCCTCTGCAGTTACTTTCTACACTATTTGGGGTAATGTGGGTTGAATCTATTAAGAAACCACACTTAATCTCCAGGCAAACAAGGTCTTTTCAACTGGCTCCAACAGTGAGGGGGCAGCAGGATAAAAGGTATCCAGGCTAGTCATAAATACTATTACCTACTGCCACAAAATACTACAAACCAGGTAGTTGTCAAACATAGCTGCTGAGCCTTTAATTGGTTTTATAATTAGGGGAAAGGTTTTTAAAAGGTCAAGCTTTTACCAAAGAGCCACCTATTGTTAAAGCATTTCCCAGCTTCAGTCCCAGTCAGACGGACCAAGGCTCTGTCCGGTTCCCTAAACTCTCTTTTTGTTTGTTGTTCCTAAAATTGTGGTCATCAACACAACAGTTATGAGAAAAGCCTTCATTTGGATGAAAATGTAAAAAAATAAAAATAAAATAAAATAAACATTGTTGTAACTTTGCCAGACCAAACTGTAAATTAAGACATAGCTCATAGAAGGGAAGCTATCAGAAATCAGAATCAGAAAAAGCTTTATTGCCAGCGCTCTAGCGAACCAGAGCATAGGAACTTGACTCCGCAGCACAGCCTGACCAAGGTTACACACACACACATGTAGACAGAACAGATGCATGCAGACCACGAGAGCAGCCATAACGGCTCTAAACTTCCCAGTCCTTTTAGATTGACTAATTGTAGGTTTAACCTCATGCTGACTTCACAACCGTTTTTATGATATGATTTTGTTGGGGAGAACATTTTCAAAAGGTTGTATTTCAGCTGCCTACATAAAAATTCATTTGTCTTTTGAACACCTTAATCTAACTGCTGAAATGTCTCTCCGGCCTTCCTTAGTGTCTACAAGAGTGACTCATCACTGAACAAATCAACTGGGTTCATGATCTAAAACATGCAGGAAACGTGTTGGAAGCAGACCTCAGCACCAGGGCCCTCATTTATCAAACGTTCGCAAAAACTTTCCTATATTCCCTCCTATGACCGAGAATGTGTCAAAAGACTGATTTATGAAACATGCGGTGGCCCCTTGTACGCACGCTCCTCACCGTTGTCTGATGATGAATCCCACCTGTGCATACCCAGGTGCTCATGTCCATTCATCGTCATTTACATACAGAAATGCCCTCAATTAACCATATTTGGTCACGCTACATCCTCAGCACGTGGAGGGATTCCCTGTGTTTTTTCCCAGAAAAAATGACAAACTTTATTGGCAAAGAGATCGAAACACTTGCTGCTGAAGGGCAAAAAAACCCAAACAAGTTGCAGAGGTTATAAATGCGGTCGGGACAGAGGAGAGGTTCCCGTTAGAAATAAATCTTTATGCTATTTCAGCTGTTCACTTTATTTTGTCTCTATGTGTTTTTCTTCCCAGAAGAAGCTACAATGGTGTTCTGCTGAGCTGTGGTGGCCTCATGGCGGGAGCCATCGGCTAGCATACTGTTGCTAACCATTTAAACATTCTCCCTCTCCTGATAACATTTTACTTTCTTTGACACTGAATGTGCTACTACTAGTTTACCCATTTAATAATACATTCACTCGGATAAATACAACAAAGTTGATCTCTTACTAAATAGAATTTTTACTAAGAAATCACAATGTAACCATAGACACATTCTGGAGGTTTCTTCCTGTTAAAGGGAAGTTTTCCTCTCCACTGTCGCTGCATGCTTGCATAGTATGAGGATTGCTGTAAAGTCGCTGAGACAAGTCAGTGACTCGATGCAATTTGCTGGGTTCCTTATATAGGAAACTTTTTACTGATTGGCCTAATGAACTGACCTGTATTGGAATGTTTACTGTGTGAAGTTCCTTGAGACGACTCTTGTCACGATTTGGTACTATATAAATTAACTTCAATTGAATTAATTAAAATATGGATTTGATAAATCATATATCACGTTTAAGGAGTCGTTCTGTTTGGAGTTAGTTTCATTTGGAAATGTTGTCTGAGAGTGCAGCCTCAGCCTCATCTGAGCTGTCATTCAGTCTGGTTGTGTGTATGACTGGGGAGCAGAGGATGTTCTGGGGGATTCTCATAGTTGTAAAATAAAATATGAACTGAAATCAGATTTGTGAGGTTTGTCTGTTGCGCCACAAAGGGTCCCAAATCACAGCATAGCAGAATGCATTCCTTCCAGTATGCACTCTCTGTTAAATCCTCAAATAACACAGATTAGACATGATATACCGTAATTTCTGGACTATAGAGCGCACCTCAATATAAGCTGCACCAACAAAAAAAAAAAAAAACGTTTTCTACACACACACGCCAAACTCGAATACATGCCGCGGCGCAGCAGCCACATGCAGGTCTCCGGCGCACAGCACATGTATGGCCATAACATAAGATAATTAGACAGAAAGACGCCACACTGAGGTTTTTCGTTGTTGTTTTAGTTCAACAAAACGAATTTTAAACACGGGTGAACGTGCCTGCAAGTTTAGAAAAGAAAACAGCGCTGATAGCATTCATATTTCTGGATGTTATAAAATAAAAACAGAACTGACACGTTATTACCGGTAATTTGCATGTTTAGAAGAAAAGAACAGCGCTGGCACAGCATTAATAAGCCCTGGATGATTAGAAAATAAAAACTGCACAAAACATGCCTGGTTAGTAAATAAAACACACTTGCCTACCAGAAAAAGTCATTCGCTCTCATCTTCCTCTTGCGCACTAAAGCCATTAAAGTCCTCTTCTTCAGTGTCTGAGTTGAACAGCCTCAGAAGAGCTTCGTCGCATACCTTTTCTGTGGCGATGTCAGTGTCGCTGTCCGTGTTGCTGTCATCATCCCCGGGTCAAGCTGGCTTGAATGAGTTCTTCCCGCTGCCGTCTCCAGCGCAGAACCATGGATTCATTCATGCCAAGCTTACGTGCGACAGCACTGTTTCCCTCCTTTACTGCCAGTTCGATGGCCTTCAACTTAAATGCGGCAACATATGAACTCATACATGTAGTTACCATGATGAGGGGGTATGGATTTGAAAAAAATTCTTCATCGTGCCGGCTGCTTGCATGTGCTAAATTAAAATGAGCACTTTCTTCGATTTCCACTTTTGACTTCCACCTGTTTCCCTTTCTGCCAAAGCGCCCCCTGGCAGGTGAAGGAAAATCTTCAGTAAGGCCGCACCTCATTATAAGCCGCACGGTTCAAAGCGCGGGAAAAAAGTAGCGGCTTACAGTCCGGAAAATACAGTAATGTCAGATTTACATAGATGACTTGTCTTTTATTGGTTTTAGCACCAATTATGTGTAAAAGCTATTTTTCCCCCAGCGTAGCTACATACTGGATAATTATCATTTGTGGATGAGGAACACGCGTGGATGACTGAGACCTTCACAATGGCTGTTCCCCTGTTTTACCACTATGTTGTTCTTATATTTAGGAACATTTTCACGCAACAAGTACAAATTGGTAAATACCACACAATGCGTCAAATCATTCCCATAAAATATGCACTGATCTGTTCGTAAGTATGGTTGATGAATGAGGGCCCAGGTACGTCAGCTCCAGTTGTTTCTAAGTCCAACAGTCTGAAGTTGCAAAAGCGGAATTCAGGGTGTCTGAGAGATATTTCATTAACCTTGTAAATGGTCATTTTAGCACACACTGGCTCAAGAAAGTGATTTAAAAATATGAGAAGCTTGCATAGTATGGCTTTAAAATGTACGACTGGATTAAAAAATACTTTTGTGTATTTGCAAAACACTTCCTGGTTTTTAAAAAAACCATGAGTTTCATGTTTTTAGTTTAAAAATGATGGATAAACTTAGCATGAAGAGCAGGAACAGATGGAAAAGCTTTCGCAGAATAAATATGATGCAATATAAACCCCAGAGAAATCATCATCATCAAACAGAAAGAGTCCACAGGACTCATTCCTAACTACACACAGGAACTATAATGCTGAGATCTTACAGTATTCATCCGGTCTCTTTCCCTGTAGTTGAGTCGGGCCATATTTCAAACTATCCATCTAGAGGCCTACTGAGAATACACGAGCCATCGAGGCGCCATCAACAAATCATTCTGATAAAACAGCTGGCCATTTCTCAACATCTGGCTCTGACAGAGTGACTTGTGTGTTGTTACGCAGACAGCAGGGTGCCAGCAGTCTAATACAAATGTGGTAAAACATCCCAAAATTTAAATACGTTTTGTTCATGTTTTCAGTGGCTGAAAAATGCCTTTACCAGAGAACATGTGTGTTAAACTATGTGTTTTTAAACTTCTGCAGCTTTTAAAGTCATCTATCCCTCATCAAGGGCAGATTTCTCCTCTATCGGGTGACTTGTGACTCTGCAGGTAGCTCCTACAAACAGGTCTGACCTGTAATTTCATGGACCTGTCTACATAGGGGATGATCAGTTTACCTTGATAGACCACATCCCTGGCTCTGGGTCCTTGATGTTGACAACTTTGGCGGAGTTGGGAATGTGCAAGAGCTCAGTCAGACCGTCATTTTCCCCCACAAGCTTTCCTGTAGGCCAAGAAAAAGATCCCAGGACAGTTATTTCCCTTTTCTGTCACTTTCAGCAATACAAATGGCTGCCTGATTAAAGATATGCTGTATCCATTCATCAAGATGCTCTCTAACACGTGCTCAGTAAATAGATCCCAGATGTTGGAATCTGTGCTTTGATTAAAAACGACAAAAAAAAAAGTTCTTTGATTGACTCAAACTGTTTTTTGTGGTGTACTGTTGTTCAACTCATGTGTCACACTTTGCAAATTAATGTTTGAACAATCCAATAAAGGTTCCTCCATCACGCTCTAGAGTCCCTAAGTAAAATAATATAGAAGAAATCTGATTGGTTGATTAACTTTTTTACTTGTTTTGGGATGCATTTTAATGCAGAATGTGTTTAGTTATTAAAAAATGAAAAATAAAATCTGGGTTTACGGTTATCAGATGCATCATGACATTCGAGATTTAAATTCTATGAATGAAGAAATTAACATCTGCGAATCTTGTATGAGCATCATACCCCGGGGATTGCTGATCTCTATCCCAGGTGCTGGGCCACTGAGAGCCACAGTAACTTCCTTCAGGCTGGGGTCAAAGGGCATCTGCCAGTTGTTGCTGGCTTGGCTGAAGTGATCAGTGGACAGCAGGTTGACCTTTGAGGACTGCACTGCTTCTTCTACCCATTTAAGAACCTGCAACAAGGGAGACATGAGATAATATTAGATTTTTGTATTTTTAAACGAAGCTGCAAATATAAAAATATATATAATGCTTCTTAATGGGAAATGTAGGTTTAACGGACATGCTGACCCTGGCATATATCTATGTAGCTCTCCAGCGGTAAATAAGATCATCTTCTTAGCATGTGAAGGCTTTCATCGGGGTGTTTCAAACATTCCCTGCAGGCTCTGCCCTATTTCCTCCCCGTCTCCAAGGAGAATCCAAACACTTCTGTGCTAAATCCAGATGCTATTCCAACCAGAGAGCTTAACAGACTTCTTAGAGAAAGGATCAACTAAAAAGATGTTTGCTGATTTACAATTTTAGAAGAAGTTGGAAAAAGACTCATCCCAAGCATCAGTCAATGAAACATTTCCTGTTCTGTGGACTTAAAATCCCTCCTGGGACATCAGAGAGGTTGTTAAATGTTCAAATGCCATCTCATTTCCCCAACATGGGAGGAAAAAGTGGTGTTGTTCAAAAGATGTTATCACTTTAGATCACAAATCTTGACCTTGAATCCTAAACCGTGTAAAAAGTGAACAGGCGTGCAGTGATGTGTTTGTTCACAGCATCCTCACCTCGTTGACCTGTCTCTTGTCCAGATGGAAGACTTGTCCAGAGCTTGTGGACGCGATCTCCTCATACACCTTGTAACCAACATGATTCCGATCATCACAGTCGCCCGTCAACACAAACACCACCTGAACAAACACACAGAGTCATAAATATCCAGTGGGTTTGGTTCTAAACTGGGGGGAAAAATACAGATGAGTGAAGCTTTCTCCAGACCTGAGACTGTTTCTGCTGAATGAGCTGCAGGACTTCGTGGGTCAGCTTGAAGTCTTTAGAACGAGCATCGGTGAAGACGTAAATGAAAGATCCTGGCAAAGAGATCTCCAAAGCTATTTTAATTGCACCGATGCTCATCTCCGGGCAGTCGCCGCCTCCCTATAAAGATAAGGAATTTCATCAGTTTTCATGTAGACAGTTGTTTGGGTACTTTGCTATGATTATTTGACAAAGGAAGATTGTGTCACTTAATTAGAGTTTGGGTTTACGGCCCAAAAAATTCAAGTCACACATGTTTGTTTCTTTAAAAGATTTAGATGTAACCAGTTTCTGTCTCTTTTACAGTGCACATTTTAGGAAATCCTCTGGAAAACATCGTCAGACATCTCGTCAAACGGCCTCAGACCTTAGAGGGAAAAAATTTCTTTTTTTTTCTTTAAAAAGCATCAGACATTTAACTAAAAAGCAATAGAATAAAAGATCTCAGGAAAACCTCGATCAGGAAAAAGTCTTTCAGGGAAAATTCTGTCCAACAAAACTTCAGAAAAAAAACCTGTCATGAACAACCCCTCTAGGGAAAATGATCAGGAACAACTCAGTACAACAAAACTTCATCAGGAAAAACACCCTAAAACAAAATGGACTCAGGCAAACCTCCTTCAGGAAAACAATCCTCAGGAAAAACTCTATCTGACTGATTATCTGGTTTTTTTTTTTTTTACTTCATTGTTACAAACGTATCCCGGAGTTCTGTAGGAAAGTGTTTTACACCTAGGGAGTTTTTCCTGACTGAGTTTTTCCTCGGACCTTTTATTTTGACAACATTTATTCAGAGGTCAGGTGAGTTTCTGAAAGAAACCTGGTTTCTTATAGTGCACCTCTAACTCACTCTTTAACTTTTACATTGGTGTGAAAAACTATTTGCCCCCTTCCTGATTTCTTATTCTTTTGCATGTTTGTCACACAAAATATTTCTGATCATTAAACACATTTAACCATTAGTCAAGGATAACACAAGTAAACACAAAATGCAGTTTTGAAATTATGGTTTTTATTATTTAGGGAGAGAACAAAATCCAAACCTGCATTGCCCTGTGTGAAAAAGTAATTGCCCCCTGAACCTAATAACTGGTTGGGCCTCCCTTAGCAGCAATGACTGCAATCAAGCGTTTGCGATAACTTGCTACGAGTATTTTACAGCGCTCTGGAGGAATTTTGGCTCACTCATCTTTGCAGAATTGTTGTAATTCAGCTTTATTTGAGGGTTTTCTAGCATGAACCGCCTTTTTAAGGTCATGTCATAGCATCTCAATAGGATTCAGGTCAGGACTTCGATTAGGCCACTCCAAAGTCTTCATTTTGTTGTTCTTCAGCCATTCAGAGGTGGATTAGCTGGTGTGATTTGGGTCATTGTCCTGCTGCAGCACCCAAGATGGCTTCAGCTTTAGTTGACGAACAAATGGCCGGACATTCTCCTTCAGGATGTTTTGGTAGACAATAGAATTCATGGTTCTATTTATCACAGCAAGCCTTCCAGTTCCTGAAGCAGCAAAACAACCTCAGACCATCACACTACCACCACCACCATATTTTACTGTTGGTATGATGTTCTTTGTCTGAAATGCTGTGTTACTTCTACACCAGATGTAACGGGACATTTGCCTTCCAAAAAGTTCAACTTTTGTCTCATCAGTCCACAAGGTATTTTCCCAAAAGTCTTGGCAATCATTGAGATGTTTCTTAGCAAATAGAGACGAGCCCTAATGTTCTTTTTGCTTAACAGTGGTTTGCGTCTTGGAAATCTGCCATACAGGCCATTTTTGCCCAGTCTCTTTCTTATGGTGAAGTCGTGAACACTGACCGTAACTGAGGCAAGTGAGGCCTGCAGTTCTTTAGAAGTTGTCCTGGGGTCTTGTGTGACCTCTCGGATGAGTTGTCTCTGCGCTCTTGGGGTAATTTTGGTCAGCCGGCCACTCCTGGGAAGGTTCACCACTGTTCCATGTTGTTGCCATTTGTGGATAATGGCTCTCACTGTCATAAGCCTTCTCCAAATCCACAAAGCACATGTGGATTGGTTGGGCAAACTCCCATGCCCCCTCCATCACCCTTGCAAGGGTGTAGAGCTGGTCCACAGTTCCACGGCCAGGACGAAAACCACATTGCTCCTCCTCTATCTGAGATTCAACTATCGATCGGACCCTCCTCTCCAGTACCTTGGAGTAGACCTTTCCAGGGAGGCTGAGGAGTGTGATCCCCCTATAGTTGGAACACACCCTCAGGTCACCCTTCTTAAAGATGGGGACCACCACCCCGGTCTGCCACTCCCTAGGAACTGCCCCCGATGACCACGCAATGTTGTAGAGACGTGTCAACCATGACAGCCCTACAACATCCATAGCCTTGAGATACCCAGGACGAACCTCATCCGCCCCCGGGGCTCCGCCGCTGTGTAGTTGTTTGACTACCTCAGCAACTTCTGCCCCCGAGATCGGACAGTCCATCCCCAGGCCTCCCAGCTCTGGTTCCTCCTCGGAATGCGCATTGGTGGGATTGAGGAGCTCCTCAAAGTATTCCTTCCACCTCAGTTGACGTCAGCAGCTCCCCATCCCCACTGTAAACAGTGTGAGCGAGTTGCTGCCTTCCTCTCCTGAGGTGCCGGACAGTTTGCCAGAACCTCTTTGGAGCCGATCGATAGTCTTTCTCCATGGCCTCACCAAACTCCTCCCACGCCCGAGATTTTGCCTCGGCAACTGCCACTGCTGCACCCCGCTTGGCTATCCGGTACCTGTCTGCTGCCTCCGGAGACCCACAGACCAGCCACGCCCTGTAGGCCTCCTTCTTCAGCCTGACGGCTCCCCGAACCTCTGGTGTCCACCAGCGGGTACGGGGGTTGCCACCACGACTGGCACCGGCCACCTTACGACCACAGCTAGCAACAGCCACCTCGACAATCGCAGAGTGGAACAAGGCCCACTCGGACTCAATGTCCCCCACTGCTCTCGGGACGTGGTCAAAGCTCTGCCGGAGGTGGGAGTTGAAGACCGTCTTCACAGGTTCTTCTGCCAGGCGTTCCCAGCAGACCCTCACTATGCGTTTGGGTCTGCCAGGTCTACGCGGCATGTTCCCTTGCCATCTGATCCAACTCACCACCAGGTGGTGATCAGTTGACAGCTCCGCCCCTCTCTTCACTCGGGTGTCCAAAACATACGGCCGCAGGTCAGATGATACGACTACAAAATCTATCATCGACCTGTGACCTAGGCTGCACTGGTACCAAGTGTACCGGTGGGCATCCTTATGTTCGAACATGGTGTTCGTTATGGCCAAACTGCGGCTTGCACAGAAGTCCAATAACAAAACACCGCTCGAGTTCAGATTAGGTGGGCACCCTGTGGGGGACGCTCCAGGAGTATGGGGTGGGTGGTTTTCTGTTAAGGGCCATTCAGTCCCTTTACCAGAGGAGCGTGAGTTTGGTCCGCATAGCCGGTAGTAAGTCGGACCTGTTCCCAGTGAGGGTTGGACTCCGCCAGGGCTGCCCTTTGTCACCGGTTCTGTTCATCACTTTTATGGACAGAATTTCTAGACGCAGCCGTGGTGTGGAGTGTGTCGAGTTTGGTGGCAGGAGAATCTCGTCTCTGCTTTTTGCGGATGATGTGGTCCTCCTAGCTTCATCCAGCTCTGACCTTCAGCTCTTGCTGGGTAGGTTCGCGGCCGAATGTGAAGCGGCTGGGATGAGGATCAGCACCTCCAAATCTGAGACCATGGTTCTCGACCGGAAAAGGGTGGCTTGCCACCTCAGGGTCGGGGGAGAGGTCCTACCTCAAGTGGAGGAGTTTAAGTATCTCGGGGTCTTGTTCACGAGTGAGGGTAGGAGGGATTGAGAGATTGACAGGCGGATTGGTTCGGCGTCTGCAGTGATGCGGACGCTGAGCCGATCTGTCGTGGGGAAGAGGGAGCTGAGCCAGAAAGCCAGGCTCTCGATTTACCGGTCGATCTACGTCCCAATCCTCACCTATGGTCATGAGCTTTGGGTAATGACCGAAAGAACGAGATCGCGGATACAAGCGGCCGAAATGAGTTTCCTCCGTAGGGTGGCCGGGCTCAGCCTTAGAGATAGGGTGAGGAGCTCGGACATTCGGGAGGGACTCGGAGTAGAACCGCTGCTCCTCCGGATCGAAAGGAGCCAGTTGAGGTGGTTTGGGCATCTGGTCAGGATGCCTCCTGGACGCCTCCCCGGGGAGGTGTTTCGGGCATGTCCTGCCGGCAGAAGGCCCCCGGGTCGACCCAGGACACGTTGGAGAGGTTACATCTCCAATCTGGTCCGGGAACGCCTTGGGGTCCTGCCGGAGGAGCTGGTGGACAAGGCCGGGGAGAGGACGGCCTGGAGCTCCCTGGTTGGGATGCTGCCCCCGCGACCCGGACCCGGATAAGCGGAGGAAGACGACGACGATGGCTCTCACTGTGGTTCGCTGGAGTCCCAAAGCTTTAGAAATGGCTTTATAACCTTTACCAGACCTTTATAACCTTTCCCTCTGGGATTAATAATGTATCTTTGATTGATTGATTTAATTGATAGATCTCAATTACTTTTGTTCTCATTTGTTCTTGAATTTCTTTGGATCTTGACATGCTGTCTAGCTTTTGAGGTGCTTTTGGTCTACTTCTCTGTGTCAGGCAGCTCATATTTAAGTGATTTCTTGATTGAAACGGGTGTGGTAGTAATCAGGCTTGGGGGCAGCTACAGAAATTGAACTCAGGTGTGAAACACCACAGTTGGGTTATTTTTTAACAAGGGGGCAATTACTTTTTCCACACAGGGCAACGTAGGTTTGGATTTTGTTCTCTCCCTAATTAATAAAAACCATCATTTCAAAACTGCATTTTGTGTTTACTTGTTATCTTTGACTAATGGTTAAATGTGTTTGATGATCAGAAACATTTTGTGTGACAAACATGCAAAAGAATAAGAAACCAGGAAGGGGGCAAATAGTTTTTCACACCAATGTATCTATTCTTTTATTTTTAGATTTGAAATTAATTTGTGTGTACTTTAATTGCGTTGTGTTGATTTCAATGTTCATGATATTGATGCTAATGGAAAGCATGGAATTGCCTCTGTGTATGAAATGTGCAATATAAATAAAGCTGCCTTGCCTTTATGGTGTATCATGTCTGAAATGTCTTTCTGAGACCTGAGGATGTCCTAAAATGAAGTTCATTAAGGTTAGGTAAAGTTCTTATTGCCGTTTTTCATTACTAAACACACATCTCATCCTTTCTGATGCTGGTGATAAATCTATAAATTTTATAAAATGGTTTTCCAAACACACAAAGTGTGAGGGTTCACTGCTCTCTGGTTTGTTGATGTAGTCTGAAACAAATATCCGGTGCAGCATTCCAACATTCACATGTCCATCTGTCTGCTGGGTTCAGAAACCCACCAGGATGCATCATCCCCAGGAATAACATCTGGAATGGAGTGACCCATGATTTTGTATTGGGGGCTGGTGGGGAGAAGAGACGAACGAGATTCCTCTCTTTCCAGATCTCAAAGTTCTTCCCTCTGGCAATCCCATTCATTTCCAACGCTAAGATGTATGACACCTTGTTTGAATGGTTCAAGCACTTCCTGGGTACTTCCTTCTTTCCTGAACAAAGCGGCATGAATTTTCCATGCTCTTTAGCCAAATTGCCATCAGGCGTCATGCAGGTGAAAAGGTGAAGGGAAGAAAGGCAGATTTAAAAATGAAGCTGACAGGAAAATGGATCCTTTCCATTTTGCACACAAAAATGCTCACACAACTGATGGGAAACAAGACAAGCTAAGAAAGCAAGTTACTCGCCAAAATCTGTTTAAAAAAAAACTTTGAATTGGATCTTTGTCCGTCTTCCTGGCACATGAATGTATTTGGTTAAATTATGCAGGATTATTTTTCATTTCATTTATTTTCTCACTAAGAAAAAGTGAACATGTTCTACTCTTCAGCTATCAAACTTTTTTGCTAATGTATACATGTATTTTTCTTTGCAGGAAAGCATGAAGTTTCATTCATAAAGCGTTAAAGCATGACATAACCAACATCTGTAACTACTGATCCCTTTGGTATTGGGTTTTCCTTAAAGACTCTTCTCTGCAGCTAACAGGTCCTCCAGTCCACACGTCTGTCATGTCCACACTTTTATCAAGACCAGATGACCTGAACATCCTGACTCCTGCTTGGAGAACCTCTGAACTCACCTGAACGTACAACTCTCTTAGCTCCTGCTGAAACTTCTTCGGGTCTGTTGTGATTGTTACTGGTCCGATCTCTGCAACAAAATGGCACAAAATAAATTTCAAGAACGAAGCAGCCGCAGGCTCAAGCCTGCATTCAGTGAGTAGCTGAAAGCATGTCATTCCCCAAATCCTGCCCCTGAGCCAAATATTGGTTTTGGCCAACACAAACGGATGTTCAGATAAAAATGTCAAAGTATGAGCTGCTGTGGGGAAAAACTTCAGGAAATAATAATAATAATAATGCTTTGAACTTATATAGCGCTTTTCTAGACACCCAGAGATGCTTTCACACACTCTCACATTCACACACTGCTAGTGATGGTAAGCTGCTTGTAGCCACAGCCGCCCTGGGAAGGTGTGACAGAGGCGAGGCTGCCATTTGGAGCCGTCGTCCCCTCTGACCACCACTAACACAGGCAAGTTGGGTGAAGTGTCTTGCCCAAGGACACAACAGCAGGATACCCCTGGCGGGAGCTGGAATCGAACCCATGACCCTCAGTTGGCCAGAAGCAACATCAACCAGAAATGGCTACCCCAGGTAAGGCCCCATTAAGGGACCTTCAGATGGCTGGTGTAGCTCCCAAACGTTACCATACGGAACCTGTCTGTTATTTATGTGGTCTGCAAGGCCATACCAAGCCCATGTGTCCAAAGAACCCTCCTAAACCCACTCAGCTGTGTGTTGTCCCAATGAAAGAAAGGCGACATCCATGTGGCGAACAGTCAAGAAGACTGAGTTGGGTTAAAATAAGTGGGAGGAGTGTAAAAGCTCTGATTGACACAGGTAGTGCCCAAACACTTGCGGAAAGGAAACTGGTCCCATCACACATAATCTCCACATTAAATGCTGTTCCTGTTCAATGTGTACACGGTGACGAGTGGTTGTATCCCACTGCAGACCTATATATGGGCGTGCAAGGAAAAACTTACTTGCTAAATGTTGGTGTTGCTGAAAGACTTCCTTATCCAGTTGTCCTGGGTAGTGATTTGCCTGTCCTGTTTTACCTGATACAATCCCCAATAAACTGTGCTGTGGTTACTCGCTCTCAGGCCAAGCAGCTAGAAGAGTCTCCACTGCTCCTCAATGCATTGCCCTTTTATGATGCAGATCTGGAGGAGCGGCCTGGGAAAACACGCAAGTCCCGTCAACAGAAGAGACGGGAGAAGTTGCTTCACACAGCAGGTACATCTGTTGAAGACATGCCTGAGATGCCTCCGGGCTTCAAAATGCCTCTGAAGATGGCACAGATCCAGCGAGATGACCTGGAGCTGGCTAATCTGATTCAGAGGGCCATAAGATTTAGAGGAGGCCCTGACAGCGTACCAGGACATCAAACATGCTCTGGGTAAGGGATCTGACCTTAAATGCCCAAACTTTGACAAGTCATTTGTCCTGCAAATGGATGCCCTCCGAGAGGGGTATTGGAGCTGTCCTCCTGCAGGGGGATGAAGACTTGCATCCAGTGGCTTTCATTAGTCGCAAGCTGTACCCCAGAGAGGTGCGGTATTCAACGGTGGAGAAGGAGGCGTTGGCAATAAAATGGGCCTTGGACTCTTTGAAGTTTTACCTGCTCGGCAGGGAATTCACCATACAGACGGACCATAAAGTTCTGCAATGGCTGCATCATATGGGGGACACGAACAGCCGTGTTACTCGGTGGGCCCTTGCACTACAACCCTTTCGCTTCTTGGTCCAGCATGTCCCAGGCAAGGCTAATGTGACTGCTGATTATCTTTCCCACTGGAGCGCGGTAGCTTCTTAAGGAGGGGGGACTGTGACAGCTGCCCTGCTGTCACACCTCAAGTGAATGGCTGTCTGGTAATGTTTCTTTTATTTTGAATATGTGAGTGTTTTGTTTCCATGGATTGACTGTTTAGGTGACAGTATGGAGAGCACACATTCAGTTACTTATCGATTAGAGTCTGTAGGTGTTTATATGATTTAATATGTTTTGTCTGAATTGCCAGTGGCCTCAGAATTGAAGCAGCTGTAGCAGATCACTTGGCCTAATCAACACCATTGGACCACACCAACTCTCAAGGGAGAAGATTTCTGTGTTTGTGATTCTCTTTTGTAAATAGTAGTTGGGTTTTGATAGTAATATGTATTCATTTCAAGTAACTCAAACATGATGGACTGATTAGTATGTATTTGTTAGGGGTAGCTTATTTATGTTTTTTGTTAATTGATGTCTCCCCGCCCTAGTGTGTTGGCAGTGGTCTGATCAGCCACGATTTAAGGCCTAGTCCACACGTAGCCGGGGTTTTTTAAAAACGAATATCCACCCCTCCAAAAACTTGCATCCACACCACTGCGTTTTAAAAAGAAACTCTGTCCACACGTACCCGGATAAATACATTGTTAAGGACATGCCAGACCTGTAGGCGGCAGTACTTCCCCCGTTCTTAACCTCGTCCTTCCCCTGTGGTCTTCCGCAAGGAGCAGTAATTCCTCTTGCAAAAACAAACAAGCAGAAAGCGCTTGGACAATTGATGGATTGGGTAGTGACAGAGCGCAACTCCGAGGGCTTCCATGATGCCGGCTGGTGTAAACACAGGTCACACACGTGATGTCAGCAGTTTTTTGTCGCGGAAAGTGACGCTGCGGACCTTAAAACTCCGGTTTTGTCTGTCCACACGCAGTCACCCAAAACGGAGAAAACGCAGATCTTCACTTTGGCCGGAGTTTTTAAAAAGATCCATTTTCGTGTGAAAAAACTCCGTTTTCGTGTGGATGACAGGCCAAAACGTAGAAAAATATCTACGTTTTGGCAGATCCCCGGCTACGTGTGGACAGGGCCTAAGTTGTCCTGTTGTGTCTGTGGAGAGGTTTTTTTTTTGTACATGTCTATAGTCAGGTCCTGAGTTTGAGTTCCTTTGTTACTATGTCCAGTGTTATATAATTTCAAGTACTGGTTGGAACCCTCTTTCGAGAAAAAAAAAGTAATAAATGAAGACGTCAATTGAAATCATCAGTGCTCTCCTGGCTGGTTTATGCAAGTCCCTGACACTCCTCATCATCCATCATAATAGTTTAATCCAGCGTGACAGTCACAACCAGCTCTGTTTGTTTGCTACTGTTCTGCCATCTCTCGGCTGACTTTGTTCTATTTGTGAGTGAGCTGCTTAAATCCACCTGAAGACTCACTATGGGACTTCAGCTTCTGCAGCTGTGCTGTGGGATGAGTTCAACCAGGGTCTGCACTGCAAAAGCACACAGTTCACTTCTGCACATGCAAGCAAACTGGAAAACAAGGGTTTCCTTGTTAAAAAGAGCAATTATGAAGAATCCCTGACGGATGAAAAAGAGGCTGTCTGCAGTCCAACATGAATAAACCAACTGTTTGCTGGTGTTTCACTTTATTTGACAAACTGTGGAGATTTTTTTTCATGCTTTTTAACTTTAGCACCATGTTTTAAAGGTGAACTGACATTGTTCATTTTTATTAAAACAACATGAAGTACAACACTTTTTATTCTCCTGCCAATTTGCTATTATAGCGAACATGAACAGTATTTTTCCCAAGTTCAATCAGATTTTGTTCGGTCTATAAATCTTCATGGCGGATTTCAGGACCATCAGTGAAGATCAAAGTCAGTTTTTAAAACTAACTTGGAAATGAGTTTGGCCAGTTTGAATGGAACACTGGTTTGAAACCAAAACTTTCAAAGACGGAAAAGCTGACCTCTTTTTCCTTCAGTTCCCACGACTCTTTGATGATCCTTTAGATCGCTGTGATGCCTCAAACCACAGCCACTCTCTCCTGCACCAAAAACACCAAAGCTAACATGCCTAACCTCTAAACAGCTTAAGATGAATAAGATGCACTGAACACGGCTGGTGTTTTATCTAATATTTTGTCACGTGAATACAATGGTGTTGTGTTTGTGGTTACTTTAATGTGTTTTTAGGTCTGTTATGTCAATAACAAATCACCACAAAGAGATAAATGCACCCAAACTGGATGAATTCTTAAAGACTTAGTTCACTTTTTTATTTAAATACTTTTGCAGAGGTCTCTAGGATAATTTAATGCCTTGTGAGTCAATCTCTGTGAGAAAAAAAGCTCTGGCACTCTTGTTTCAGGAAGTAGTAGTGAGCCAGGGCAAAGGTGACAAGAAGACAACGAAATTTAGAGTCTTAATTCCTGATGTTTGGACATCTCACCTCTGATTGACTAACAACAATGCAACTTTACCACTGATTTGATGTTTTATCTCCAGAAATAACACAAGCTTGAAGGAGTTCCGCCATGTTGTGGAATTGCTAATGCTAACAGTTAGCTTCTAGGCAAGACATGCTCTGCTCTGGTCTCTAGTAGGAATGAATAATAAGTAGGAAATAATATACCGGTGCACGATTTCTTGAAACTAAAAGTTGCCCATATCACAGCTGAACTTCTGACAGCATCTCGCCACAGATTGGATAACAGCAATTTTAACTTACAACTTGGATTTTTATCAACTCAAATAATACAAGCAATTGCTAATACTAATGGTTAGCTTCTACTAGTTGAAAAGTCTGCTGCTGATTCCTGGAGGTTGAAACAACAGCCTTCCCCCACTGTGAATCAAGATTGGTGAGTCCATGAACACTAAGTATGATTGTGACGTAGAGATGACAGGCTTTTCATAGCATTTCACCATCTATTTTCTATCGAAAGCTAATGCAGGTGTAGCAACACAGAGCAGGGCAACACAGAGACACACAGGACAAACACTCATATGCGCACACACTCACACCTAAGGACAATTTGGACAGACCAATCAACCTAACAGTTATGTTTTTGGACTGTGGGAGGAAGCCGGAGTACACGGAGAGAACCCACGCATGCACAGGGAGAACATGCAAACTCCATTAAGAAAGACCCCAGGCTGGGAAGCGAACCCAGGACCTTCTTGCTGCAAGGCAACAGCTCTAACCACTGCGCCACTGCGCAGCCTCCAGAAGGAAAGTCCCCATGCAAACTAAACAAAATCAAAGATCTCCAATGCATCTTGTTTTCTTAATCTGGTAGTGGAGCAAGTTGTT